TGAGGATGGAAAGGTGAGGATGGAAAGGTGAGGATGGAAAGGTGAGGATGGAAAGGTGAGGATGGAAAGGTGAGGATGGAAAGGTGAGGATAGAAAGGTGAGGATGGAAAGGTGAGGATAGAAAGGTGAGGATAGAAAGGTGAGGATGGAAAGGTGAGGATGGAAAGGTGAGGATAGAAAGGTGAGGATGGAAAGGTGAGGATGGGGAAGGGAGGAAGGAGAAGAAATTTGGTAGCTATGTAAACGCTCAATGGTAATTTATTTGTTCTACGTGTCCTAGCACACACACTCTTGGTTTACTCCAAGTGCAGGTGGTTGGGCAGTATCAGATGAAAGAAGGCCACCTTTACAGACCGTCATTACAGCCGTGGGTGAGTTTCCAACAATTTTCTGGCTCGTACAGACTTCCGGGAGAAAGTCTTGCGAAGAGCGCAAAGTTTAGCCTGACACCGTTTGCCTTCGTTGGTCATGCACTAGAAGCGGACAATGTCAGTAAAGCAGATCTATCAGTAACGCTATGCAAATGCAATTCTAAACATCTTGTACCCGCTCTCATCACCTCGACCAACGCCGTCTAATTTTCCCAGTCGTTCCTCCTTCAAGACCGTCAGTCGTTTCCCATGGCTCGCACGTGGTCGACCTTCATCTCCAAAAGCCGCCTTGACCGTATTACTCACGCCCTCAAACCGCCCATTATCCCTGACAGTGGCTACCAGCCAGAAAATGCCATCCTTTTTGAGAAATTGGGTCGCGCAGTCTCGAATCCAGACAGCGTGCTCAGTCGTGTAAATGACATCGGTAGCAAGGAGCACATCAGCCTCGACATCCAGGGGAGATGCGCGCGACGGCTTTGACCAGTCGAGAGCCGCTGCCTCAATCATAGGTGCGTGCAGTGGGTTCGCAGCGATGTTGGCACGAAGATTGTCCATGACGGCTGGGTGATAGTCCGTGGCCACGATCGTAGCATCGGTGATGTCGTGGCGAGGCAAAAGTGCGGACAACGCCAAACTGACGAGCCCTGTGCCGGCGCCAAGCTCGATGATGCGCGGTGAATGGCCCAGCGTTTCCTTTGTTAAACCAAAACGCTCCGGCTGGTCACACATCAACTTTGAGAAGACAATCGATGCGCCCCAGCTCTGCAGCCCAACATCATCCGGCTCTTCGGAATTCTGCCCAGCGAGTCCGTCGTTGAGTCGCACCTCGATGTTTTTGGAAAGATCCGCGTTCCTTGAAGAGGTGGAGAATGTAAAGTCCCGTGAGTATTGCGCCAGTTGTTCGAGCCTTTCCTCCTCATCGATGGTGCATGTAAAGAACGACTCCAAGACGCAAGACGCCTGATCTAGAGCCCGCTCTCGCGCTTCATCAGTTTTGAAACATGAGAGCTCTTCTACTCTTGCGATGAAGCCCGTCAACCATCGCTCGGCAAGTGTCCTCTCGAAGCCGTCCGCTCGCAGGGCGGTGAGGGCATCGTCGCCATTCTCCCCTTCAGCATCAGAGACGTAGCCTGAATCTGCAGGTACGTCTCCAACTGAGTGTTTTCTCCCTGTATCGATGCTGAACACGAGGGGGCAGTATAGACGAGTGAGGTTGTCGAGGGTTGCGAACAAGTCAGCCTCAGCCAGGAGTTCGATTTTGCGTAGGGGCGGCAAGCTGCTTGAAGGAAACAGCGGGCACCCCTTCGACAGCATCTGAAGCTACTCTGGTCAGCAGGACCAATCTCGCGGGAAGCGACGGGCTTGAAAATGAAAGATATGGCGGCAATCTCACCAGATCTGTAAACACAACAAGTCGATGAAGATAAAAGTGCGGGATGTGAAAATTCCGATAAGAAATTAGGCGTACGATAAAGACTGAGTGCCACCACGTGGCCCACAAGATGCGCTAGTCTGGTCTTGGCGCGGAGGGCGACAACACAGAAGGAACAGCCGAGGCCTTCCTCATATGCTGCGACGGTGCGAAATAGACATGAGTCATGGTAAATGTAGTGTGGCCAGTGCGACGGAAATTTGTTAATCTATTCACATGGTCTATCACCCCTGATCTTGTGTCATGTCTGTTGGCATACCCATCTCAATGTTGCAGGCCAATTGCCGCATCGGGCAACCCACCTCTACCATGCCCACATCTCATTCGCTTCCAACAGGCACCAGGGGTTTAGAGTGTCTTTGGCGCAGTCGAGACGTCTTCTTCAAAACGAAGGAATGAACAAGAAGCTCTTCCATCCACAAAACATGAACCGGCCCGTATAGGGGCATTTCGTTGATGTCAAAAGTTCAGTTGCATGCGCTGACGATGTCTAATGCTAAACTGAACCCCAGGACGCATTCGCCCGATCGGTCAAAACCATCGTGGACATGTAGCTACCAAGCTAATCAGCACGCAGTGGACAAGACTTGTTTAGCCAAGCTAATGTGTTTAATGGAATCTTCTACTCTATTTAGTGTTCTTGGCGCAGTTATGAAGGGCAAGCGCCTGTCTCTGAGATGAGCAAAAGTCGATGCCCGTTCTGAATGACGTTTTCGACTCACGTCGGCGAAGAAATTGGCTTCCGACAGCACCCATTCCGATGCGGGGAAACCAGTAAACTGCGCACTCCCTACACTAAACACCGCAGCTTCGTCAACTTCACACATGACTTGGCGTTCTTTGAGTCTTGTGCCTAGAAGTCAATCCACGATGGCCCTTTCTCTGCGCGCAGAACATCATGCGCAGCCGGGTCCCCTAGACCGTCTTTGGAAGGTGCTTGCCAATCTCTACGATCCTACCACGAACCCCGACGGGTACATCAGTCTTGGAGTTGCGGAGAACACACTGATGCACAGTGTCTTGAATCAGCATATTCACAAGAATTTACGTTTGCCGACGCATGACTTGACCTACGGCGATGGCCAGAAGCAGCTGCGTGCTACGCTGGCCAAGTTCCTCAACAGATACTTTAAGCCAGCTACGCCCATCGAACCAGGGCACATTATTGTGACAAATGGCTGTACATCCGCCATTGAGCACATGGCCTGGGCATTGGGCAACCCGGGTGACGGCTTCTTGCTAGGGAGGCCCTTTTATGGGGCTTTCGTGGACGATGTCACCGGTCGCTTTGGCACCAAGCTCTTGACCGTCGACTTTAATGACGTCGACCCCATGGGTGTAGAAGGAGTGAAATGCTACGAAAGGGAGCTGCTCGCTGCTCAGGAACGAGGGCAGCGGGTTGCAGGCCTCATCCTTTGCCAGCCGCATAACCCGCTGGGGCGATGTTATTCACGAGAGACCATCACCGAACTGGTGCGTCTATGTGAAAAGTACAAGATTCATTTGATCAGCGACGAGATCTATGCTCTGTCCGTGTTCAACAATAACGTGGATAAAGACGTGACATTCTTCCCGTTTACCTCGGCGGTCTCGATTGATACCACTGGTGTCATTGACCCAGCCCTGGTTCACATTATCTGGGGCATGTCCAAGGACTTTGGCGCCAATGGCATTCGAATGGGCACCATCATATCCCAAAGCAACCCGCTATTTCACGCAGCAATTGTACCCGTGTCTTTGATGAGCTCTACTTCAGCGCTCACCGACCATGTCGTTGACAATATCCTCAGCGACGAGGAATGGGTGGAGGGCTACATTGTCGAGAACAGGGCGCTTCTTGCCCAGCAGTACGAATACGTGGCACAGTGGGCGAGAAGAAACAAAATTGAGTACTCCCCAGGTGTAAATGCAGGGTTCTTCCTCTGGGTGAACCTGGGCAAGATTTACAAGGAAACCCATGGCGAGGTCAAGGAAATCAGCGAGGTTGTCATGAACACGTTGCTTGAACATGGGATCTTTCTAGCATCGGGTGCACAATTTGGTGCTGAGCAGCCTGGGTGGTTCAGAATCGTTTTCTCTCATCCGACCGAATATCTCGATGTTGGTCTGAAGAGGATTGAGAAAACAGTATTAGAATGAAGAGAGAAGGACTGTGCCTCTGATAAAGGTCTACAAGTGCGCTTCCGGCTGTGGCCTAGTAGACCAAGGCACTACTTGAGCCGGGGTATTCACTCTCTTAGAAGACATGAATGTGGATCTAGGAAATAATACAGTAGGAGAAGCCGATCAACTGGCACTTCTGTTCTCATCTGACTGTGATGTCAACCAAGACCCTTCCGCTCATAAACTCCTTCAGTTTGGGTAAAGCCTCTGCATATTCCACCGCCAAATCAGCGACAGCATGGCGTGCGTCCTCAAGAGTCTCAGTCCGAGTGATCCAAGGCGTCAGCCAATCCTCCACTTCATCTCCAGGTCTTTTGTGGCCGCGTTCTGCCTCGGACCAGGACTGGCCTTCTCCGGGGAATTTCCCACTCTTTCGTTTGACAAAGCTGCGCCCCTGATAAAACCAGACGTGATCTTTGAAGAAACGGTGCCACGCCCAGTCGTCACTCGCCCAATCCGCAACATATTCGTCGCCAAATACGCTCAGCCTCTCCATGTTTTGAAGAGGCCGAATAGCGGCAATGATGTCAACGTGACGTGGTGGGCTACGAACGTACAGCTCGAAATCCGGGCAGAAAGGTGTAAATGATGCAGTCTCATCGGACTTGGGTCCAAAACCAAAGGACAGCTCCTCCAACGCTGATAGATTCGAACCAACAGCCTGCAGCATCTTTAGGTCGTCATCCGTGTCCCAGGAGAAGCACAATGAGCGTAAATTAGAGAAGCTCCCGCTTGCGAAGTGAGGTAGAAACACATCCAGGTCTGGTTCGCCAAAAAGGGGCTCTTTTCGAAGGTACACGAAGAGTTCGTCGAGCTGCGGACCATACCGGCGCCCCAGTTTCATGACTTGGTCGATGTAATCTACTTTGTCCTTGAACATGATTTCACTTGCCACGCCGGTTACCGCGTATGTGCGAAGGTGAGGTAAAGGGTACTTTTCGGGCAGACTGCTTGATAAAATCAAGGAGCAAATCTGTCTCGAAGGCGCGAAGCTTTTCAAAGGCGCGGCCAAGAAAGACTCTATGACGGTCAACTGGATTTCATCTGTGATGAAAGCCCAGAACTTATTGAGTCTCTCAAAGGGAATGAAGCCGTTGCGAAACATGACCATGGTCGGGCCTCCGTACACGTCTTCCGTAATGGGAGCACCAGGAACCTGCGAGCTCCAGACAAAAGACTCGAGAGTGGATGCAGACCGACGCAAAAGAGTCTCGTAGAGAAGCATCGTCGCACCGTCCGGATCACTATAGCCCGGCGGGAATCGACTGAATCCAAAAGCCAAATCGCGAAGGCAATATGGCTGGTTGCGGTTGAAGGGCTGCAAGACAGAGTGGACCTCTTCTAAATCGTTGAAGGCGAATCCCCAATCCTCCAAATAAAGCGTTTCCAAGCGGCCAGGCGGTGTAGCACGCTCAATTATTGCAGGGAGAAGATGTTTTTGAGGGTCCAGATCACCTATGTCCATCCAATACACCTGAAGAAGGTTCGGCAGGGACGTTCTGACGACGATACCGATTCTTTCGATAAACATCTGCCATTCATCCGTCCAGTCTTCCACGAAGGAGCCGTCTTGGGCTGGAATTCCAAATGCAAAGTCGTCTTCGAAGTCTTCATCGACGGTGATAGTCAAAGATCGGATGCAACTTCCAATAAATGATTCCTTTCCTCTGTCAACCTCGGTCTCCAGGTGGCGCAGGAAGTCGGATGATAGCTCGCTGCGAGTGATCCAGACGTCAGCAAACTGGTACGGCCGAGCAAGCTGCCAGCTTTGCCGATTCACCAGCGCGAACTGGGATAAGGACCGGCCTTGGTTCTCTTCTGCGATAAGTTCCACGATAAGCCAAAGAATTTCATCGGGAAGGCTCAGAAGGAGACTGGAATCGCGCGAAGGGTGTTCAGTACTGCGCTCGCCAGGCCGCAGACTTCGGATAGGGGTGCGTGTTTGTTCATAGCGGGGATCTAAAGGGAAGGATTTAGGTGATACAGCACGAGTTTTGAGATTGTTCTTCATCGTGTCGTGAAGTGTGTGCTTGTTCAGAGAAAGGAGGGGAATGATCGACGCAGGTCAGATTGACAAGATCAAGGCCGGGCAAGGGAATTGGATGTCGTTTGAACAGTCAAAGTTCAGCGATCTCCTCGATCTCCATGAAAGGGAAAGAAATAACGTTTATAATTTTTGAATCAGTCCCAGTTAGGGGTGCGAATGAAAGGAAACAAGCGCTTGTGATACTAAATCCGCACCCTTTCAGACACAGTTTTGATACATATTGCTCGAATTGAAGCCTATCTGGCAAGCGTGATTGGTTTAGTGGTAAAATTCTCCGTTGCCATCCGAGCAACGTCGGGGAGCCCTGGGTTCGATTCCCAGATCACGCATCTCTTTTGTTGATTGGGTGAGATGAGCTTATCCTTTTTGGCTTCTGATCTGGCACTGCTGCCAGGCATAGAGAACTAATGTTTAAGTGTAGTCTGTTCAGACAATAGTAATTGCCTTTCGCTTTTTACACTACCCGAGGTAAACTCAATCATCAGCTGTCAAGCCAGCGGATCCGTTAAGTGCATATTGACAGTGCTGGCACAGCCTGGCCTGCAGCCCCCACGTCGCGTGTAGGCTTTGATGAACGGCGCGTCATCTCGCGACCGCATAATATAATCGCAACGACTGCTTTGAATTGCTTCCAGGGCAGATTCAGATATTCAACAGCGAAGCCAACCGTCAGCCCTGTCAATAATGTTTCAGTAGGCGCAGCATCTGCTGTCACAGTGTCGGCCACAAACTGAGCGAGGCAGCGTGCCTCGCGCATCGCGACCATGTCCACCCCATCTGCTCACAGAACGCCTTCCCGCTCCGAACCCCCCCCGTCCGCTCACTCTGTCCACACGCCTCTCGATCGCACCGGCGCTCAGGGTGCCCCGAATAGCGTTCGCCGTGGAACCTCTCAGCAGCCGCCTTCTCGCAATGCTCCAACACCTCATGGGCGCGCAGCTCGTCGACAGCTCATGGACCGCCGAACCGCCATCTTCACGCCTGGCAAGAAGCGGCGCAAGAGCCAAAATGACCAGCGCGAGGATGCCATGGATATTTTGCGACACCTCGGGAAGGCTCTGGCGCCTAACAGTCAAGTGATCCACTCGTCGTCGTCGATGGACTCGTCGGATGGTTCGCCTGAGTCGACGGGCAAGAAACGCAAGAGTTCGAAAAAGAAACCGCGTCTCAGTGTATGGGAAGAGGACGATGGGCTGGATGACAATTTTCCCTTGGACAGACCGCGCTTCTCGCTGCCGATCGATCAGGACGAAGACGAAGAGGAGGATCTGCCACCGCCCCGTTTGTCCGAGAATTACACGGTGCAGTCAGTGGAAATGCCTCGTCGAGCCGATCCAGACCGAGACCAGGCACGGCTGTCTATGCTTGGTGGGAGGATGAGCGACGTGTTTGGGACTCTACCACCCGAAGAAGGAGGAGAGGGGCAGAGGGAGAGTGACTTCTTCGACGAGGGACTCTACGAGAACTTGATGAACAGACCGGCCGATGACGAGTACAACAGAATCGACGACGATACTCTACGAAGGGAAACGATGGGAGGTGATGATTTTCAGATGGGGACACCAGGAGGCATAGATGAGCCTTCGACATTTGCAATGTCTCCGCCAATTATCCCAGATCCAGAGCTGACGGCGCCAATATTGGAGGAAGCCACCGGTGGGCTCGAGCTTGATGCCGGCTCGGACCCCGAACCAGCTCCTTTCGAAGACTTTGACGACGGACAGCCGTTTGAAGACATTCCGGGTGGCAGTGATGAGGAAGGTATACCCATGGATGATGCTCCGAGTGATCGAGGAGGCTCAGTGGAACCCACGAACGACCTTACAGAAAACATCACTGCGCCACAGGTTGGTCAGGGGAGGGACGCCATGCCAGCAAGGAAAAAGACACGCATATCACGGCATGGGCTAGAATATCCATCACTGCCACCAGCGTTTGTGAAAAAGGTTGCCCAACGAGCGCTGCAGTCGTCCGGCTTGAGCAACCCCAGGCTTTCGACTGATACACTCGACGCACTCACACAGGCTTCGGAGTGGTTCTTTGAGCAATTGGGTGATGATCTAGGCGCATACGCGAGCCATGCCAAAAGGAAGACGGTTGAGGAGAGCGATGTCGTCACACTCATGCGACGGTAAGACGCCACCTAATTGCATCATGTCTAGATACATGCTAACAGCGTACAGCCAACGACAAATCGGTCCCTCCTCCACTATCTTCTCTTTGGCTCAGAAACACCTGCCTCGCGAGCTTCAACAAGAGCTGCGTATGCCGGCACCACAGCCTGCCAAGAAACGCCGCACCAAACGCCCACGAGATAATGCCGATCATGACGAGAATGAAGTTACAGGTTGATTATACATACGGAGACAGCAGGACCATATTTAGTGCCTGCTGGCGCGGTTGGCCCGGCGAGCGATTTCGGTGGTGGGTTTCTTAATGACCATCCAGAGCATGATACTCGTGGCTAAGGACAGGCCGTACCTAGTCTTGTTAATCTCGGTGAAGGGTCAAGGGGTTTGGGAGTTACGATACCATGTGAATATATACTGCGCGTGATTGTTTCGCAAATTCACCTCAGCAGCCCTGCCGAAGGGAATGCCTCTCCTCTCGTAGTCGATCATCTGCATAAATTCGGGTTCTGCCCACGTTAGTCTCCGGCTGAAGGTGTGCTACCAAACACAAGCTTACCAAGTGTGGCCTCTACCCAGACGGGTTGACTGCCTGTCAGCTCAGCCATCTGCTTGACGTCTGGAAAGTAGAATTCGCCCTTGTCCGGCCTGTTCTCCGGCGTGAACATGTTCTTCTTCCACGGCTCCCTCAGTAACCCCTCCACCGTCACCTCGCCCTTTGGCAGGCCGTTCGGCCTCGACCTCTGATCGCGATGCTTCTTGCTGATCCAGCCTCGGTTCACCAAAATCGTCGAGGCGTCCTTTCGCTCAAGGGGTGTGACGACCATGTATCCATCCTGACCGTCCCTCATGCGTGGTCCAATCAACATCTCCTGATCATGTCGGAACACACCGCTCGCCATCACCCTCCGAAAGTCGAAGTCGTGGATCGCTTCGGGATCAATGATGGGTGGAAGCGGCAACGGATCTCGTACCAGCCTGTCTTCGAATTTGGCGATGAGCTCGGATTTCCACCCTAGTCGCTGGACCTGCCACGACCCGAGCGCAAAGGCGGTGACGGGAATGATGGCGAGAATGATGAGTCCAGGGCCGTGGCGGCGGCCCTTGCGGACGATCTTGGGAGGGCCATCGAGGATGGAGACGAATTCAGGCGAGTCGACGGGCTGGGGGTTTTCTTTTTGCTTGAAGGCTCGGGCTATGGAGAAGGGTCGTTTCGGTGCATCGGCGCGAGTTGTTGCACGGGCGCATTGCGAGAAACGCAAGCTGCGCAAGAAGGAGAAAGGCGCGCTCATAATGACGGTTGGCGCACCATGTGGAGGAATGCGATAGACGGAGATGATGGCGATCTGGCGAGAGAGCGAGCTCTGGATGTCGTCGGATTTCGACTTCTGGGACCCACTCTTCTTCCACGACGAGACGTGGGGCTATTACATCGACGACGACTTGAAGCTGAACAGCAATTTCAACGTAATTATAGCTTATTAGGGTTTCCTTCCTGACGCTGCCACATTATGAGATTGTCCCCTCATGTGTTGGTAGCACACGAGACGGCGACGGCAATGGACGGATTTGAAGGGTAGCAGGCGGCCTTGGGGCACATCCCTGTCCCCACCGCCTTCCAGATTGGGCAGGTCTGCTCGGTAATGCCCCGCCGGATCAAGCTCACCTTCATCATCCAAGATTCCAGATGCCATCGAGCTGCCATCATTCTGTCCGCTAGGATTACCCCGTCACACAAAGATTTGCTTCCGTTTATGTATGCAAGTCCGATCCTTATTACACGATCCTATCACATCTGTCCCTGTGGCTCTGTCTCAGCTCTCAACTGCGACTACTTTTGTTACGTCAGAGCCGTCGTGCCATACCAGACCCCTTCTTAAGCGCGACCATGTTCTTTGCAGGTACGATACAAGAGGGGATCTCAAAGGCAGTTGGTCAGCAGAAAATTGTCGTATGTTTCGTCACGAATGATGGCGCGGAAAGTCAGACTTGGGAGAATGAGTTCTTGACGGATGAGTCGGTGAGTACTCACTCAGCTTCATGCCTACACACACCAGCTCACTTGGCTTATACGTATCTCAGATCGCCGAGTCAATTTCCACAAAAGCGGTTGCCCTGCGCTTAGAGGCAGGATCTGACGAAGCCGGATACTTGGCACAGATCTTCCCGTTACCGCAAACACCAACGGTTGTCCTCATAAAGGATGGAGAGCTGAAGGAGTACATCACAAGTGGTACCAGCAAAAAGGAATTCCTCCGTCGCGTCCAAAACTCGTTCAGTAGTTCCACCACAAACGCCTCGGGCCGCCAACAAGCACCCCAAATAGCGTCTCCTTCACCATCGCAGCCAGCACCGCCTGCCGCCGCTGCAGAGGCCACGGCGCCGTCACAGTCACAGAGAGCGGACCAGATGCAACGAATGTTGGCAGAGCGTGCTGCCCGTTTGTCAGCTGAGAAAGAGGAGGCCGAGAGGAAAGTAAAGGACGACCGTGCCAAGGCCAAAGCAAAGGCCAAGGCGGAAGCGGAAGCGGGCGCAAAGACTGATGCCGCGCAGGCATACCAGCAGGCCGAACTTGTCAAGAAGAAGAAGAGGGAAGCCGATGAGGAGCGGCAGCGCATTTTGCGACAAATTGAAAACGACAAGATTGCGCGCCGTGAGCGAGCTGCGGAGCGGGAGCGGGCGAGGATCGACAATGTCAAGATTGGTGATGTGGCCGCCTCACTGGCCAACGTCCCCGAGACCAAGCTCCCGTCAACGACCAAGATTAGTGACATGACAGCACTTCAAGTCAGGCTGTTTGATGGCTCGACTATACGATCACGATTCAAGACCAAGTCAAGCCTGAAGGAGGTGCGGAAATGGGTGGATGAGAGTCGACACGATGGCAAAGCTCCCTACACCTTCAAGCAGGTCCTGACGCCTCTGCCGAATCGAAACATTGACGCGACCGAGGAATCAAAGGATCTCGCCGAGCTCACCCTTGCGCCATCTTCGACGCTGGTTTTGATCCCTGTCAAGTCCTTCGCTACGGCGTACGACGACAGGGCGAGCGGCAACGTCTTTACACGTCTTATTCAGCTGCTTCTTGGGTTCATGCACTGGTTATTCAGCTTTATTGGCTTTGCGGGGCCCGGCACACAGCCCGGAGTAGCTACAACTGCATCCAGTTCCGGCACAGATGCTCGCTCTCCTACCGAAGCCGGTTCTGCAGACCGCAGAAGGGATCAGCAATTATACAACGGCAACTCTGTGAGTTTCATTGTGCCATTTTCACCGCACTGTATTAAGTCTTAACGCGCCACAGCTAAACTTTGAGCCTCGGCCAGACAATGAGGATAAATAAACATGCTCATAAAGCCCCAGTCAGAGTGGGGATGCCTTGATGTAGTGTACAATTCATATCAAACGCAGCATTCTACCGCCTCCCCATATTATCGTCTCGTAGTCTCGGGTCTAGTAGTTCTTGGCGGCAGCCTGGCAAGCCTTGAGCTGCTCCAGGTACCAGTTGCAGATCTGCATGTTGCCGTTCTGCTCGTCCATGCAGCGGGTGAACTCGGTCGCGGCACCGGCGCAATTATTGTTTCCCTGGTTCCACTGGCTGGTCTGATCGTTCTGGGCGACGGGCGAGGCGTTGGCCTGCGCGGGGGCGGGCTCAGCAGACGAGCCGCCACCGAAGAAGCCGCCGATGGCATGGCCGATGGAGGAGCCGACAGCTACACCACTTGGCAAAGTCAGTCAAAGCCGCGCAAGAGGTGCATAGATATATAGCTTACGCAGCTGTGCTAGCCATCTGGCCGAAGAGACCAGGGCCCTGGGGAGCGGCAGCCTGGGGAGCGGCAGCCTGCTGTTGAGGAGCAGCCATGGTGGTCGCAGGGCGCTGCTGCTGGGGCGCAGGAGCCGAGGTAGCGGGTGTAGGGCGCGCAGGGGCGCGGGAGGCGGGCGCACGGCCACCGGATGAGCGTTGACGAGGCATCTTTGTTTGTGAGGTTAGGTGGAAGAAAAGTGAGTAAGTGTCTGGGTGGAATAGTCGACCGGATGTTGAAGATGGCGATGCTTGTTGGAGATGGTAGTCTGGAAATTCTATGAACGTCCAGCACATGACCAATCATGGGGCTTGGAATTCGGGATGTTTCGCTGACCGCTCCTTTAAACGCATACCCCTTTAAATACACTAGACGCATCTTGATTGAGTTATCCGGCGGTAGAGGCGTCACGAAATGCTATGCAGGACATCGTCGAGACGTTGCCGTTGCTTTCAGCTCATTAAAAGGCTTACAACATCAGGGTGCCGTCGAGTATGGGATGAAATTGCGCGTCTGCATCCGCTTCTTTCAACACCAGAAGCGAGTGTTCCGTCAAATCATTCATAACACGCAGCTAGGGAGGATGAGGCTCATATACGCCGGACAGCTAGTATGTAGTACCGCTCAAGCATCGTGAATGCCATTCGACTGTGCTTTTTCAGCTTGGCTGGTTCCCGCGCCAATGACAACGGGCAGCTCATCTTGATATTCGCTTCTCGTCCACCCTTGAGTAGGCCTGGAAACCCTCGACCAGCTTTTCCACGAACGCCAGGCTCCTTGATCCGATAACGCCATGTCGGAGAAGAAAACATTCACCAAACCCACACCAGCCTCACAGGGCGGGCGACAATGCGATGAAGCAACTCATTCCTTGCTCTTCTTCTTCTTTGACTTGTCTTTCCTTGCCTTCTTCACTTTTCCTTGTGATGACTCTGTGCCCGATGCTTGTGGCGAGTCCTCGGCAGGGCGCTTCTTATGCTCCATCGACTTGAGCAGAGCCTTGGCCCGCTCTTCAGCAATCTTCTCCGCCAGCTTTTTGCTGAGGTCTTTGTTGTCGGCCTGAGATATTTGTCAGTTCTGTTGCTGCCATGCACGAGCCTGTTCGCAACCCACCAAGTCCGCCTTCAAGATGCGGGCCGCCGCCTCTTGATTCACGGTATGTGTGCGCTGTGCCGGAGCCTCGGGGTCCTCGATGGCTTTTATTTTGGCAAAGTATTGTTGAATGCGCTTCAGCTCTGTAAAGACGGCATGATTCTGGGCATCTGCGCCATCCAGCTTCAGTGAGGCTGCGGAGATCAGCATCGTTGTGTACAATCAGATAGGCAACCTTACAGAAAAGCAAGGATTCAATTGCATAGGCAGTGAGTGAGAAAAGCTTAGCCTTGTCGAGTAGAGGGAGCTGGGACGACATCTCCTGCAAATTGTCGAACAGAGGCTGCATGGCGTCTTCGAGATTGTCCACCTGGCGATCCAGCCTTGCCAGATCAGGCGTCAAATCTTTCACGTCCGCCATCCTGATAATTTCGACTATTTCCTTGCCGTAATTCAAGGTTGATTCTGTTCAGGTGGTGCTGTCGGTCTTTGTTGATATGTTTCACTCTCATCGACAGAACTTTCATTGAATGCGACCACGCGCCAAGCATGAGGTGTATGCACGTATCGGGACCCGCTGATAGCTAATCCCCACTACTGTAGCGCCGCTGTGGATCCACCTCGAAAAAGATCCATCCAAGCATTTCCGGGAATTTCACGCGTAAGTGTATGGTCCCTTCTCCGGGTCATAGACTGTGGCATACTATTACCACTAATTACTCAAAGGCAAACTTACCACCCTGATCAGCCGTTCGTAATCCTTGCTCGTATTTAAGAAACTTCGACGGAGCTTCGCAACAACATTACGGCCGAAATCGCTCGCCCCTCTGGTGTACTGGCCTACCACCTCGCTCGATCCCTCCTTCGCTCCAAGGCTCAGGCAGGCGTAATTCCACCTTCCACGTCACTTCATCGGTTGATCCGATCACGCGCAGGCGCAGCGGTGATATCGTGCGCGAACACCCAGTCGACTTGCCGTTAAATGGCCAGCCGGTTAGCGCTGCGCCCAGCGGCGTCAGTGCGACGAACGGTCTCGCTGTGCAGTTGCGACTACATCTCGCAGGGCCTACCCAGATGTTACGGCACAGTCAGCAGCACCGGCAGCAGTGTCGGGCAGATTCCGAGTGCTTTGGATATTCCCGATACGCCACGCTATGCGCAAACGACACCGACGGCATCTAACTCCGGAACGAAGGCGCGAAAAGACGATTCTGTACGCCTTGACACAAGCAGCGGTCGGCCCTCGGTCCTGGTGTCAAAGGAAGCTGCGACGCGAACACCGCTCGTCCACAAGATTCATATCCTCGGGGAAGACATCAAGTCCAAATGGATAGCACACGCCCTGTCCGAGGTCCATGACCAGGTCGAGTTGATGGCGTGGACAGGGCGCAAAACGCGATACACCAACATTCGCGACCGGGTGCGGAATAAGCCTGTCGAGGCAAACAGGACGTTGGCAGCTACAACACAACAGCAGAAGGACCCAGAGCCTATAAAGCACCTCATTGTGACTGGATCTGGCTCTCAGGCGAAGCAGAGCATTCACAAGGTCAAGGATCGTCTTGACGAAAACTCGACTGTTTGTCTCATGAGCCATGGATTGGGCGTGTTGGAAGACGTGCGGAACAGTTTCTTCCGCGCGAAGCGCAGTCGGCCGGACTTTCTGCTCGGCCATATGAACCACACATTACAACTATCACGCGACAACTGGGCGGTGGAATACGTCAAGCGCGGTGCCATGAAGTTGACGACGCCGTATGCGCTCAATCCTGCGGAAGAGAATCCCGAACGGGTGGAGCAGCGAGTCAACTTTGTCAAGACGTTACAGACCGCCAGTGTGGTGAACGCCAGCCTCGAGAAATACGACACTTGGTTGAGGGCCAAGCTCCCTTCGCTAGTATACTCCGCCGTCGCTGAGCCCGTGTCCGTCATGATGGGGGTGCCGATAAAAGACCTGGTGCATCACCCGCCGGCCCGCAGCATCATGGGCAGGCTGCTGAGCGAGATTCAGAAGGTCCTGCTCAAGATGCCTGAAGTGCGGGGATCACAGCTCATCTCCAGATTTGCCCGGGATCTCAGCGCGCAGAGCGTCTTGCAGGGCTACATCCACAGAGGAAGGGACAGGAGCACCATGACCTACCAACAATGCATCGACAAGGGGGTGCCGACGGATGTGAAATACTTAAATGGCTACTTCTACAAGAAGGGGAGGAAACTCGGCGTGTACATGCCGAGCCACCGCTTAGTCTGGACTGTAGTCGAAGCAAAGTATGGCAGCGGAATCTACGAGGCGAACACCTTGGTCCCTTTTGAGGCGACCTCACTACCGGCCGTTGAGGAGCATCGCTTGCGGACGACAGAGTCTTTGAGAAAAAGCTACCGGAAAGGGCGTCATACGGAGTAGAGTGCATTGTCTTGGGTTCAATTTCTTGACACATGGAGCGTTGCATCGCAGGGAGCAAGCAGAGGGCATCATAGAAGATCGGTCCTTCGGATACTTTTTTCATTCTTTATGTATAGTATGTACTCATTGTAATACTATGCTCACGACCTGACTACTTGTTCTTTTTCATCATATTTATGCTGCTCGCGTGCATGTTATTTCGTATAAGACGCTGGATTGCGTATTCCAGGGTCATGTGATGCAGCATGCTGCGCTGCCCCTCCAATATTTCCCAGAGCTTCCAAACACCCCGCGACCAGTCGTTCTTCCTAACCATCTGACAACACACAGCATCGCAAAACATGGATGACTCAGAGCTCGATCAGGTAGAGCACCTGTCCTTTTGTTTTTCTCTCTCGCTGACCGAAGATAGATCCGCAAAGCTCGCCTCGACCAGCTCAAGTCGCAAGGCGGCGGCAGCAGCGGCGGCGGCGGTGCATCAAAGTCTGGAGGCCAGGATGAGGATCGCCAGCGGCAGTGAGTTTTACCTCCGAATATAGCACGTCGTGACTCTGAGCTGATCTTCTTGTCAAAGACAGCAGGATGAAGCACGCCAGCACATTCTGAACCAAATTCTACACCCCGAAGCCGCCGATCGCCTTGGCCGCATCCGCCTCGTGAAAGAGCAGCGCGCCACCGACGTCGAGAACCGGCTGATTATGCTCGCGCAGTCAGGGCAGCTACGGTCGAAAGTCACCGAGGAGCAGTTGAAGGATCTTCTGAACGCGGTTGCAGGGAAGCAGGAGGAGGAGAAGATTGTGGTCAGCAGGCGGAAGGGCTGGGACGATGACGATGACGATCTACTCGATTTATAAGATGAAAACTTTGATACCCACAGGATGAGGGTCGGGATTGTGTACATTCCGCCCGGCACAGGGCACTTGCCCATGCGCTCGTGCTACTACTGCTACTACTACTACATTGGGAACCCCCAGTTTCACCGCTGATGGCTCTGCATCTCCTTCATGCGCCTCCTCTCCTCGCGTTCGCGTTTGCGTATGGTCCGCAGATCCGGTGGCTGTTCGATGCCGAGCTCTCTCCGCAGGTCGTCCACGTCCCTCTCCAGCTCCTCTTCCCAAAACACATTGATCACCTCCTTGCTGCGGACGCCATTTCGGACGGCCCAGGGCATGTATATACTCCAGAAACGGCTCCTCTCCTGTGCCTTCAAGGTGCCCACGGCTAGCATGCTCAGTCCCGTCATGGGGATCAGGGTATTCGCAAATTCAAACGCCTTGAGCGCAACCTCTCCCTCTTTGACGATGGGCAGCCCCGTGACAGCGTGGAAGAAGTCGTGGCATTCTCGGTAGCGTTGCATAACATATGCGCACTCCTCGTCGTCGATGTAGCGGACTTGCGATCGTGTATCGGGCGAGACGCCTTCTCGGTCGAGCCAGTCAATATAGGCTCGGCCGACCGAGTTGGGTGGCATCTGGCGTAGTTTCTCGACAGACAAGGTCTTGGAAGAGATGCGAGGTCGTTGACGCAGGATTCGGCGGCCGGTTGGGTCGGCGAGCATGGCGTCGCGCAGGCGGTAGATAAAGTATGGTGTCGCAGTAGCTTCTCCCAGGGCGGCGATGAGATCTGGGCGGTCAGTCAGCCTTATCCAAGAGCTACCATCAGAATTCACTGACCATGACGGTAAGGGTTGATCAGAGACATGACGCCTGACCCAATGGCTAGACCGGCGCGTTCAACCCGAGTCAGAGGTACATGGCCGGGATAGTTGGGAGGTGGGCGCTTGAGTGATGAGAAGCGCCTAGATTGGTCCGTCGCGCAGGCTGCGCAGATCTTAGGCGCTATCCACGCCGTGGTCTGCGACGTGCACGTTGACCGGAAGCGAGTCGCAGCTATCTTCATGATTGACGATCGTTGGTTTGCGGTGGGCAAGTTGAGCAGGGCAAGTTCCGGGTCATAGATCGTACCATTTCGCGTAGTCTACGAGTGGGACTGCTGAGTGAGCATGCCTACCCTGGAGCAGCGTATTTTTACCGGATAGCCACTGTAGATGTACTTTTGCGTGGGAGCTTGTCCAAAGAATTGTTTATTAACTGGAAAATAATTGATCATAGCAAGGCTGCTTGATCCCTGGCCGGCGACAGCTTGCAATTTTGGATCCTGGTTACGACTTAATCTAGTTTTGGGATTGATTCGTTGCTGTAGGAGTCTGAAGATGCAAACAATAATGCCTTTTACACAACAGGCTCGATATCGGGGTTTATTTACGAACGCCTGAATATAGTACTTGTAGTATTCAATCTGAAACCGAGTCCAAGCGCGTTCTCACGGATTGTGGCATCATCGACAGAAGGCATGACGTATGCATGATGAAGCAAGGGTCCAGTGCTGTACATGGCTTGGAAGTATTTGGTATCATCTACCAGTTGACATCTCACTTGAACTCGGCGAGTTGAATAATATTGCAACCGCGTGAAGGGTGCTGATATTATCAAATACACCTAATTTTAGTTATTCAAGATGTCCGGTACTGCCCCTTCCGATCCCGCCCCCGGTGGCCACGCCCACGATCGTGGGGTCCAGCAGACCTCTCTCGACAGCAACCAGCATGGGCAAGCACAGTAAGTTATACGCAAGCAGTCAATGAACGACGCAATCTAACATCTCAGGAACATCATCGATGAGACCAACAACACCACTACAGGCATCACCGTGGACCGCAATCTGGGCCAAGCTATCGATGCTAGCAAAGGCCAGGACGGCCTCACACAACGCGTCGATGACCTCTTGAACACGCCCGCGAGCAAGAGCGGCAACGTTCCTGCTGAGAACAAGGCTCAGGGGAAGACAGAGGAAGGCTTCCGGGTAGGCGAACGTGCTGATTTGCATGATCTGGCACAAAGCAAGCAACCGTGATGCTTCCGCAGCTGACCTGCTCGCTGGTTGATCATCTGGACTGAACTTGGTGACAAAAGACACCCGGGCAAGGCAAGAATAATCTGGAGGCATGATCATGGCCAGAAATCGCCTGGATCACGAGGGGCCTCTGCAGTCTGTACGTAAGGCCCAGCTACAAGCAGATGATTCCAAGTCTCATTCATGTGGTGTGAGCGTGCTTTCAAAGGGATTTGCTAAGCAGCACCTGTCCGATAAGTTAGCAGACATGCCGACAACTTGATGCCCATGAGTCGGTTCAAGTATTTGGCATGTGAAGACGAAGATGCGTCAGGATGCATTCGCGTTGCGATGCTTGTCCTAAATTCTGGCACGTAAGGCGGTGTCTACGTATAGATTTCAGGGGCTTTGGGACGACCCGTCCTTTTGTACACTGGCAGCTGAAGCGCGTGAAAAATTCCCCGTACTGGTGCCGATTAGCCGTCCACTTGGCACGTCTCACCCACTCAGAATCCAGCACGCTTCGGGAGGTGGGACCAGCCTCATCCAGGTTCACTCCTTTTTCTTTGCTTTGGCATGACATAGTGCTCAGATCCTAGATCCACCTCACAATGCGACGACTCTCGACTCAATCAACCTTCTCTTTGTCACTACACTTGCGTGAGCTATGCAGAAAGACGGAAACAGACGCGCCGTCGGCTTGTGAGGAACACACCGGCAGTCCTACGAGCAACGCCTGGCAGTACATGTGCAATGTCGGCCACTTGTCTGAGCGTCTAACACAGAAAAGCGACGGACTGTTACGCTCCTCAACCCGGTGCTGAAAAGAAGAAAGCTTGTGATAGCCATATGCGTACCACGAGAGCTTCTGCTCGTTTGTTGCTGCTCAAGGCGTTGTAAACGCAAACCTGTATCCCAGGGCTGCCATTCACTCACGGCCCAAGCCGTTTCTCACATTCAAGGCTGGTCGGAAGCCCAGCTACCTATTTCTGTCTCTCTTTTCGGAGTCCTCTCGCGCATCTGATATCCCTTGTGCATGGGACAGGGGAGCGGCACAATGAACTCCCTCGCCCGCAAACTATTGTTTTGCGTATCGTTTCTCTTAGCACTCATTTTCTACGCACGTGCCCGCTTCTATCGAGATCCCGGGAGCATCTTCTTCGACAAGACGCGGGCTTACCAGCAAGTCTACTCACATCACCGTCTACTCGAGACTGAAGAATTCATCCGCGCCACCAAGAAGGAAGCTGGCGAATACGAGAAAGCTTCGGACAATGCTACCCTGTGTGTAGCGATCAGCTCAGTGAAGAGGCAACGTACCAACTATCTCGAAACAACCATTGCAGGAATCCTCGCTGGCCTTACACCACAGGAACGAGGGGCGCTCTATCTCAGCGTCTTCATCTCTGAGACGGACCCTGAGAAGCACCCGAGCTATAGGAGCCCATGGATCCCCAGAGTCGTGGACAACTTTCACACGTACGACGTTTTTGAGCACAGGCTCGAGCTCCTCCAGGACATGGAACGGGAGGAGCGCTTTCTCGAAAAGGGCGTGTATGATTACCGGACTGCCCTGCAAGACTGCTACAAATCGGGGGCACCGTACATTGCCGTCTTTGAGGACGACATCCTGATGGCCGACGGGTGGATGGTCCGCACTTTGCTTGGTTTGCGTGAGGTCGAGAGGCGAGCTGAAGACTGGCTTTACATGCGGCTATTCAACCAGGAGCGCTCGATTGGCTGGGCGGGCAAGCATATTGGCGGGAACTATGAGTTTCCGATAATCGCCCTCCTGTCCGGGGCCATACTCGCTCCAACCTACTTTTTGCGCTCCCGATTTCGATTTTTCCGGGTTCATCTCGAGAGCATAATGGTCATTTCCCTGTTCCTGATCCCATCTCTTGTCATACTGTTCTATCAGTGCGGCAAGGCCTCGCTCATGCCACCGCGGGACGGCATCTACGCACAAAAGTTTGGCTGTTGTGCGCAAGCCATGGTGATGCCAAGGGGCCAAATACCTACTTTGCGCTCCTTCTTGCGAATGGAGAAGGCAGGTCAGATGGATACTCTGCTCAACCGAAGAGCAAGGCGGGCAAAGTTAATGCGCTATGCCTTTTACCCGGTGCAAGCGCAGCATATCGGTAAAATTTCCTTCTCGTTCATCACAAAGCAACAACTGACCCTTGACAGGCCTGGATTCGGCACGACATACTGATGAGGATGAAGCTCGAGCTGTCTGGAGTATGACATTTGAAATGCGGGACCCCGAGAAAGCACGTAAGGATCATCTAGAAATGGTTAATCGGTATTGGGAACTGTAGACGCTTTGTAACGTATAATGATACAAGTTTCTGACCTCTTACTCTGGGCAGTCGTTCCTTTGTGCGTCCCCTATGTTGCAATAGTTCACATAGGAAGGAGAGGTTTCTGCTATTGTATGATTGACTAATTCCTGAGGAACACTAATGGAAATAGCAATTTCATGTTATGGACAATACTGCATACCTTTTCATGTCTCGCTTTGCAGAGAGGCAACTCAGACCTACTTGATATCATCCACGAGTCGAGATCCTTGGGTGCAAGCCTACTCGGCATCTTCATCCACGAATCCAGCTCCCTGGCAGCCAAGAGTGCAGCCTCCAACGGTAAGTAAGGTAGGCTGGTAACATCATTGGATCAGACCACGTACCAAGGGAACAACCAGAGCTGATTGAGCCGGCGCAGCTCTTCAGGCAATCATTGATGCAAGCCGACTGAACAGCGTGTGTTAGTAGCGTGGCCCTGACGTGAACGCAGCACTGAGACATACAACATCGTTTCGCTTGACGACCTTGTCCTGGGCCAGGAATGACCGAAGACATGACGCCGGCGCCGGCGGCGAGAGTGAAGAGAATGGATGAGAATTGGATATTGATTGAGTGATGGGTGCTTGGGTGTTCTGGTGAAAGTGGTGCTGTAGAGTTTGAATTGGTTGTTGCGAGAGATATGTTGTAGAGATGAAAGGCCAGCCTTTTATGTTCGTCCGGATGCTCCAGCATATGCTATCATGGCGTTCTAATTTATTGCTATCATACACTCAATCGAGTCCTGATTTCGCCATCGATGGCGTCTGTACACCCAGAGTGGTCGTCTTCAACAATGTTCAAGCATCTTGACGTACGTGACAATCAAGATGCGGAGTATTGTGTGCCAAGTGACTGCGTGTCATGCGAAAAGCGCCCCCATTAACAAACTACATGCCTCTTCCGTCGCTGATCGTGGCCCGCGAAGGTACAGAGTGTGGTTTTCGACAGGCTTCAAAGGTCCCGATCGACATCAAGTTGACGATTCCGGGAAGCTCGCTAGAAAAGAGATGCCTTCTACTCTACGTAAGGGTTGCCACATACTGCCACCTTGGGTCCATAACATGCCGGGACTTTCAAGTTTGGTTTCTGTCTTGTGTCCTGATTCACAGAGCCTTTCGAGGTTTGTTCCCCAGAGACGGCCCGTATGAACTCGGTCTTGCGTCCCCGATGTAGTGTTTGAATGGAAGTGATCCTGATCCACGTAGTATGACTGTATCGCAACACCTAGGCTGACGGAAAACTAGTAGACTGGGGTAACCTGAGGGGTCCGCGTACATGTCCCGGTATGCACCCTGTTACGCACCGAGACAACGACTGCGCGGATGAAAGTGGCGCGTTACATGTGCAATATAAACCATATGCAGCTCAAAGGCGGGACGGAGCATCCTGTCTCCTCAGCGAGTGCCGAGAGAGTTACATCACCCGTCTGTAACATACTCGACAGGTCTTCCCCTTGAATGTGGTCACCCATGTCACATGTGTGTGGCGGTTCCATGCAACCCAGACTTGAATGATTGGTGTTTCTCTATGCTGGGTTTGATATCACGATCTTTGAGCAGTCAATTTCTGCGCTGAGAACAACGTTGTAGTGTTCAGATGGCCAGATTGGTCCTATGACTTGACGGTACAAGCGCCGAAGGGCACGTTCCAACACTAATAGCATGCCCAAATGAACCGTCTTGGGTAACAGAGAATGGTTTCAAATTATGCTCAAGCTCTTTCTTCAGATCGTCGACTTCAATTTGCTTGGAATCAGGCGCCCACAGATCAGATACGCATCTCCAGGACTCCTAGCACTGCCATATTATGACACCTGACAGCCAAGACGTTGCACTACAGGGACGCGTGAAGTTGAAAAGAGCAATTGATCTTCTGTCATGCAAGTTTACTCGGTCCCGAGACGGCCCAATAGCTTCACTCCTACATGGACCCCATGGCGCGATCAGCAGCCAGCCGTTTGATGCTATGAGCTTGAAGATCGACATCACAAAACAAGCAAGAAACTAGAGATCATGTGACCAATGATGGTCGGATTGGACGCACATCAATTCGAATTAAGTGTTCGCATATTCTATGGACAACGTACGTGTCTGTATACGAGTGGATTTCAAAGTCAGCCTGCCGGGTACGGTGGCCGGGACTTGACGCCGGACTTGCGTCCCCCGTGCTCCAGGGGTCAGCATTTGGCTTGCAGAATCGCCACACCATGTGCAAAAGGAGAAGCCCTCTCGACACCCGATGGCGGGAACTGGTTAGATCGCCAATGCATGTAAATGTCCCTGCAAGAAGGCATCAAAAGGTGAGGAGCGGCTGCATCATCTAAGATTCCACGTGCATGGTGACGGCGAATCAATAGATTGCCTCGTCTCGGCACGGCTCGTCGCCACTTCTCGTCAGGACTTGGCCTCTGATTGGAGGCAAATAGGTTGAAAAGGCAACTTAAGCTTGTTGATCCGGGGGATGTTCTCCACGGACTCGATATTGCAGGAGCAGGCCGGTCGGGCTCGCCATGTTCCCATTCAAGCCTCGCTTGCTGTATAGTCATGTCTTCCACCGTCCTTGCGTGTAGTAGAGAAAGGAAAACCTGTGTTGCATGTGTCTTCGACAGAACAAAGAGTTGGCATGTTTCCTTGCAGCCTTTTGGCGCTCTGCATCTTTTTCCTGACTGAGTCCTCCCGCTTCGTACTCGGCCAAACTTTCAACCAAAGGGGGATATGGGTGCTGCAACCTGATCCTTCCACAGAAACCAACATCACAAATACCATAGACGTGGCCAAACCGAGAGGACAAGAGGCAGTCAACGAGCTACTGGCAGTCTCAGATCCTGGGTCACTAAAGTATGGGAGATACTGGAGTAACAGAGATGTCCAGGAAAAGTTCTCTCCGTCAACAGACACGGTCCGAAACGTCCTACGTTAGATCTCCGTGTCAGGATTACGCATTTAAAAAGCCAGATACGGAAGTGGCTCGATACACCTCACCTGTCCTGCCCGGCAAGTGCAAAATGTCTTTCGAACCAGTCTGCTTCACTACAGACACCGATTCACGGGAGCGACCACTTATCGGTTCCAGCACAGCTATCACATACCTCCTGAGATACAACAGGATGTGCTTTGTGTTGAGCCGGTATTTGATCATCCTAAACTGAGTAACAGCACTCAAAATCCTTCGTCACATCAGGTCAGAGGCGAGCGGGACTGCGTCTCCAACGTCACTCCCAGTTGCCTCCGTGAGATCTACAAAACACCAAAGGACAACTACACCCATCCCGAAAACTCAATCGGATTCTTCTCGCCAGGATGGTCATCGGGGATCCCCAGCGATCTCGACGGGTACTTTGCAGAGCACGCGCCTGAGCTTCTGGGACGCAGACCTTCCCTGGTTCCCATCAACGATGGATACAGGCAGACAGACATTCAATCTGATCCTTTCAACCTTGAACCTAACATGGATGCAGAGCTTTTAAGTAAGTGGGAGTACAGTCACGATGCAGAAACCGTATTGACTCCTCTCGAGTGACCCTTGCGTATCCTCAGAATGTCACAAACATCCAAGTTGGCGATAGCAAGCACCCTGGTAACATCAATACGTTGCTTGCCGCTTTCGACGATGTGTATTGCGACCAGTTGGATAGCGTATTTGATCCAATCGTTGACGTGAAAGACGCCGACTGCGGCACTACTCAGCCCCCGAAGGCCCTGTCAATTTCATATGCGTGGGCGAAGACAGACTTTCCCCCAGAGTACCTCGCCCATCAATGCCACGAATTCCTCAAACTTGGTCTCCAGGGAGTCACCGTGATTATCTCGACTGGAGATATGGGTACAGGCCGACATCCCGACGGGGAGTGTGGCGACAAGACATCCACACCACAGTTTGTCCCTTCATGGCCAGCCTCCTGCCCCTGGGCCACGGCGGTGGGGGGCACAACGTTCGTTGCCACCGCAAACGAGGAGACTGTCACCTCATGGAGGACCTGCCATCTACCGGGCTTCCACATGAGCGAGATATTGCTGAGGTTGCCTACTTCCGCCCTCATGATGACGGCAACCGTTGCAGCGCCGGCGGCATGAGCAACGCCTTCGCCACCCCTGAGTATCAGGCACAGCACGTGGGTCGGTACCTTGAGCAGCAATCGCACCATATTGACAGTTTCCGAAATCATTTCAAGCAGTCCGGTCGAGCGTATCCTGATATTTCTGCTGCGGCCTCGTCAATCCAAGTCTTCACTGGCGGTCGATTCCATTCAGTGTCCGGCACGTCGTCTTCGGCCCCTATTTTCGCGGCGCTAATCACCAAGATCAATAATGAGCGTCCGCGCTCTGGAAAAGCACCCGTTGGGTTTCTCAATCCACCTTGTACGCGAACGCACGTGTGTCCCATGACGTGACGAAGGGTTACAACACTGGATGCGGTGTTGATGAAGCATTCCGGCCTACTAAAGGTTGGGATCCGGTGACTGGGCTGGGTACCCCAGACTATGGAGCTCTTTTGGATTTATTTATGAGCATGTAACAGCAGTAGTATAATCATGTGAGCAATTGCGAGTAGCAATATTCTCATCCATGGTGTCTCAAATCGTCGGGTGGCAGTACCAACTCCCGCCACTCGTGTGATGAATCCAAGCACTTAGCTCCCGCGGCTCTACACTCGACGCAAATGTCGAACTTTACCTTGACAGCAGTCAGGACACTGGTAAGTCCCTAGTTCTGTTGGGCCATAGCCAACGGAGGACCGCGTGCAGATGCTGCAGTGCGGATCCTGGCAGGTTCCAAGTAGCTCTCCCCATCGCCTTAATTCCTCTGTTTGATATGTCCGTTCAGATATGGGGTCGTATCGGTCATGTCAAAATTTGTATAAAGATGGTGGGTAGAAAGGGTACCACTGGACCTGATATAGGCTTCCTAGGTTTTCTTCCAAGCGCACCTTCCGGCGTCGAGCAAATTCTAGTACCATCTTTATCATCTTGGGGTTAGGGTTCACATTAACCCAGAACAGGACGTCGCGCCCTTGGGCGTCTTTGGCGAGTAGGTTAGCCGGGTCAACAGTAAGAAGGACGCGAACGACCATCATATGCCCATTGCTCGCGGCTGCAATAACAGGGCGAGTACCGAATGCGTCTGGCACGTCCCCAGAAAGATCAGCAGTTGACACGTCCCAGCCTTTGCGGTTGACAGCTTGGCCTTTACTCAAAATAAGAACAAGGCATTCATAATGACCTTTCCTCGCAGCATGAAACAGTGGTGTTCTGCCAAGATTGTCAGCAGACGCCATGTTGAACTGCGGGTTCTTCACCATGACCCTCAGGACATGTATTCTTCCAAGTTGGGCGGCGATGTGGACAGCACCAAAGCCAATATCTTCTTTCTGCCAGCCTGTGTTGGCCCCGGCAGCGGCCAGAAAGCGACAAAACGGAGGGTCGTCTTCTTCGGCAACCTGGTAGAGTAATGTGACCCCATCCTCGTTCTCGTCTTCGTTCAGCTGTTCAACGTCAACCCCGGCTCGCACGAACAGATTGGCAACGTCTAGCGACGTTTTCATTGCCTCTAACAACAACTTGCGACCATCTATTTCTTCCCAAAGCCCAAGATCTGACCAATCTAGGGTTGGAAGGCATTGCACGAGCTCAGGATTCTCGCAAAATACTCCCAAATACAGAAGTTCCCTAAAGAATGGTTGCAGCGGGCTGCCATGATGCAACAACGGCGTAATCACGTTTGTCATCCTTTTGTGACTTTCTGCCATGTTCCATAGTAGTTGGAAGTCCGAGTGAAGTCTCAAATCAGCCCGCCACAACAGCCGAATGTATTCTGTCCAGTCTTTGATTCTTGCTCCCTTGTTTGCGACGTCCATACCGGAAGTATCAATGGCGATGTTAGAAATGGCGAGAGTTTGGAGATCCATTACATGGCTTCGCTCATGTGACTCAGTACGAAGAAGCAGCTTGACGATATCTGGCGATGGACCCAGAGTAGTAGAGTGAAGTGGCGTCCAACCCGGTGGTATCGAGGTGCCTCTCAGAGAAGCCCCATGACCTATCAAAATCTCGCATATGTGTGTGTGTCCGTACCTAGATGCCATTTGGAGCGGCGTGTAATCGCGTTTGCTTCGCGTGGAAAAAATTCCTTCTTGAGATTCAAGGCTATCCTCTGCTGGGAGACAATTGTTCAATGTTGATACTTGATGCGTCTCCTTCATCCTGCTGAGCGCATCATCTGGTGGATTGACCCATGCGCCGTGCTTAAAGAGGAGTCCGACCATCGAGCTGTGGCCCAAGCGACACGCCTCAAAAAGGGGCATCTTGTCGAAGCAGTCAATGGGATAGTTTAGCTGGGCCTCATGGGTTTCAGTAAGAGTTCTGGCCAACTCTATGCCTCGGAAATGTTTGGACATTGCCACTGCCCAGTACAGCGCGGTGCAGCCATCGGGATCTACCGCATCAACGTCGAAAGCGCATGACCTGAGGTAGTGATGGATTAAAGGTAGGTATCCGTCTTTTACTCCGGCCGAAAGGTTCTGATGTAATATGATCTCGAGTCTCAGGGCACGGCGGAAGGTGGACGCCCGCTGGTGGTCAATTGTCCAAGCAACTGCGTCCCATCTGCGGCGCAGATAGAGCACATGGCCTTTGCAGTCGCAAACAGGGTCCCGGCACTCGTAGAAGCGAGGGTTGCGCTGGCTACGACGGCACAGGTATGCGTTCAGCTGGCGTGAGAGAACCTGGCTGGTCCTGGCCATGGAGTTGACATTTGAGGCCCACAGATACTCGGCGAAGCTGTCGGCTATCATTTCGATCAATTCCTGCGGTAGTTTTTCTAAGTTGACAGACGGTTCTCGCTTGCAGTGGCCGCCGCTTGCTTCTTCGGCCGACACCATGTTTGCTCCTTGGTGAAAGTGAACACTAGTCGTAGAAGAGCAATGTTTGTTTGGGCTGGCCGAACAGGGGTCGTGGTTGCATGCTACAATCTCACCCTCTGCATCTCTGCGCAGATCGACATATGCTGGACATGAGGACGAACACCTTGTCGTGGTCGCTTGATGTTCGATGCGCGGTGCAGACTCACAGTCGCACTCACGCTCAGAGTCAGCATGGTTGTACATGTACATCTCAGATATGCATTCAAGCGTGTGAGTCCCTGTCAATCTGGCTAGCTGCATAAGTAAATATCCCTGCATGTGCTCACTGGCTTCTAGTAGTCTAGAACATGTAGCATGTCTGGCATGAACCACGACTTCGCTTTCTTTTCGTCGTCTCGACGCCATTTGATGACACGGCACTGTATTCCCTCCTGTTATCGGTGCCTTAAATAGCTCGAGCCATTTTGGCAGGGAAGTGTCCTGGAAAGTCACGCTGGAACGCAGCGAGCGTCCAATCCCATCACGCGCGAACGCCACCTGGACCACACGAAGTATGTAACCTAACCCTTCTCCTGTTCTGTCTTCAAGATCGCTACATTCTCGAAGTCAAATCCTATTGTCTATTCCCCAAGGATTGGTCCCGAGTCTACTCAGGATGGGCACTGAGGATGAATCGCCTGTCCACTTTTGTGAGGACCTACGAACTAGGTATACGAGTTGACGAACCTCAGTATTTTTGTTTTGTTTTCACTGCTGTTTGAAATCACAATATTGCCATTGTTGAGTACTTGTTGTCCAGAAAAGATGTGGACATCAAAAAGCGTGATGAACACGGCTATCCAGCCTTTTATTGGGCCGTGGGCCCGACCACAAGCACAGGTGATGGGTTGCCCTGGCAGACTGCTAAGCTACTCCTCGCGTGTGGAGCAGAAGTCGACGCACTCGAGTTGAGAATCGACAAGACTGCTCATAGGAAGAGCATGCATGTTTGGCTACATCGAAATTGTCAAGCTTCTGCTTGCAAATGGAGCCAGTGTCAACCCGCCGACCGATGACACTGTTGATACAGGAAGCCCGGTGGAACACCCTGGCTACGGACCTCTTCACTGTGCGGCTGCTTTTAATCACGTCGAGGTGATACGCCTTCTCCTAGACCACGGAGCAAACATCGAGTCATCGTACTCCGACACTACATATACCCCTGTATGGGTTGCTGCAGGGGCCAGAAATCTTACGCCCGCTCGAATTCTTCTCCAAGCAGGGGCCAAGGCAAACCCTCGCGGTACTGGTCCGTCTCCTCTTGAACACCTATTTTCAACCTTGAACAAGGGTCAAAATGTGTGGCTGCCTCGGGCACCCTATTTTTTCCTATTGGTCGTGTGTGCTTGCGCTTCTTGAAGCCGGCGCATTGCCGAGCACGCGGCTGCTAGACCGTGCTCTCGCTCAAAACCTTTCCGAAATCGCCTGCGGCTTGGTCAAGTACGGCGTCGACCTGAGCTCTCAAGAGCCATGATTATTATCTAAAATCCTGAGGACACACCCGTGGGACTGCTCGACATTAATCAAGATCCTGGTTGGAATGGGCTTCGATTGCAATATGCGTCGCCCAGAGGTTGGACTGGCACCCATACGCATTGCGGCCTACCGAAACTACACACAAGCGATCCGGGTGCTGCTCGGTGTCGGGGAAGATATTGAGCAGAGGGATGATTTGGGGCGAACTCCCCTCCGGTGTGCGATGAGCACAAGATTTGGGAGGCCCTCCGCAACTGAGACTATTGAGCTGCTACTGAAGAGAGGAGCTGACCCTTTGGCTACAGACCGTCGACTGGAGACACCGCTCCATGCAGCTGCACATTTGGGCGACGTGGCAACGATGACATTGTTGCTGGAGTCGGACATGTTTGGAGACAACTTAAGCCCGCGGGACCACAGCGGCAAGTATACTATCTTTCACGCTGCGGAGAACGGACACTACGAGGTGCTGAATCTTCTCCTCGAGAACGGCCGCTCAACAGAACGCTACAAGCTTCGTGGCCATCTGGATGGCGACCAACCATGCAATAACCATAAGGACGAGGATGGATGTACTCCTCTCACAGCTGCAGCGCGCCACGTGGGAGACAACAGCGAGAATGACCTGCGATCAGTGGAGATCCTTCTCAGGGCAAACCCGACCGACTTTGACGCCAAGGATCCGTAAGGCCTTGGTCTGCTCGACATCTGACCTGACAACGAGGAACTTGAAGACATAACCAATGATCTAGCGCAGCAATCGAAAAGGTCCGGCAAAAAGGCCATCGAACGATCACGTCACTGAAAAGAAATACTGAGGTTGATCGGGCTAAATCTTTCAATCCTCCGTAGCAATTGGACTCAAAATCACTGGAGGCAACGGAGTAGGTACCACCATCAAAGCTGCGACTTGGGCGGGTCCCAATATGTACCCTCGCCAAAAGTGATCTCGGAATCCTCCATCCTCACTCCGACATGCCACCTCTTCATGCCTGGCCAGAAATTCTCAAAGTCAGTCTCGCCTAGGCCTTGCTGCAGATCCATCCAGCCAACGGTTGCCCTCCTCGTGTATTGACCCGGGACAATGGCGCACCACTTGTCCGTGCCAGGCAACTCTCTGTGACTTGCGTCCTTGCCTTCTGGGAGAGGCGGCTGTACAAGTGTCGCGTCAAATCCCAAGTAGTTGAGCAGGTTTGCGGATATTGGAAATGACGGGACCAGCGGAATTGGCTTGAAAGAGGCTTGAAACAACGGAAACTTTGAGGGAGAAGCCTCGGTAGGGTCAGATGGCACATCGTGGTGGAAGACCTTGACGGCTGTGCTTCCATTTGGTGTCTCCTTGAACTCGAAAGATGCTAGATGTTTTGGGATGTTCCAGTCTGATTGGAGAACGGTTAGCAATGACTTCTTCACATCTCAAACACATACTCTTCCTTCCGTTCCAACAGGTGTACTTCTGCGACACATAGATCCTGGTGATCCTGGCGTTCTTCTTCTTTACCCGCTTCCCATTCTCTTCGACCACATGATTCCAGAAGCCTGGGATAATTATAAGCTCATCGTAGGGGCCGACTGGACTTTCGGTATAGCGGATAATCTGCACCACGCCCAGCCCACCGAGATACTCGTTGCCATCTGGCAAAGCATAGTCCGAGTTGCCCTCTAGAGGCGAGAAGGCGAGGCCAGCCGACTTTGCCGTCGCAAAGTCCCCCTTGTTGGTCCAGAATGGAAACAGGTACACTGTGCCCTTGAGTTTCCAGGGTGCTGGGACATGAGTGATGTCGCCTGGTGGTGGTGTCATGTTTGCGCAACGTCCCCTGGATACGCTTGTCGGCCTCTGTCAGTCATCAGACAAGTCCCGGATGCGTGTTTTGAGAGGCTTGTTGACGAGAGTTTTGGAGGTCAGACAGTGGCTTCACTCTTCAGCGCTGTGAGTAACAGAAGTGTGGGGTAGAGGCGACTTATAAGCATGGACAGTGGACGACAAATGCGGCAATCCGCTCGTGCACTCACTCACGCTTCACCTAATATGCCGGCTTGGCATGAATCGCATATACTCCGTAGACACTCATATGTTCCCGGGGTATTAGGCTTGAATGACGGACCCCAGCAATGGTAACACACGATTCCGAGGACCACAAGGCACATGGATGAAGCATGCATGGCCAACCTTGAGAAAGTGACCCCATTTTGTATCTCCATTTGGACAGAAGTCCCCGGTGCAGTGTACCGTGTGCCAGTAGACTCGCTCATATATGAAGCAAGGTTGAATGGAGTTGCGGATCGCATGCCACGTCGAAAGGTTACCCGAGGTTGGCATTTTGATTGAGATGTATCATTGAAATAGCAACAAGCCGTTCCAGACAGGCGTATACTGAAAATAAATCCAAAGTCACCAAAGTCACCAAATCTCAAAAAAAAAAAAAAAAAATCCATTTTCAGTCGCAACGCACGTATAAAACATGTCATACAGCCATGACGAAAATCTCTGTTTGAAGCTCGACATCACTAGTCTAGGCGCGAGAATGCAGATAGGGTATGCAGATCACGACAAGCAAGATGGATTTCTGGTCCCCTGCAAACACTGGCGCAACCCATTCATAAAGGCCAAATACTTGACGAGTACGGAAATGCCGGATGGGGAAGAGCAAGAAGAGCTGATTGAGACAACATACCTTTCCTATGTGAGAAGAAACATAGCGAGTCTACATGTAGATTGCGACATCGGCGGCATCTAATCCAGCCTACCCTGTGGCGTTTGACTCATCAAAATTGCATCTCGTCGTCCAAGTCCACGGAAGTCTTGAAGAAGGAACTCTGCCATCACCAGACAGTATCAGCGCAGATATCTTCATGTTTCTCACTGCTTCTCATGTCTCGCCAGAGTTTACCAGACAAGCACCTTCAGAATTGCACATTCACCAAAGTTGATTAGCCGCTCGATACATACATGTGAACTCAAACCGCTCATCGTCACCAGGAACACACACGCATTTATCATGAGCATCGACGAATCCATCGAGGCCCTGCTGAAATGGGCCTCGGACAACTCAATCACTCTTAATGGCATACAACCAGAGGTCCTGCCCGGTAGAGGTATCGGTATACTGGCAACTCGTGACATAAAGGTAACGGAACTCTCCTGGCCCCATCTCATACACCAACCATTGACAGTTACCTATATAGGTAGGCGAAGACATACTACAGGTGCCTACGCCCCTACTCCGTACATTTGACAGTACACCGAAGACAGTGACCTCCCGTCTCAAGGGGGCAACTGTCCACGCCATCCTTGCCACAGCACTGTCTCTGGACATGAACAGCCCGCCAGAGGACTTTCTGCCCTGGAAAGCCGTCTTTCCCACAAAGACCGATATTCAGACGCTCATGCCGCTCTGCTGGCCTTTGGAACTACAAGCCCTGTTGTCAGACACCTCACAAGACCTTCTCTCCAAGCAAAGAGCCAAATTCGAGAAAGACTGGGCGCTCGTGTCAAAATCCTACCCCGACATGTCACGAGAAGACTACCAGTACGCATGGCTACTGATCAACACACGAACATTCTATCACACCACCCCTCGGACGAAAAAGTCGCTCCTCAAAGACGACAGGATCGCGCTACAGCCCGTCGCCGACCTCTTCAACCACTCTCCTGACGGCTGCACCGTGTCATACTCGTACCAGGGCTTCACCATCACGACCACAAAGCCAGCTTTAAAGGGGGAGGAGCTCTTCATCCGGTATGGATTTCACTCGAATGACTTTCTCCTGACAGAGTACGGATTCATCCTCGAGTCCAACACCTCAGATAGCGTGTGTCTGGATGAGTACATCAAACCTCTGCTGAACAAGGAGAAGAAGAGTATGCTCGACGGACGTGGTTACTGGGGACGATACATGCTTGGTAGAGATGGAGCGTGCTACCGCACGCAAATCGCCTTGCGAACACTGGTACTGAGAGAATCCCAGTGGTTGATGGTGCTTGATGGTCTGAGGGGGGAGGACGTTGACCAAGACGCCGTCAACGACATCTTGCTCAAGGTGCTAAGGCAATATCTGAAGGATATTGAGGTGGTCAAGGCAAAAGTCAACGACGCAAGCACGGGTGACATTACACGAAACACGCTGCGGGATCGTTGGCAGCAGATCCAAGATCTCATAGAAGCCACGGTGAAAGAGATATCATGAGCTCATGTCAAAGATTCAAATTCCCAAATGCTCCATATCGTCGTGGCGCCAATAACTCTCTCACGATGCAAACACCCTATTTGTACATGGGTTGGCTGCTCTTGTCGCCACAGATGACGAGCCATGTCAAATGTGCCAAGAGGTCCGCCTCACGCTTGACGTGATGGATGCAGCTCCAGAACACCATCGTTTCAACCTTTCAGTGTAGCCATGTCAAAGACCTGCTTATTCCGGGCGTGGACGTTTGGCGCCGTGAGGATTGCCCCAATCACCACCGCCACCACCCTGGTTCTGGCCAAAGCCACCAAAGTTGTTGAAGTTACCGGGGATGCCTTGAAAACCTGCAGTAGCGTCTGTCAGCGAGCTCTCTCTCCGTTCCAGATCGGCAATTGGTGATCTTCCATGCGCGGCGGCACCATCCGAGCTGAGCTGCTCAGTTAGGTCTGGCCTCCCAAGAGCCGCTGCGAAAGGATCCTGCCGCCCATCTTGGCAATGGCAATGCAGAAGCTCACTTACCAGGCATACCGGTAGCACCCATCATTCCCATGCCCATTGCGCCGGGCATGCCCATGTTCATACCGCCCATGGGGTTCATGCCCATCATGTTTCCTCCACGGCCACCCCTCATGCCGCCTCCTCGCATACCGCCGCCCATCATATTGCCACGGCCGGCGTTGAACGCAAAGTTACCACCACCGCCGCCCATGCCGAATCCGCCGCCACCGCCCATGTTGTTGTTGTAACCGCCACCTCCACCAAAGTTACGATTGTAGCTGTTCTGGCCCATGTTGCCGCGGCCTCCGCCATAGCCCCCACGCCCGCGGAAGCCTCCACCAGAGTTGTAGTTCCCCCGATCGCTGTAGGAGCCTGGCTGGGCTGATCTCGGCTGGTCCTTACCCCGTGCGGGGGCGTCCTTGGGGAGGGTTCGGAACGGGTTCATATTTGGGTTCCAGTACTGTGTCGAGATCTTCTTCTGGCCAAGATGACCACCGTCCGCGGGCATCTTGTCGATCAGGTGTTTCGCCGATGTCGCGTCGTGAGCGGAGTTAAATTCAAGGTATATTTGCCTGCGCTTGTTAGTATGTTGCGCCAGCCGCTCACAGTCCTGGGCCACGAACCCTTTGCTCTTGCCGTTCACTTTGTGCTCGCTGAAGGACATATCTTTGACGCCTGCTTCACATCCGCCCTGCCGTAACCAACCGCGGATATCGTCATCTGTCGTCCACCAATTGAGTTCGGAAATCATCAGCGCGGTTGTGGCGTTGGGATCAACAGACCCTTGTCCATCATCCCCTTGGTCGTAGGCCTGCGGATTCTTCGACTGCTCTTGGTCGCGATCGTGGTCGTCGTGTGCTTGTTCGTGATGCGCACCGGCGCGGTCGCCGTTTGCATGGTGTTGCTGATCGCTCCCTGAACTATGTTGCTGTTGGTCATTACCAGCATCTCCATAGTAATCGATCTCGTAGTCCTCCTCCGCCATGATGCTGACTGGTATGCAAACACTGGTTGTCAACAGTGCTTTGCAAGGGCAAGGCGGCTGGTGAGGTCAAGGAGGTTGGCTGCAGCTATTACATGTATGGTATTATGTGTGCTCTGTGCGAGATACAAATGAGGCTTTCCGGAACCTTTGATGGTCATCAGCAATCCGTGTTCTCCATCGAATGTCGAGCGCGCTTTGCCTTCCAGAGTTCAGTTTGCCAGTGCAGAATACGTACAGGAAGGGCCAAACGCTCTCGGACGAAGCAATTCGCTCCGCGTTTCCCAGGCTGCTTTATCTCAAAAGGGGTTGAGAAGAAGAGCAATAATGATGATACAGGATCAGCTTGAACTGACGTAGCGCTGGGAGAGTTGATGCGGCTGCAGCACAGCTTTCGGCCGCGTGGGCTCTTCTTAGTGCCACCGTACACCTCGCTGCTCTGATGAATAGGTACAAATGTTTTGCTCGCAGCCCAACACGCAAATCTCAACCTTGCTCAATGTCGGTCGGCGTCGCTACTGTCGTTGTGGCGGCGGACAGAAAACGGGTTCGATGATCAAATGCGAAGCACACTTGAGATGGCGGAAAGGGACGGGCGTCCCGTGTGCGACTGGGGTGACTAGGGTCTGTCTTCCGGCAGGCAGTGAATTTGGAGTTGCTGCAGGTGAGAAGCTCTGCAGACGCGAGAGCTGGATTAGTGAATTATGCGGTGTGATGCCGTCACGCGTGAGGATCTCGGAGCAGCAAGCTCGTAGTTGAGACTTGGGAATTGAAGATCATTGAACGGGTAGCAGTTTTACGGAGTTGATTATGGTGACGGAGCTGAGCTGGGTGACGACTGTAGTGGATCGCAGAGGTGTCGTGTGTCGTGGAGACGGGAACCATCAGCAGGCGACGGCTGGAAGTCCAGCGCGAAAGATGCTGTGCAGTCAGTTTGCTGATGGGGGCTTGATTAGGTCACAAATGTCATATAACAAAGACGCCTGGCATTGGTGGTGTAGGTACGATGTCGTCAAAATTTGAGACGCAATGCGCCCCAAGCTTTTGACTTGATGTTTTCACGACAACTCAGGTCAGCTCTGGCTCCGGTGAGCGGCTTGAGCCAACTTCGTTGCATCTGCCTCTTTCCCCCGACCTGGACAGCGGGGTGCTAGGACAGACACAGCTCGGAGCAATGATGATCCGACACTTCCCCGTGTCTCCAACTCGAGGTCGAGCCAAGTGGCCTTGGATGGATCAACCGGACTAAGCCCGACGCCAGGGGGTCCAACGGTGGCCGACGTTGAGAACACGTCGCTGCGGTGGCCAAATTAACCCCAGAAACGCTGCAGAGGTCCCTGAAATCTGTCGCCAAACCACCACCTCCCAATTCCCAAACACCACGCGACAAACCAAGCTTTCATCATCTACCACAATGGCCGGCGATCAGGTTCAAGAGCTCCTCGAGGCTCCCTCTGAGTTTGCAAAGAGCGGCATCCAGTTCATGCGCCGCTGCACCAAGCGTACGATGCGAATCCCCTACCACGGCGAGAGTTGCAACATGGACTAACGTGGTGTAGCTGACAAGGCGGAATACCTGCGTCTCTGCCAGGCTGTCGGTGTTGGTCTGGTGATCATGGGCGCTGTTGGATACATTGTCAAGCTGAGTACGGCACCGCGGCGCCCCCTTCTCGCCATGTTGCGCGATCTGTGCTAACCCACGTGTTCAGTTCACATGCCTCTCAACCGGGTACTAGTCGGTGGCGCGTAATGGAGAACGAAGGAGGATGTTGTGGACGAACTTGGGCGAGGACAGCCCACCCGACGGGGCGATAATACCATGTGCGGAGACCGGGCGTTGGGTTACAGCTGGAAGCATACGGCGGCGCGAAACCTCGGCACTGCTCCATTCAATACATGTCATTTTTTTTTCGCGGTCAAGATGCATGCTGATCTGAAAGGTCAAGCATGTATACCTTACATCGCATACTTGATACACAGGCTATGTAGAATATGGTCTTCATCTGCGCAGCCACTGATGTTCCGGATCAGTAGGCCTCTTCCCATTCAGGTTTGCGCATCTTGGGGTCGTAGTTGCAGGACATTGGCGGGTCGCCTTCATCATTCAGGCCCTCATTGAAGGAATGTAGCGAACAGGTCCCCCTGGCAAGACTGTATCCATTCCACGCGGATGCTACTTCTGTCAGCTTCTTTACCTGAATTCAAGATACGGCTTACTTACCAACGAGGAAAGGCGCGTTGGGGTGCCAGCTGGCGTCACGCACGCAAGTTGACCATGAACCGCCGTCATCAAAGCGGTAATATCTCCGGGAACTATCCCCGTCTCGCTCGCGCGAGTCCTTTGTCGCCTTCTGGACGTCGATAACCCGAGCCAGCGTGGCATCCATGTTCCACACGTAAACTTTGCCATCTCTGCTGCCCGAGTACACATAGCGCGAATTGGTCGCGTTAGGGGGGGAGAAGTGGCAGCGGATGAGGGTATTGAGCACCTTGTGTCCTCGGAACGTGACGACCGAGTTGTCGTGGGGATGGGGGTCCCAATCCTCCTCGTCATATCGACCCATGCGATAGTCGTAGCTTCTGTAGCGCGTGTGTCTCTGTGGATCCAAGTCGCGGAATTGGCGTCTGGACATGACCATGCGCACGTCCCAGAGCTTCATGCTCTGATCCTTGCCATTGCTGAGAATGTAGCGGCCGTCACCCTTGCTGTCAATGTAGGTGATCCCTTCGACGTGTCCGACGAAGGCGCCGACCTCTCGTTTGTCGCCCATACTTCTGCGGTCCCACACCTTGACTGTGGAGTCGTCTGAGCCGGAGTAGATGATGTGCGGCGAGGACTTGTCCGCAAAACAGACAGCGTTGACGTCGTCCGAGTGGCCCTCGATGTGATGTAGCACCCTCCGAGACTCAATATCATATACCACTAAGGAGCCACCGTTGGTTCCAGCCACCAGCTCTCTCCCGTCACCAGAGAACCGGACAGAGAAAATACCTGTGAACCCTCCTGGTCGGCCCCAATGCCCACGGCGGGCTTGATGGTCTTCGCTCAAATCGAGGTTGTACGGGTCTCCGGTATCTAGAGGATCGGTGGGTGCGATACAGACCAGCGGCGAGATGGACGTATATGCTAGCCATTTGTTGTCCGGACTGAGGGAGGCATCTGTCAAGGTCCATTGGCCCCAGGGATAGTGCACCGACTTGTAGTGTTTCCAATTATACGGATTCGACGTGTCGTACATTCGCACCTGAAAGTCTTGGCAGACGGAGTAGAAGAAGTTACCGTCATCCGAGAATTGTCCTGAATAGACAGGATCGTCGTAATGAATGATGTTCTCGGCTTGTGTGGTGGGTAGGAGGCTCTGTGCCAGAAGTCCATGGTTTCGTCTTCTAGCGTCGTAGTCGACGGTCCCAAGTTCTCGGTCAAGTATCCGCCTCGATACCTGCTTCCGCATACGCCGGTCAAATGCACTCTCGTTTGAACCAAAGACGCCCGATCGCATAAGCTTCTCGCCCTCGATACTGGGTACTTTGGGGAAGCGATTGGGATCTTTGGGTTGACGTCGGCCTCTTCTCAAGATTTGTGACAACGGTGATGGGTCATCTTCATCGTCTATATCGGCCGCGAGCTGTTCAGGATCCCCTAAAAGGCTGAGAATCTGATTCCTGCTCCAGTGGCCGCTTCTGGCAGCTGCAGGGCGTCAGTAGGGGAGCACCATGGATATTAAAGCCTTCACAGCTCACCTTGTAGAATGGTCAACAGAGGAATTGTTCCTTGTAATTCAATCCCATCATCATCATCATCTTCATCTTCCTCCTCGTCTTCCTCGTCCTCGTCGCCTTCCTCGGCATCGACAAAGTCAATAATGTCGTCGTCATGTTCGTGGGAGACTGGGGCATTCAACCAGGCAGGGTCATAATCCTCGTCATCTTCATCCTCGTCTTCATCTTCGGCGGACCCAGCGAGAACGGCCATCATATCTGCCTGCTCGTGCGGTAAAAGTCTATCGTCCACATCATGATATTCAGACGAAGTCTCGCTGTCAGATGCTGCGGCGCTGCTGCCTTGGGGCGCCCTGGCCGGAGCATTGGTATCTTGCGGGTGACCGCTCATTATGATGGCTTAGTGTAGCGCAGACTAAATGGACTCGCAAAACCAGCGGTAGAATGTCGTAGCGTGAATATATAACAACGATCTTAATGTCCGCTAATCATGGAGACATATGCCTGGCATCTTGCATTGCACGAACTCAGGAAAGTGGTGAACGCATGATATGAGTTAGGCCATTGGAGATGCTTGGGGCTCTGACGCCATGGAGTCCGGTCGGCGATGGCACTGGAGACGGCGGGGAGCTCTCCCCGGAGATAAGCCCGCCTCCGATATCAGCTTGCTTCATAAGCAAAAGAGGCAAAACTTAAAAAAATTAAAAAAAAAAAATTTTGGCAAGGAGCTGCTTTATGTATAATTATAACTATTAACGGCTGGAGCTGTGAGCGACCTTTCATGTTTCTTGAGCTTGAAACACATCACAGCCTCCCAATACCATCTGGCAAACACGGGATGACGGGTAGCGCCTTGGACGGCAGCTGGTATGGCTAAGGTACTTACGCACCGACTCTCGAGTGTGAGATGATGCGACCCGGCCGACTGGAACACGGTATCAAGCCTGTATCCGTAGCTGCAGTGATTCCAATTATCTGACTTGATGTTGAAATCCGATGCAGCGTTACACAAAAGTGAGTCCCAAAGACCATATGTGTGGCTGAAGGGGACTGGACATTCCTTTGCCACGCGCTAACCTCCATTGGCGTAAGTGTCCTATTAGGTCCTATTAGGGGTCTGAGATTCTAATCTAAGTGTCAAGAGGGCTCGGAAACGCTTCGATAAGATCGTTGATAGATTTGGTCTCAACCAAGTACTCAATGATAGACATGAATGAAGAATATGGCTCGCTAGCAACAGAATTCCCTCCCATGCCATGCCGACCGTAGATCGACTTACGCAATTTGGAGGGCGCGTACCTCGCGGCGCCAGATTCCAGGAATCCAGATGCAGGACGCGTAAGGTAAGGTATCTTAAGTAGGTACCTTAGACCCACCTGGGGCTGTGCGCCTGTCTTTCCTTCTTTCGTCCCTGATTTAGACAGAGAACATGATATTCTCCCATCCCTAGACTCAAGGCTGCTCGAATTGTTGATCGCGCCGAGCCTTGTTGGGAACCTTTGCATTCTGTTCTGTCTTTCACTGAATTTTTCTTTTCGAGCTTGCACGACCAGTTCCTTACGATACCGGACGCTTCATCGACCAGAGCCAGCAGCTGCGTGAAGCTGGCATCATCCCTTCAACTCTAGCGCCGACCCCTAAGCTCGACTGACCACGCGAGTCGTTTTACGAGGCCACCGCGTCAACCTTCACCACGATGAAGCCTGCCATGCACTCATCACTGCTTCTCCTCCTATTACCAGCTTTTGCGACTGCGTTGGGCGACCCAATCGGTGACGCGCGCGATCTTGACACATCTGCCATTATTGCGTCTGATGAGGCCGCTGGACATGTCGATCCCAGTGACCGACGAGAAACGCCAACCAAAGATGCACCCGTGGATGGCAGAGATGGGAAGCCCCATTTAGGGCCATTCGTCGGCTCGGACAGCACTGGCAATGGCGACCAGGGTCTTCCCCCGTTGAAGGGTCGCCCGGATGACTACACTGTCGTCGACGGCAAGAAGATACCCAAAACGAACGACGGCGTCATGTTCGACAAGAACCGCGATCGACCTCAAGAGGGCACCACGGGCACAGAAGGCGGCGTCACAGAGAAAGAAAAGACGCGCAAGGAACGAGAAAACCAGCTCGGCGCACGATTGCAAGCGCAACCCGAATCTCCCAAGGAACAGCCGCCATTGCCACATAGCGAGCAAGAGAAGATGACGGGCAGCGCAACGCAGGGAACAGATCCTGTGGGCGACGAGAAATCGTACACGGGATTCGAGGTACGAGCTGCCACCAAGCATGACGGATTGCCCAAAATGCTGACTACCGCAGAAACCTGACGACCTGCCCGAGACAGGTGCAAACCCCCCCCCTGTGCCTGAATCGGCAACGAAATCCCACCTTGACCTTGCGGGCGACTCGGACACGCACACGACCGACCCTGAAGAGGACGACGAGGGCTTGATCCAGCCATTCCACTCCTTCGTGCTGTCACTGACCATGATTCTGGTGTCCGAGGTTGGCGACAAGACATTCCTCGTCGCCGCCCTCATGGCCATGAAACACGACCGGATGGTGGTTTTCTCGGCTGCTTTCGGCGCTCTGCTGGTGATGACCGTGTTGTCGGCTGTTCTTGGCCACACCCTACCTGCTCTGCTCCCACGACGTCTGACCAGCTTTGCTGCTGCGGTGCTCTTCTTTGTGTTTGGCGGCAAGCTGCTTCGCGAAGGAATGGAGATGGACCCAAACGAGGGTGTCAGCGCCGAGATGAGTGAAGTTGAACAAGAGTTGGCCGAAAAGGAGAGGGAGATGGGGCGCAACGGCCCAGAGGACCCCCACACGCTCGAGATGGGGCTCAATGGACGCAGGTCACGATCAAAGACCAGAATGTCGTCGCCTCCAAGGTCTCCATCACAGTCCCCTCCGAGAACGTCTGCCGGAGCCAGCGCTCTCACGGGAGCATTGCAGGGCATGGGAAATCTGTGCTCCCTGCTGCTCAGCCCCGCGTGGGTACAGACGTTTGTGATGACCTTTCTGGGCGAGTGGGGTGACCGGAGCCAGATTGCTACCATTGCCATGGCTGCCGGACCAGATTACTGGTGGGTGACACTGGGGGCCATGGTTGGCCATTGCTTCTGCACAGGTGCGGCCGTCATTGGAGGCAGGGCGATCGCAGGGCGAGTTAGCCTTAAAGTTGGTGAGTGAAGCTGTCTGCGCAGATCTGCGGCGAATATGAGGCTTGGACTAACAGCTTGCAGTGACCGTTGGCGGCGCAGTGGCATTTCTCGTTTTTGGATTCATCTACCTCATCGAGGGGTTTTACGCCTGATGCTTTGGACCGTCTGCTTCGATTTCGCTTTTTTTTTTTCACTATTTTTCTACTTGTAATTCACAAGCATCGCCGCACGGCGGCTCAACTTTTGTTTCATCCACTAATGCTGTTGGCGGGAATGGTAAAAGAAGATAACGGCGTTTATGATCACTTTGAGTTGTACACTAGGGCGAGCCCACGATTATGATGGCTAGAGCAGGATTAGACATGAAGGGGCTGGACAAATGTTTCGAGTACCAGTGTTCCTAAGTATCTGTTTTTACTCTCTGGAACAACATCGAACCATCTACATGACCAACTCCAAGTTCTTGTCTGTCATCTTGTGTGTCTAACACTACATGTTCAATAGGGCTCAGGATGATCGACGGCTTGAGGTCAACCGTCACCCCGCGGCAAACGTCCCCGGTCTCCGAGTGGGCATGACGCAATGGCAAATGTCCAATCACCGTGCGTTCAGTACGACACAGCCAATCCGACATATAATTAGGCAGAACACTTCACTGTCATCGCCTCCCTACTGTACCTATGCACAATGCTCTCTCGCCTTCAATCAGACTTGTCGGGTTATCCGAGTCCATTGTGAGCCAGACCACATGCACAGATCGACTGTGTCTGTCCATCTCGTGGCTGTATCTCTCGGGGCTGACCGTCTGTGTTAACCAGTCTATGTCCCTCAGTCAACTGTTCAACCTGGGGATGCTCGCGATATTGGAATTTGGATGATATAATACAAGTCTATGACTTGCTATTTTGATATACACGCACAGCTGGAAAGACAGGGTCAATCCAATAGCCACTGCCGCTCATTTTCAGCCCTAACTAAGCCTACAGAAATCCTAACATGGTCAAGACCAAGGGCCAGGGGCAACCAGGAGGTAACGCCCCCAAACGAACCCCCAACAAGAAGGTCAGAACTGGTTGCAAGACATTCAAGTGCGTACGTCCCTGTCCCTGCGCCAGCCAAGTTGTACCGCTAATGTCTTTGTTGCTCGCAGGATCCGTCGCATTCGATGCGACGAAGCTAGGCCAACCTGCAACAAGTGCACGTCAACAGGCCGTAAGTGCGACGGATACGCTACCGGCCCAAGGTACCCATTGCCCGGTCAGGGGCCGTCCTCTGCCGCCGCTAATTTGGCATTGAGCAGTGGGGGGGCCCAGAAGTTTGTCATCCTCCGTGTCCTTTGAGTCCATGAGCATTTCGCCTAGACCCAGTCCGACCCCAGGGGATCGCCTGGGGGCATACCTCGCGACACAGCTGGGACCAATCACAGGCATGTTGCTCAACTTGTCGTACTGGAAGTATCTTCCCGGTCGGTTGGACAACAGCCAGGCCTTGCGTGCCAGCCTGGTGGTCTTTTGCAACAGCTGGCTGAACTACAAGACTGGGCTTCCGCCGAGCCAGCTTATCGAGCCCAAGCTCTACGGGCTGGCAATACGAAGCTTGCAGGCCGCGATCGATGGGCCAGAGCAGCTCAAAGTGGAGATTCTCGCATCGATTGTCATCTTGCACCGGGTTGAGACTCTGCTCGACTTGATACGAGGATCGCATGTCACGAACCATGCCAAGGGACTCATCGGCCTGTTGCAGAAAAAGGGGTACCCCAATTTTGACGATCCGCTGGAAACTCACCTCATTGTGGACATGCAAGCGGCAATGGTGTCTCACTGGCTCGTTCATCGGGACGTGAATTTCATGCACCACTCAGGCTGGTCAGACGTCTTCAAGCGATGTGCAGTCGTCGTTGCAGCGGCAGGTGACGACGGGGGGCTCAACATGGCGCCATTCCACGAGTTCGACAGAGCACTCGGTTCCCGGGCCGAGATATGCCATGGCGTACGCGGCATTCACAACATCGCCGATCGCGAAGCTGCGAAGATCGAGGCAGCGCGTAAAGAGGACGAGATACAACAGATGCTCGACGAAGTGCGTGAGAGTTTCCAACCGCGAATCGAGTACATGCGCGCAAACGGCGGCATCGAACAGGTCGCTACCCCGACTTCGCCCAGCGGCTACGCATACGACTTTCCAACAGACAAGTGACCGGGCGGCAGGACTTTGACCTGGCCATGAGAGGCGACACCTTTCAAGCAGACGAGCCATGAGCAATGCTGTCGTATTAAGCTCATTTGATAAAGGCGCTGTCAAAGCTAAAGCGTGTAGTGTTTGAGTAGTCAGATCGCAGGCGCGCAAAGTCCCTGGCCTTTTCTCGGTCGGATCTCGATATGCTGCGCTACACACCATCAGACTGTTCAGACAACCTTCTGGCAGTCTGCTCTTCGCGCCACTCACGGGAGGTCTTCAACTGGCGCTGTAGGAAGCGATGAATCGTTTGCCTGCGGTGAACTAAATCAAACAGTCATAAACACCTCCAGGCCACTAGTCTATAAGTTCGACATTGGTCCATCATCGTCATCCTCATCCTCATCGGAGAAAATGCGCAAAGGTCTCGGTCTCGGGCTCTCGGCACTATCTGTATCTACCAAACAATGACATCAACACATCTACCCCCGCCAAAGCTAGTAGCTACCCCACTTGGAGCTCGCCGCCGACCTAGTGAAGTTATTGGGCTATTGCATCGTACATTCATCTTTCCGACCTGTTCACGCTCACTCAACATCTTTCTTCAGCAATAAAGCACTCTGACTTCTTCTAATACCGTACCCTTTAATCGTATCGCACGCAACATGTCGGCCATGGAAGCTTCCCACGGACACAGCAAGCCTTGCTGCAACATCCCTCCCGTCGTCAGCAAGGGCTACCAGGCCAAAGGCTCCTATGTAGATATCGGCGGTTATAACACCTGTGAGTTTTAATATCTATCTGCTGGCTTACCACCAAGTCGAGACTGGCGGGGGCTGACAGAACACAGACGTGACCGGCCCCCAGGACGCCGACAAGGCCATTGTGGTCATCATGGACATTTTCGGCTTCTTTGAGCAGACGCTCCAGGGCGCAGACATCCTCGCCACGAGTAACGAGAAGCAAAAGTTCAAGGTGTACATCCCCGACTGGTTCAAGGGCAAGCCTTGCCCTATTGACATGTGAGACTCTCCGGCGGTTCTCTGAAAGGACTTGAGGCTAACGCTAGCTTGTAGCTACCCCCCTGACAACGACGACAAGAAGAAACAGCTGGGCGAGTTCTTCGAGACCTTCCCCCCACCTAAGATCGCCGACCAGGTCCCCGGCTACGTCGACGCCATCAAGTCCAAGGACTCCATCTCCAAGTTTGGCATACTGGGTGTACGTTGATTCCAAGACACTGAAACATGCTGTTTCCCACATGCTAACACGAATCAGTTCTGCTGGGGCGGCAAGGTCGCAGCCCTCGCCACCAAGGCGTCCACCAACCCCTTCACCGTCGCCGGCTGCGCCCACCCCGCCATGGTCGACCCTGCCGACGCCGAGGGCATCAAGGTCCCCTTTGTCATGCTCGCCTCGGGCGACGAGCCGGCCGACGACGTGAAGAAGTTTGAGACGGCGCTGGGCCAGACGACGAAGCACGTTGAGATCTTTGGGGACCAGATCCACGGATGGATGGCGGCGCGCGCGGACCTGAGTGACGACAAGGTCAAGAAGGAGTATGAGCGCGGATACAAGACTGTCTGCCAATTCTTCTGTGACAACATTTGATAAGCGTAATCTGAAAAGTGTGTTTGTTCGTTCAATCGTTCATTCATCAATACATCATGAGCTCATGGAGTCCGGCTTTGCTATCTCGTCAGTACGCTCGGGCTAAATGTCATGGCCTTTTGCACAATGGGCCGCGGAGTCTCGCTCTCCTTTCTAGGGAGCTCGCGACTCCCCTCTCCAAATGCGATGGCGTCCTCAATGTCCAAAAGCTCATACTCTCCCAGCTCGAGGCTATCCCCCTTCTTACCTCTCTTGGTAGCCGTGCAGATTATGAATCCATCCAAGACGTTGACCAGATCCAGGTCGACATCATCCAACAGCCGCCCTTGGAACCAAATCTCCGTCTGGCTGATGGGCGCATCCTCCGGCGGGGCAAAGTACCGCATCTCCAGCCTCTTCAGCCACGGAGCGAGGAGCGCCTCGCCCGTCATCTTGACATAGGCTTCCCGCAGACACCACAGCGTGTAAAAGTACCGCAGGCGGTGGTCCAGGTCCTTGAACGGCAGACGGTTCAGGCTGGTGCACTCGGCCTGGCTCAGCACCTCTTCGTGCATGCTGACATACTCCTTCCATCCGTCTTTGCTGATGAGACCAAGGTCCTTGTCGCGCCGTTCAGTGGGACACACAATGTCCACGCCAACACTCATGCCTGGTTTGGGTCGCACACTGGCAATCAGAACGATGAGACCAGCTTGATGCGTGACGTTGAAGATCACAGGCTCCGAGCCGTCGGGGGCTATGTAGACTGGTTTCGTGTTCTTGTTTGGTGTTGGCGTCGCCGCGTCCCAGGCGCATGGCGCGTAGCGCGAGATGAGGTACCGTTTGAGGAGGCGCGAGACGAGGGCCATTTTGGCGTCTTTAACGTGGATGTATTTGAGCACATCGACTTGCTCCTTTTTGGGGAGCAGATCCATGGCTCGCTTTGCCTAGGCGGAGGTCAACCATCTTCTCTCCACCGTGCTCAGCGGCAGCGCAGGAGCACCCACGTATGTTGTCAGCTGCACTGTCCGCAGAGCTTCGGGCCACTGTTTCCTGGTGTCTACGACCCATTGTATCACCAAGGGGCCATTTTCTTCTCGCCCTGTGCTCATACTAGGGCGCCGCTTGCGCTCGAGGTGGTTCGTAGGCGGGTGGAGGATGGAAGACAGCGTCGACCGTGAGAGGACGGGACATGAAACGCGCCGATGAATCTGTCTGGGCCGTGGGGGCGCAGACGATACACTGCCGCTGCGGGCGGGCATGATGGGGAGTCCACAGCTTAGATGCGGCGAGGCTCGATGAGAATTCGCTGAGTGAACGAATTTGATGCGCTGCAGGATGCAACATGAAGTGATAATAATGGCTGACACGGACGAGATGCATGTAAGGATGAGATATGGTGGAGGGGCAGATCAAACGGAGGTGGGGGAGGAAGATCTTGGCGCGGCCGCTGACGGAGGGCTTCCAGCTGCCAACGCATGTATATAAATTGAACTTTTGTCTCCTCTTTTCATATCGCGAAATTGGCCTCTCTTTGGAACTGAGACCTTTGCATATTCCAGCTAAATTGCCTGTTCTTGCATCCAGAGAGGGATTTGGGGGCTGGTGCTGGACAGGGAACTACTAGAGCAAGGGCCAAAATGGTGTATGTCACGGAAAAGGGGGAGCTTGTTTGTGAGAAAGCAATTGACTTCCCTCATCTACTATCTACCTATCTAAGTCCCACACCAAGTAGACCGCATAAGGCCACATTATCCCATCATGTCTTGCTGTCTCTGATCTATCCACATTACGTCCCGTCCGTCTATGGAAAGCAAAAAACGCCTGGCCGTAGCAAAGAAAATCGCCAGTCATGGTGGTGTATCGTAGATCTCTTGCCAAAGGCGCCGGCAAAATCAGAAGTCCGCACTTTGAGAGTGCAGCACCCTTTAACCCTCAATAATTTCACCCGCGGCATTGCGGATGCGGATGGGCAAAGCCTTCTCAGGGGAGTTGAGAGCCCATTGAACGGCTTCGGTGACGTCCTTGAAGGTCTGGTCGGGAGTCTGGGTTGGGATGGTGCCAGCGCGATAGACACCAGTCTCGACGAGGACGGAACGCCAATGATAATTGCCCAGGGTCTTGAAAGTGTTGGCGCCGGCAATGTCCGACTCGGGGTTATCGCCAATCATGAAAATAGTGGTGACATTGGCGCCGTCCAGAGCTGGGTTGGCAACGATCAGGTCGTTCATGGCACGTTCTCCGTACTCGTAGGTCGTGCGCGTTGGCTTGCCGCAAATGGTGTACTGCAGGTCACAGGCGCCCTTGGTGGCGTGATGCCAAATGCCGAGCAGGGCCTCGCGGAAGCCGCCCTGAGCGAGGCGAGGGTTCTGGTGCTTGGTGGACCACTCAAAGTCGGGGTTGCAAAAGTACAGCTTGGGCTGCTCATCTTGAAGGAAACCTTTGTCAGCAAGGTCCGGGTTGTTGTTCTTGTCGGAACGGGTGTTGACAATACCTTTGGAGGACAGCAAAAGGTCAAGGGTGACCTGCAGGTCCAGACACCAGTCGCGAGGGGAGGACCAGACCATGATGGCGGCAATGCGAAGGGGCTGGGTGTCATCGCCCTTACGGCCAAACTCTTCATGGTGGGCCTTGGTCATCTCGGGGAACGGATGAACATGCTCATCCTGGATCATGAGGTCAGAAGACGTGACGACCTTGCGGAAGCCGTACTCATTGGCCGCCTGCCGGATGTTGTCGCCATGGCCACCCAGTACAAGGACCGTCTTGTCCTTGTATTCATCGACGAGGGCGCGGAAAGGGGTGTGGGACTGGACAATCTGGGTCTCGTCAAAGGTGATGTCGCCAAGACGGGACGCAAGCTTCTCCAGGTTGACCTTTTCGGTGACGCCGCCCGAGTTAGTCAGGAAGATGAATGGGATTCCATGGTCCTGCAGGTAGCGGAGTGTCTCACGGGCACCCGCAATGGGGGTCTTACCATTGACCAGCACACCGTCAATGTCAAAGGCAAACGCAACCTTGTTGTGTCCAGACATACTGCGAGGCTCTTCTGTGCAAGTTGAACGATGGTCTGTTGTTGTTTCTGTTGTTGCAAGTCTGAACGATGGTCTGTAGTTGTTGTGTCTGTCTGTCTTGAGAGAGTGTCTTGAGAAGGAAGGAAAGGAAAGGAGAAAAACGAATCCTTCGTCCGTGGTCGAAGTATTTAACCTCAGGGGATGAAGCTCGAATTCCTGTTCTTCGCTGTCCGAGCCCAAGTGAAGGGACGATGGTTTTACGGGGCGAGTGCATCACCTCCACTTCTCGTTCACTCCAGATCTCATCTGAACAGTGAGGATGGCCTGATGTACCCATGGTTGTCGGGTGTTCTGGCAGCTGTTGTTCTCTTTCGCTCAACGACGGGGGCCTGTCTCTTCACTGCGAGTCGTACAACCGGTGTGTACAGCTTTGCTTGGGGAAAATTTGCGAACAGTAGACAAATCCAATAGATTTCATCTTGTATTCGGTCTGGCTCCTTGAACTACATGCCCCAGACACCAGGAGGGTCACGTCCCGGCGGTTTGTTATTGGGGGGAGATACCGACCTCACCCTCGGCTCAGTATGGCTCTCAAGCACGCTAAGCTCTGTTCTGGCGGGTCAAGGCCTTTGTGCAAGCAGTATACTGACCATTAAATTTACAAACTCGCTCACACAGCCTCAATTCCGTCGTCTGGAGTTAAGCGAGGTGATCCAGTAGGGTGGTCGTGTGGAGCATTGGCGAAATTTTGTGTCCCCAGGGTGCCATTGCGTGATGACCGAGCACATCAGAACAGACCGCATGTCGTTTTCAGTATCACTGAGTAAATTTTTCATCAGACAAGGCCTTGGCAACTGTCACTTGTGCTTCGTATTGCAGAAGACATGGAGCGTCCCCTGACATTGAGACTCAAGTTTCGCTGTGTCTAAGCCCTAGCTACTATGCAGGCGCATCACTCAAAATGTTGTAAAATTTGAATGGTTTGTGAAAATCACGATAGAAAAGTCATGTTGCAAGTCACCATATCTTTTACCTGTCTATGGACTACGCAAGTGCCATACTTGGCACTGTCCTCCAAAACACAGCTCTCGTGTATCCTCACAAATCCAGTGTGAGACCATCGACAGTCTACAGGGCAGCACAGTTGCGTTTCTGACCATCCTTATCAAACCAGTACCAGACTGGTGTTAGACAGACACCAACTCCAAACAAAAAAAACCTAAACAAGCCCCTTTTTTCCGTCCTGACCCCTGACATGCCAGGGATTCCAATGACATATTCCCCCACATATACCTGTGTCTTGCTTGTCAGCGTAATATTTGCACCGCAAGATAGTTTTTGGGTGTTTAAACGACAACCTCAAAAGCCAGAACATTCTTGTCATTTTCATCGCCATTGACATCGTCCAGGTTACGACCAGACCAGCCGCAGTCCCAAAAAGTGACAAGGGCCCACAGCTTGAAAAAGCTATGAACATAGGCAAACAGAACCTGGAAGACGAAAAGTTGAAGGTCAGCAGGGTGGCGGAAAAAATGAGGGATGAGCTTGATAGCCTTGGTCGCAATGATCCAAAGGATGAGGATGACGACCACAGCGGCAGGGAAGGTCGGGGCAGCCTGCGAGGCACGAACCAGGGTGAAAATCAGGAGAACATCCCAGAGAGCGGCAAAATTGAGCATGCCGGCAAGATAAACCTGGAAAGCGGACCAAGTGTAGCGGTAGAGAAAGTCTGGGTTGCGGAGCATGATGGGGTTGCTGCGAAAGGTGGTGCGAGCCCAGCGAAGGAGTTGGCCATTGATCTTGGGCCATTCGCCCAGGGTCGTCTCGATTGTCGCGTCTTCAGTGTCTTGGAATCGAATCAGCCAGCCCTTCTCCATTGTGTTCCTAGTCAGATAATTGTCGTCGTCGGGGTTCAGCTCAAAACGACCCAAAAAGAACTTTTCATCGCAAAAGCCGCGGAGGAGCTCTTGATCAGTCAGAAGGTCGGTGCGGTACACGGCAGTGCGGCCAGAGACGACAAATACACCGCCATCAATGGCGTTAGAGGCACGGAGCTCCCAATTGTGGCGTTCAAGGTAGTTGCAAGCGACAAAGTTGACAATGGAAAGCCAAGTCCACTTACCAGGGGTAGTTCGGCGAACGCGCTTCTTGGTAGCAACGACACCAACCTTTTCATTGTCAAAAGGCGCAAGAACGGCGGGGATGAAGTTGGCGGTAGGGAAAAATACATGGTCGTCGGCCAGGATGGTGATGGCAGTAGTAATGTGAGGGATGGCGTGGTTGATCTGGCGGCGCTTGCTGGGCTTGTCAATAGCAGAAACGCAGAGAGAGGTCGCTCCAGCGTCTAGAGCCAGAGCCCCAAGGACACGGCGACATTCAGCCTTGAGTTCAGCGCCGACGGTAATGACGATGATGCTGGCAACTCCGTTAGCCAAAATGCTGCGAATGCACTCTTGGAAGTCGGGGCCGTTGGGGTCGATCGTTGGGAGGATGACAGTGACGTCCTTGCGGGTGAAAGAAGGATCAGGCTGGACAGGGGAAGGGCGGTAGCTCCAGTATCCGACCAGGTGGCCGAAAAGACGTACATAACGAAGTGCAAAGAGAGTGCAAAAGACCGCAAGCCAGACATTGGTGTCAACGAGAAGCAGCCAAGTGCTAGTCAGGCAACCACCGAAAGCCAAAATCAAAGCAATGCGAGGCAGCCAGGCCTGCACAGTTTCACGGTCGATCCCAGGCATCTTGAAGGCCTGTGGATCTGGGTTTCGGTGTTGCGGTCTTGTTGCTAAGCTCTGTGATGTGCCTTTGGTTGCTGCTCGAGTTGTGGATTGTTGTGATGGATGGGAAAGGAAAGGAAAGGAAGCAAGTCTTGGAATATCGACAGAAATTAAATGCTTGCGGTTTCTCAGACTTCTAGAAACCAGATGCTGTGTTCTTAAGTTCTCCAAGAAGTGAATGGAGATGTTGTTTTGCGTGTGGTTCGAAGGTCTTGACGTGTGTTCGTGCAGCCCTCAGCATCATTCGCAAGTCCTCATTGCTGTGTCCAAACCCTCACTCGGACAGCTCCGCCAGTTGTGGGATTGTTCAACTTGATTCCAGTTTTTGTATCCAATGTTTCGTACAGAGTGACTTCTGCAATGTCCAGGCTCTTGCGACTTAACCTCACTCGATCACATAGCTTGTTCAAGATGTTCCGGTCTGGATTGCTGTTCTTGTCCGACTTCCATCCGGACTGTTATAGGCTCTCTCAGACGCTTCGACTGTTCTATGGACGTCAAGGGTGCGCCTCGAAACAGGAACAACGGAACGCAGTGAAACATCTGGCCGACTGCCTTTGAAAGTGTTGAACAAAGCTAGAAACACTTTCTTCAAGCTACGAAAGTGCAATAAGACGAGAACTAATAATCCATTGGCTCAGGGACAACTGACGCAATGCAGCACGCTGGGCAGCTCGATGTAAGGACACTAACCAACTGCATCAGCAACGCAAGTTTGTTTGGTTCAGGAGCTGCACAGGTTCAATTTCAGGGGAGAAGCCCCAAGGGCAATGGGCAGCGTCGATTCCTTCGCAATAGAGCAATAATAGGGACCTCCATACAATTGGCATGGTCTCACACACACCTCACTGCACTGAGGACCTGAGCAGAGTATCATGGACCATTGAAGAGGCAGTTGAATTTGTCACATCAGCCAAACACACGAGCCTAATTGAGGAATCACAATACCGCGACAAGGAAAGATCTCATGAAAATCCGAGTCGTGACCTGTGTGGATCTAAAACTCTATGGTATTATCTTGTGCCACGAGGCCGGATTCTAGCTCTTCAACCCGGCGCAACAGGCATAGTCTCCAGCGAAATGTTGAAGACTTTATGGCTCTCCTTCATCTTGGCGTCTTTGATCCTCTTTGCTTCATCGTCCTTCTTCTTCGCCTCTTCTTCTCTTTCGTCCTTCTTCTTTTTGTCATCTTTGGTCGTGTCCACCACGCCGTCCTTCATCTCCCCAATTCGCTTGGTAGCTCGGCCATCTGCATCCACTTCCACGACGACATCCTTGGTATCGATGCTGCCGTCCTCGGTGTAGCCCCAAATCAACTTCATTTCGCCACGCGCAAACGCGGTAACGTAGAGTGAGCCCAGAACACCTGGGACGAGGTACAAAAGGGCTGGCTGACCGCGCTTGAAGACGAGTAGCATGGACAGCGTAGCAGCCATGCCTAGAGCGTACCCAATAACAGTGGCGTAGAAGTAGGTTTTGGGGAACTTTGACGCACTGATCTCGGCGGGCATTGGCTTCCGCCCAAAGACGCCGGTCCAGAACCTTTCGCCCCAGGCCCCCTGGGCAGTGACATAGGGAGGCTTGATCTCCCTGTGTTTCATCTCCTTTCTGATGACCACCGTACCGGAATCATCTTTCTCGCGGATCTGTAGTTCTGTCGGTTCGTATTTCACCTTGCGCTGGTAGTGCAGCCACAGGTCAAGACGGAGCGCCCAGGCCATGAGAAGCCCAGGTAGAACAATGTCGCCGAGCCCGAGGATCGACTGGCGCGACGCAGCTTTGAAGGTGAGCTTGATCGGGACGTCGAGAGTCGTGGCCACGGTGACCATGTACGGCCTATTTCCATTAGCATAGTGACAAAAGTCAGCGCCGCCATTTCAACTCACGTGTAGAACACCATGACGATATCATAGACAAACAGTCCAGAGAGAACGAGAGATCCAATGAGCAGGTCTGTTGGCGACAGGACCAGGAAGGACCCGTAACACAGGCCATATCCGAGAACGTTGGAAAGGAAAGACGACGAGGTCGAGCTGTAGATGAGTGCTGTGGCGATCGAAGCAAAAAATGCAATCATATGCGTCAGCTTGATCTTGGCCTTCTCGTCACCCATTCCGTGGACATAAAACTTGAAAAGCCACTGTCGCATGACCAGCTCGCGGGCATCCCACGCCGCCTTGCCAGCCCTCTTCCCAAGGGGCAAGCAGGATAGAACCCCGGGTAGAGGACTGTCTCCGTCCTTTCCAGGATGAGAGACGTTCCCCACGTCATCACAAAGACTGACTTGGCGGGTTGCCTGATTTGCCTTTCTCAGGACGCCGTCTCTGCCTCGCCAATATCGGGGGAAGATGAAACCCACAACCAGCCCCATGCCATGCGCATACAAGCTGAAGAGGCTGACAATTGACATGGTGCTTATGTACCATCTCAGGACCTTATTGAGAATCTCGGGGTCTTGGAGGTATTGGATGAGGTAGTACAGGCCGACCAGCATGATACCTGCCATGACGGGAAACATGATGGCATCGCTCAACTCCAGTCCTTGCGTTATCCTTTCGTCATCCCGGTGGTCTCCATGGTCGTCGTTCTTCTTGGTGCCCTTCTGTCTGGTGGGAGCTGCAGCAGATGGCGGGCGATGCAGCGAGGCATGAGCCCCGACGTAGATGATCCCCAAGGCGCCCAGGACCAGCTGTGCTTCGAGAGCCAGGAATGAAAAGTCCTGCAGCAACGACCATACCGTTTCTTGTGAGGCAGAAATAGTGGCGTTGTGCGCGTCCAGTGTGCCATTGAGGGCGCCGCTCGCGGTTATATTGTTGTCCATCTTGGACCTGTGTGGTGAGGGTAATAAGTACTACAAAGCTAACGTGCGCAAGTCCTCATGCCAGCCGTGGGAAGGGCAGTGAACGTGATGGCGGCCAGATCTCAGGTCGATGATTATGATTAAGAGAGGGACCGGTAGACGCAAGTGAAAGCCTGATTCTGTGTTACACAAGTAATTAGAAACGCGAGATACTCAGGTCGACAGGTGTCCTCGCCAGCGGGATGCAATGACGACGTTTCCGCAACCCGACGACTATCAAAATCTCAGGGTCCCTGAAAAGGTGGGGCCTTCGTGCCAGGCCAAACCCGCCAAACATGTTGGTGAACAACAGATCTACTGCACAGTCACCTTTGCGCCGCCAGCACAGCCTTCACAATGGCGACAGACATTCTCCTCAACACCTCGGTGGTACGTATCCTTGTCATCACGACAATCGGAATACCATAGCTCACCCGACGCAGGGCCCCATCACCCTTGAGCTGTACACCTCGCACGCGCCCAAAACATGCCAAAACTTTGCGACGCTCGTACGGCGTGGCTACTACAACTCCACCATCTTCCACCGCATCATCCCCGATTTCATGGCGCAGGGCGGCGATCCCACAGGCACCGGGCGCGGCGGCACCTCGATCTACGGCGAGAAATTCGAGGATGAGATCGACCCTGGGCTCAAGCACACGGGCGCCGGCGTGCTCAGCATGGCGAACTCGGGCAAGGACACCAATGGCAGCCAGTTCTTCATCACTCTTGCGCCGACGCCGTGGCTCGACGGGAAGCATACCATCTTTGGGCGCGTCAAGGGCGGCATGAGCACCGTTAAGAGGCTGGGTCTGGTCAGGACCGGTGCAGAGGACAGGCCGGTGGAGGAGATTAAGATTGTCGAAGCAAAGGTCCTGGAAGGAAGTGATGAGATTTGAAGATGATTTTCACGCACGGCGTTGGGGCCAATCACGGGTATCATACAGGCGGCGAATAACGATTTGAAACGTAAGGTATTGAAAAAGAACAAGAAGCAACTCCATGATAGCAGGAGCACTGCTCCTGATCGCCCCTGATCGCCCCTGATCCCGTACCATGATGCTATGGAATATGATTTGTGGCCAAAATAGCCAACTGAACGCTGCCCGATGCTGTATGATAGATAAATAGTACAATAGGAATGGTTGCTGCCCGACCATGTTTCGCCTCTAACCTGTTGGCTGATGTATCCAACCCATCAGTTTCTGAGCAAACCAAGAGTGTCCTTTACGAAATCCCCAAGGACGTGCCCGTCTATTGCGGTGGGGAGGACAAGGTGCCTCCGGACGATTCGCTCTCCCCGTCCGCGTCTCTTCCATTCTTCACCGTTGCTGGGAGCTGCGCGGCTTTGACGGCCTTGAGCTTCTTGGCAGGACTACTTGCCTTGTTCGTCGATTTCTTGGGTGGCACGTCGACAGAGCCCAGATCGGGTATGTCGTACTCTGCTTTTTGCTCCTGGCTCAGGTTCGATGAGCTTTTGGGCAGGGTGCTGCCGTTGCTCTCCTTTTTGAACGAGTTCTTTGTTTTGAGGATAACTTTCTTGTGGTTGGGGTTCGGCGTGACCGCGCTTGACTTGTGCTTCTTCTTTTTGTGACTGCTCTCCGATTCGTCCTCGCCTTCCTCGCTCGCATCCCTCTTCCGAGGACTAGTCGCACGAGATCCCGGCGCCGGGGTGACTTTTTGCGACGACGGAGGCGTAGGTTCGCCGCTGTTACCGTTGCCCATCTTCTGCGCCGCGGCACGGCTGGCGTTCCTCCCGCTGTTGCCGATGCACGAGCCCATGTGGTTGTTCAGCCGCGTTACCAGAATACACCTCTTGCATTTGCTGCATGTCGCCGACGGGAACGACAGGACGTTTGCAGGACGATCCGCAGCCGACTCCTCCTTCTTCTCCATGTCCTTCTTCTTCTTGCCTCGTCCGGGCCCGGGGCCCTGCCACATTTGCCCGTAGATGTCGCAATTTGGCTTGTCGATGTACGGGTGCTTTTTGCAGTAGAGTATCGTCGGGTCGGGTTTCCGCGCGCCTTTGCCGTCGGTCGGGTGGAATAGCCTGGGCAGGTGGCATTTTGGGCACAGAATCTCCTTTGTAGTTTTCAATGGATTGCCCTTGAGGTAGACCTTGCCGTCGTCGAAGATTGCCGCATCGGTCTCGATCCGGACGTCGGGTGCCGAGTCAGCGCCAGATTCTGAGGCTTCGGAGGCGAGCTTCTCGACACGTATCGCGGCCGTGTTCGCTTTTGCGATTTTTTCTTCCCGATGGGTTTGGAGCACGAGATCGGAAATAATATTGTATAATAAGTCATCGAGGACGGCAGCGGACTTTTAGACCTTCAAGTTAGTTATGCGTGCCACGGGGGTTGCCTATTAAAACCGTACCAGCTTGGTCATGCTGCCATCGTCATCGCTCGCGCGGATGATGCCCGCCTTGCCCGTTGTCGCATCCATCGAGTCTTTTGGGCGATCGCGGGTGCAACACTCGAGGAAACGGAGGAGAAAGCAAAGTGAGGTGGAGATCGTCTGCGCGTGGTCGTGTGATGATGCACGCAAGCAAATGCCAATGCTCAATGGCGTAGTCCGTAGTCCGTAGTTGGTGGTTGGGTGCGCTTTGCTTGTGAAGTCCGCGCCCCAGATTGTGGTCGGTTTTCCCCGTACAGCGGTGCAGTGTTGTCACTAATAAGGCCGCATTGCTCGGCTAGCTCCGCCGGATGCGCCTGTCTTTTCGACAGCTTAATCACGGAATAAGATGCGTAAGCAAGCGACAGAAAATCACCGGCAGCACCGGGGTGACACAAGAAACTGTTAATCCGCTGGAGGCCGAGGCGTGGAAGAAATTCAGAATCCGGGAAATGACGAAACGATGTTTGAAATCGCCCTTTTGGCCTCGCCAATGCAAAGGGGTAAATTTTGCATTATCGATAAGTCGCCGCCTGGAACTCCCCTGTAGCCTCCCGCTGCAGCTACTATCCGCCGGTGGGGTGAGATCACTGATGTGCCTGAGCTAGCGCACCTCCTAGGGGTCTGTTGCCATGGAGTCTCGACTGGAGTCCAGTCAAACCAACACCACTGTCTGACTTAGGTTCTGGACAGACTGAAACCTCGGTTAGGACGTTAACCTGGACTTTATTCTAGCCATCTCGCAAAAAGACAGCTATCCCACATCGCTACCTTTATCGTCACACAGACCATCGACACCCCAGAGACCGCAGGGGTACCATCGACATGTCTCTGCCCACCAGTAAAGAGGCTCAGCAACCCTCGATCAGGTCATTCTTCACAGCGAAAGCTCCTAAGTATGCGCCACCACCAGGTTCTGTGCAACCAAAGCAGCCGCCGCCGCCGCCGCCGTTGAACGAGTTTGTTCCAGCTGTTCCCTCGAATAGCAGTGAAGATGGCGCGGCGATCCCACCACTGCCTTCCTCCATGCCAGCTGAGGCTTCCATACGCCGCCCGCTTCCAGAAGATATCCAACCTCTCCGCCGTATAAATTCTCTCCTTCTACCGGTTCCCTACCCAGAGGAGTTCTACCGGCAAGCGCTCACAATGCCACAGACAAGAATTATACTATATCAAGGCAAGGTCGTTGGGGGGATCGTCTGCCGCAGCGAGCCTGGTGACTCCTCGAGCATCTACATTCGGTCACTGTGCATCCTCGCGCCCTACCGTGGTCTCGGGCTGGTCGCAATTGCATTAAACAATATCATTCAAAGCCTGCCAGAAGAGATTTCCTGGGTGACCGCACATGTCTGGACGGAGAACGTGGATGGACTGAAGTGGTACGAGGCACGTGGCTTTGCCAAGGACACAAAACCAATTGAGGGATACTATCGAAAAATACGGCCCGACACAGCTTGGCTGGTCAAAAAAGATATACGCGAGCAGGACGCTGGCTCACTGCCTTCTCGGACGCCGCCACCTTCTCGCAGCATAGTCGCAAGTCCGACAGCTGAGGTAGTAAATCTGGCTCCTGTCACAAACGGCACAGGACCGCCCACAGGTGGCCCGCCACGACCAGCTCCTGCTCGGGTCGGGTCAGGTCAGTCATATCAGAACCAAAGAGCCGAAACGGAGTGGAACGATTTGCCGGCGGACATGGCATCTGGCTTATTGGTGCCCCCCAAGAGAGTGGGCAGCGAGCCGAAGTCGAACGCCAGCTCTAGGAGTAGCTCGGCGGCAAGGAAGAAGAGGGATCGCTCATACCCTGCTGCAGCTTTCGGGAGTTGATTGGGAGGCGTACAAGGGGTAGAAGGGGCCTCGCCGCCATAAAGAAATTTGCGACAACGATAATTGTAGATGCGGTAATGAGGCATGATGCAACGCATGCCAGCGTTTAGGACACTCACTATGAATATGATAGATCATGCGCCAGATACACATGAGTGCAGTATTACTTGGCGACAATGCAACTCCTTGACCCGCTACCTCGCAATAGAAAGCACGAGCCATGTCGAAACGCGCGGTCACATTGTACCAAGTACACTCTCGTCCCAGAACGCAGAACTCCAGCGATGAACCCATTAACATCAAAAAACACCAACCCTATTGCTTACCGCTGCCTGCTCCACCAAAGGGCAGCAACAGCCGCCACGCCGACCAGACCACCCACAGTCATGGCCATGTTCGACAGGCCAGTCTCTGCTACTTTTTGTTAGCCTACACTCTCGTGAAACATTGCTGAGTTGCTCCGTACCTGGGATCGAGTCTAGCTCGCGCTTGACCTCTGTGGCCAGAGGGACGTCGTCGGACTTGTCCATCTTGGCCGCTACGAGGGCAATCAGGGCGGCACCAACACCGCTGCCGTCCTTCGCAACACCGATGCGGATCTTGTTGACACCCTGGATGCCAATCTCGTCAATCGCGCGCAGTGCCTCGTAGATCATGTCCCTAAAGAAGGGGTAGTGCTCGACGAGACTCCCGTCGACGCCAATGTCGATCACTTCAGCCTCGGGGTCCTTGAGCAGACCAGACTGGATGGCAATGGCGCCAATGGCCACGGCAGACAACCGGGCGGCGCGACGTGCAACGGCATCGGCAACGATCTTGAACGCATGAGCGTCTTCCAGCGAGGGCGTGTATATGTTCAAGTCCTTCTCCAACTCTTGTCGCAGCGAGGACAACTCAGGAGTGTTGTCCGCAGCGGCCACCGACATGATTGCGGTATCAAGACCCCACTGCTTGTAGAGTCCTGACTGACCAGCGACCGTCGTCGTGGTTGTCCAGTCGTTGTGGCTGGAATTGTCGTCGCTGAAAAGAGTAGAGTCCTTGGACTGCATCATGTCGAGTATGGCCAGCCTGGTGATCTCGCCCAAGAACATGCCAGAGATGCGCTTCTCGAACATTTGGAAGCCAGGGTTCACGCTCTGAGTATCCAGTTTCTTATCCCAGGGCGTGGTGGGCAGGACATTGAGCTGGTTGTCGAAGGAGCCCCATTCCGTGTTGATGACCATCTCGCCCGTCGACTCGTCGTACTCGCCTTCGATCTTCTTCTTGATGTTGCTCGTCTTTTCAATGTACGCACCGTTGGTCCCGGTACCAAAGATGGCGCCCAGGGTTGATCGATTTGCGCCTGTAGAGGTATATGAGCGGGCCATCAGTGTGCCGACGGTGTCATTCACCAAAGCGGCCACCTTGACTGGCAGCTTAAGCTTGTCAATCTCTGTTTGCAACAGTGCGCAGACGTCCTTGCCGACAGCATCGTCAATGTCGAACCCTTTTGTCCATCTCATCAGATTGCCCTTGTTAATTGCTCGTTGCTGAACCGGGAAGCTGAATGTGAAACCTAGGTGGAAGACCTCATCTTCCTTGTACCCGCTAGCCGTGGAGATAGTCGCCCGCCGCCTGCGATGGCTTTCGAAATGTTCGGCATGGTGCTCCTTGAGGAAGTTCTCGATCTGCAGAGCCAAGAAGGCAAAGAGCTTCGACGCCTTATCCGTGACCATCAGCTCTTTGGGTATCGCCACCTTGTTGTACGTCAAGTTGAAGGTAGTGTCGCCATTCAAAGTGACGGAGCACACGCGGAAGTTGGTGCCTCCAAGGTCGACAGCCAAGTACAACCCTTTCTCTGTGCCGTTCGGAACGCCGGTCACGTAGGTGGGAATCTGGGACATGCTCGTACCATCCTTCTCCAACCCTTCGCCTGCAAACGCCAACTGTAAGCTCGCTGGTCAATCGCAGCACATACTGGAATGAACGCACCCATTTGCTTGAGGAACTCTTGCACATGCGCGTTGAGTTCCGCGTCAGTAAAGTCGAATTGCGCGGCAACGCGCTTTGCCTCGTCCGCGAGCGCCATGTTGGGTAGAGCGGAAGATGTGGGCGGGTGTCTCGGGAACAGCGCAGGATTGTCGCAAACAAGCTCAGACTTGCTTGGTCGAGACGAGTGTATACTAGGGGCCCTCCTTGACAGAGAGAAGAAAGAGGTATCCAAAGAATTGTATGTCTGAAGTTGAAATAGGTTCTGCTTGACGTCGAGGAGGAAGAGCTGGACGAGCTGCGCGTTTCACGGACCAGTGTCAGTGGTGGCTTGACCGTAGCTCCAATCTTTTGTTGCAGGGGTGGGTATCATCCATCATGCGGGGACTGGAGATTCGCCGAGTGCCAACCTTCTAGTCTACCTTGGGCGTCGCCAGGAGCCGCCGAGGGAATTGTTACCGACAGGGAATGCCAATCTAAGGTACTCACCGATACAAGGCCAATCACCAAGAATACCAAGACCACTCTTCCTGCCCACAGCGTGTGTGAAGAGATTGGCGGTTTGATATTGAGACTCCTTGCAGCATTCTGCTGGCGGCTGGAAAGGGACCACAGGGTGACAAGGCTTGTGCTGTCGCCGCTAGAGCGCAGCGACGGCCGTCCGCTTTCAGTCGAAACCAAACCTTTCCGCGATCTCGGCCCGTCGAGCGTGCGTTCGAGGCGGCACGCAAGGAACCGAAATTGCTAGGCCTAGCGGCCTCGAGCATGCATGCACAGGCCCGTACTATGTCAACGCAGAACAGGAACACTGCCAACGAATACAGAGTGCAGAGTGTGGTAGTGACGTTGTCTAGCAAAGACGCTGGGTCAAAGCGCCGGAGAAGATGGCCCATTTTCTGGTCTTGTTGGACGTTGGAACTTGGGTCTGATGTCTGTGCCTGGCGAAATGGAAAGCGGAGACCAACCCCGCCTCCAGTCCCCAGCCTGCAGCTCCAGTCGTTGCTCCAATTGCTCCGCTGGAGGTTAGAGGGCGACTTGGGCGATCATGACTGCCATAGGACCCAGAAATTGCTGGTTTAATCCAAAGACTCATCTTTGCTTCGGTTAGATTTGGGGCCTTGGGTCCTCGAGATTGTCTGTATTTGATTAATGAATGCGTTATTTCGTACTCACTGGTGATGACGTCAAGATCGCGATGGCTTTGAGTTGCCAATGTCGCTGCCCACAGAAGGTCCGACTCGTTTTGTCCCACTCATGTTCCGCCGCGGCCGCGGCCACGGCGCAAAACCTTTTGGACACGTGCGACATACGTACGTACTTACAAAAACCCCGGAAAGATCAAGCCATCGAGAAGTCAAAAGTCGACGTGGGGTGAAAAGTAGTGTCAGGACGACTTGTTGGTGTTTTTCGGATCAATCAACTCCATTGAGCTGTGTACCCTGGTGCTGCGGGTTCTGCTCACCCTGCAGCTTTACTATTCTCTCACGTGCTGGCCCTGGCATGAGTGCCCTGAAAATCAACATGCTAGTTTGCCATTTCAGATAGCATATTAATTATGCAGTTCGGCGGTTCAATAAAATTGTTCGGAACGCCGGCGTTGACAGAGCCGTACCTCAATTATGTGTACGCCAACGAGTGAGAATCAGCGTTTACAAAATGGATGAGCCTAGGTGCAGCTCTGTAAATTGAGCGCCAACAACGAAGCTCGTCCCAACTACCTTCGCTGCGCTAAGCCACAATTGTACTTCTGGTTCAGCACTTGCATCAAGTTGAGCCGTGCTTTAAGCTCAATCATGGGAATTGTGTAGCACGCAGTGATATTTGATCAATCATCCATATGGCATCATATGGTTTAACTGATTGACGTTGTGATAGGAAGCTAAGCCACATCCGTAGATTGCCGCCAAAAGACAGCAGAAGTAGCAGGGTCATCAGTCCTGCGGCCCCACTAGTACCATGTACTCCGTAGTCCTATAGGACTTCACACAGATAGCTTGGGGACTGGACACTAATCATGGCCGTGGCGAGTTTTCGCTTAGGCAGGCATATCTGGTTCGTATCTACGGAACGCTGACAAGACTTAGATTGCACAGCGCGATCGCTTCGTGCGCTGTGTTATGCTGACATCCATCTCAGAGGGTTTCCATTTCGTGATGCTGACAGTATATGTCCTCGACGCCCAATAAATTTGCGCGAAGAGGTGGGCAAAGTTGAAGAAATATTCCGCGTGTTCTTGAATGCACGAAGACCAGCCCAAATAGCTTTTGTGCCCTTCGGTTTGTTTGGTATTTAATAATTCCTCCTCGAAAGTCCAGCTCTCAGCCTTACGAGGTCCATCGTGCGCTGTCCCGGCCAATGAGATACGCCGCTAACTCGACACAGCCGCACTGGGCCAGTCATGGGATCGCGCACTGTGCTTGATACGGACACGGTGGTAAAAGACTACTATTAGCAGCAAATGCAACCACCTCGTAATATGATACGAGTCAACTTTTCTGTTCAATGTTTTCAGAGAGAGACCCATGGCCATTCGACATATCCCGTACCTGAGCATGAGGTAGTACGTACTGCAATCTCAAGTTCAGGTCCTCAACCCCCCGCAATGCATCAGATCCAGCAGCCTTAGCACACTGCACACTGATTTTAGAAGATACTCGGTACATCCCAGGTAGCTGTACCCGGGCTGCTTTAGCCAATACGGACACTGCTAAATAAATAAGTCCTTCGCTGGCCTACTCACGCACCATAAGTACACTCTACTGGAGAAACGTCGCAGACTATCGGTCGACATAGCGTCGTCGCTATCCTCGTTCCAAACAACAATCCCGCGTATATCGCTGGAAGAGACCCCGATAGGCCCAATCTAGGACTCAGTCACGTCTTTGCGAACCTGCAACAGGGGCCATTATAATCACAAACCAAGCTAAAGTCTGACGGACAGCAAGCAGCGACTCAGGCTATCCAGCACAGCCAAATCTTCCCCCCACTATTGGGCTGCGTACGGCCTCAGCTTTCCCCATTCTGAATCATCTGCTGCCACCCTCCTTGCGACGCTCCCGCATCCCGACCTAGGCCTTTTTTTATCTTCCCACCCTGCCCTCTTCTTCAAGTACTGTTCCCCTTCCTCCCCATTTCCCTCACCCTCTCCCCTCTCGCTCATCCCTATGAGCTCTATGAACGGTCGTTTCAAGGGCTTTGGCTTTGGGAAACGGAGATCTGCCGCCAGCATACAGAACCCAATCGACGGCCAACCGCCCAGCCAAACCCCGCCTCCTGCCCAGCTTCACCAGCATCCCACGCCTCCTCTCGGCCCTCCCACTTCCTCCACGACCAGTCTTCCGATGAATCGTCCCGGTCCCGCGAACCACCCTCCTGGCTACAGTCCAGGCTACTCGTCTGGTCCTCCCCCAGGTGTCGACCGTACGAGCCCTCTTGCACAGGGCCAGAATCGCACGCCTCCAACCCAAATGGTCGGCGGCCCTCCGCCCATCAACACGGGCGCCCCGATGGACTACCCGCCTCAGAACATGAATCACATGGGTGGTGGCCCGCCGCCAATGGGTGGTCCTCCTCAAGGTGGCCCCCCCGGGTTCGGTGGCCAGACTGGCTACCCTCCAGGCGCGCCGCCACCACCCGGCGGCCCTGTAGCCCAGCAATTTGGGCGCGGAAACCCTGCGGCGGAGGTAGAGGGCTCGAACAAGAGCAAGGCGCAGCTGATTGTTGGCATTGATTTTGTGAGTCTCTCAAGGGCTGGCCCCTCAGCGCATTCGTGAAAGGCGGGGTACACGTTGCTGACATGGAGACCAGGGCACGACCTTCTCGGGTGTAGCGTTCGCCTTTGCGACTAACAACGAAGCAAAAGAGGATATCATTTCAGAGTGGCCAGGGGCCGGTTCTTACACAAAGCAGAAGGTGCGCGGTTCTCCCTGGCTTTATTGTGGCGCACCACTAATCAACAGTCCTGCAGATCCCCACCGTTCTCTACTACGATCAATACCAGAAAGTCGTCGGCTGGGGACCCGATATCGCAGACGCGTTGGCGCCAACAGGATATCCTAAGCCAGGCGTGCAAAAGGTCGAGTGGTTCAAGCTGCAGTTGATGCTGAGTGGCAACACATACATTGACCCCATCAACCTGCCCCCTCTGCCTCCTGGCAAGTCAGAAATCGATGTGGCTGCCGACTACCTCTTCAAGCTACGCCAGGCTATGCGCTCTGCGCTGCAAAAGACGTTGGGCGAAGTCTTTAACCGTGAAGAGCGCAACATTCGATACTATCTCACAGTGCCCGCCATCTGGAACGATGCTGGCAAGGCAGCCACACGTGCGGCAGCAATCCAAGCCGGTTTCTTGCGCGATGAGAATGACAACCGTCTAACACTCATTTCTGAGCCCGAAGCGGCCGCCATGTTTTGCTCCAAGACTGGTCTACTCAACCTCAAGGTGCATGACGCTGTGCTGATTGTGGACTGCGGCGGTGGTACCGTCGATTTGATTGCGTACGAGGTCGAAGACGAGAGTCCCTTCACTGTGGCCGAGTGCACAGCTGGTTCTGGCGATTCCTGCGGTTCGACGGCGCTCAACCGAAACTTCAGCAACATTCTGCGCACCAAGATCCGCAAGATGAAGCTGGCCGATGGTTCCAAGACGGCCGGTCGCGTATATGCCAAGTGCATCATGGACTTTGAAAACCGCATCAAGGCCGATTTCCGCAACAATGGTCAAAAGTGGGCTGTCGATGTTGGTATCGAGGCTGAGTACCCCGATGCTGGCATTGAAGAGGGTTACATGACCTTTACCAACGAGGAGATTCTGCAATGTTTCGAGCCTGTCATCAACCGTATCCTCGAGTTGGTCCGCAACCAGATTATCGCCATCCAAGCACAGAATCGCGCCCTTCAGAACATCCTGGTTGTCGGTGGTTTCGGTGCCTCTGAATACTTATTCCAGCAGATCAAGTTACACGTTCCCCCACAGTTCCAATCAAAGGTTGTGCGTCCTATGGACTCGGTGGCTGCCATTGTCAAGGGTGCCGTCACATCTGGCATTTCCGAGCGAATCGTCACCCACCGTGTCGCCCGTCGCCACTACCTCATGGCCACCCTGCAGCCTTTCAAGGAGGGCTACCACCCCGAGGCATACCGTGTACCCTCCCTGGACGGTAAGGACCGCTGCAAGTTCACACGCCAAATCTTTGTTCAGAAAGGGCAAAGAGTCAAGAACGGCGAGCCTGTCAGGGTCTCTTTCTTCCGACAGGTTGCCCCCGGCGCCACACTCATGTACGAGGACGTGCTGTACGCTTGCGACGACGATGTGTGCCCAGAATACACCAAGGACCCTCGTAAGTTCCGAGAACTTATATCTGTAGATGATCGATCTGACCAAGTAATAGGCATCAAGGAGGTCGTCACGCTCACCTCGGATCTCTCACGCAAGAACCTCGAAAAGGACTTTGAGCGCATGGATACCCCACAAGGCACCTTCTACCGTGTCTATTTTGATATTTACTTGACACTCGACGGTTCGGAATTCAGCGCAGAGCTCGTCTGCCAAGGCGAGGTCATGGGTCGTTGCCGCGCACGTTTCAGATAAGGCAGAGCGAAAGGCAGTAATCAGGTTGGTACGGAGGGCTGGCGTTGGCGCAAAGCATAGAGGTGGTGAGGTCCCATTACAAGAGGACTTCACTATGATCGATTCTGGCATGATATAAATATCAACTTATAAATATCTATCTTTGAGCTCATTTTGTTTTGGATTTGGGCAGTCAGGTTGCCATGTTGGCGGGGGGCGAGGTGACCTGGTGAATGTTGCGCTCGACGCGCCCGAGCCATTCTGACGCGGTGACATTTACACACACCACTTGCCCCTAGTAAGGTATGTATCTTGATTCATGAGATGAAAGCATCAACTAGGGCGGTGTGGGCTGTCTGTCCAGAAGGCCTTGGCCAGAAGTGAAGCAGGTCAGGATGGTTGTGTTCGCTATCCCGCTGAATATCGAGTAGACAGCTGCACCGCTACATCATTGTGGCACTTTCACCGCCAATACCAAGACTGACAAGTGTCGAGGCGTTTCTGGTATTGGTCGTAGGACCGTCAACAGTTCTGCCGAGACATGGGTTGGCGCGCCCGCTTCCCTGCTCCTGGCGGGTTATCCATCCAGACCCTGGCCTGACAGCCAATCGCTCCTGCGTCATCGCCAATGCCACATCACACCAATTCCTCTCAGCTCTGACGAAAGGGAACAACAAACTGACATGGGTTGTGCTGTGAGTGCAACGACTTCAATATGGAGTGTACCGCTTCCTCGCCGCTGTCCCGTGTCTTCTTGACAACCTTGAGAAGTGATGTACATCGCTGTACCTTGCGTTGCTCTGAACCACAACGGTGTCGCCCTCCTTGATCGAAATTCCGACCTGGCTCTGCGCGAGTACCTTTTGTTGTGCGCCAAGTGGAATCTGGCATGCTGAAGCGGGCATTGACAAGCGAAGCGCCATCTTAAATCGACATCCAGGTGAAATAAACAAAGAAGAGAATGTACCAACACCGCAAAGCGTCTCGCAGAGACCTGGGGATGGGCAGCTATCTACTCTCCATCCTCGCGATAGGCGCAACCCTCCCATGCGTCGTCGCCAGGCAACAGTTCACATTTGGGACCAACTGGCAAGCCCAGTTCCACAGCCTCTCGAGCCCGGTCAACGTTGCCAGTAAAGGCCCACCGTCCGGCGAGGACGAAGACCGCATACCTATACGAATTGACAATCGCTGTGAGGACACGATATGGCCTGGTATCTTCACCCAAGCCGGCACAGGTCCCGGCACAGGAGGCTTTGAACTCGTTCCGGGGAACAAAACTGAGCTGTGGGTGTCACCCGACTGGCAAGGCAGGATCTGGGGGCGGACAAACTGCACGGTCGATGGCGACAGGGCCTCTTGCGACACAGGCGAGTGTGGAAAGTTGGATTGCGAGTCCAGCGTAGGTCTCCCTCCAACAAGTTCTTATCCAGCGAAAAGGATCACACTAACCAGAGCAGGGCGTACCTCCAGCGACTCTAGCCGAGTTCACGCTCGCTGGCGGCGAGAACAATATGCAGACTTTCTACGACGTTTCTCTCGTAGACGGCTACAATATCCCCATTGCCGTCAATCACATCCCGTCCAAGAACACGAGCTTTATCCCTCCCAACCTCACGAATCTCGCTTGCATTGCCACGGCCGGCTGGCTGTATGAGTCCAATGCGACGAGCACCGTCTACGCCAACACATCCTATCCAGTCCCGTGGGAGATGGACGAGTCGAACGACAGCGTGAGCTCCTGGTGCCCGTGGCCGTACCTCAAGTTCCCACCAGCCAAACCAGGCCACGGTGTCTTTCCGTATCCCGACGACAATATCGAGCGGCCGGCGTTCTCACCTTGCAACAGTGCTTGCGCGGCTTCCGGCAAAGACAAGGATTGTTGTGCTGGAAAGTATAATGATCCGAAAGTCTGCAAGCCGTCGCGGTACAGCAAGACGGCAAAGGATGTCTGCCCGGACGCGTATAGCTTTGCCTATGACGATCAGCAGTCAACCTTTATCATCCCAAAGGGTGGAGGCTGGGAGGTTGTGATGTGCCCCAAGGGGCGGTCGACTACCATCCTCCGCCAACTGGGCGATGTGATGTTTGGGTTGGCGGACAGTGGTGAACTCTCTGATGAAGCACTGGCCCGTCTTCAGAACACCACGTTTATCAACATGGAGAAGGGGGCAGGGAGCGGGTTGACTGTGGAGCTGACATGGCTCGTGTTGACGGTCTTGCTGGTGGTTTCATTGTCGGTGTGAGTATATGAGGAGGAAGATGGGCGAGCGAAAGGCGTTGAGCGCATTTCTGAACGTTTTTGGATACCCCTACACAGCCGTTGCTTATGTTGCGAGATTTGTTTCCAGCTGCATCCGACTAAAAGAAAATGGTAGCCAGGTCTACTCGGTATGGCACATCTATCGCTCATGCAAAATGAAAACCGTGAAATCAGCGCGCCTGGAACGCCGTAGCCCATGGTTCAAACCTCCGGTCTATGCCTTCTTCTTCTGACTTCGTCTTCCCTCCCACTCTGCCCTCTCTTCCTCGTCACTCCCGCTAAACTCAGCATCGTCGTCGGACTCATCGTCTTGCACAATGCCCTGCGCCGCCTTTGGCTGCTCCACGTTGACGTAGTCGCCGCTGTTCTGTGTCGCAAACTCAAATTTACGGATCAAGTCCCGGAGTTCCGTGTTTCCCGGATCGACCAGGTGGAAAGGCGTGATGCCGCCCTTGTTCTTCTGGCGCGGGTTCGAGCCGGCCTCGAGCATCATCTCAATGAGCGCCAGTCCAAAGGGCCGTTGCGCGACGGGTTCCGAGTTGAGCCAGCGAATCGCGGAGTGGAGAGGTGTATCTGCGTCGAGACGTGTGATGGGATCACATTCGAAGTCTGGCTGATCGAGCAGGAGGTCGATTATCTCATCTATCATGTTACGCGTCTTGTTAGCCCTTTTGGAATGGCAGGCGTCTTATAGGCTTTCGGGCTAGGGGAAGGGGGGGGAGAGGTTGTCGGGCGTACAGTTTCCTCGTAGAGCGGCCTCGTGGTACAGGTGGTTTCCTAGCACGGTGGTCGTCTCGTTGAGCAGTTTGGTGATCTCTTCGTCGGGCCGGTCAGCGAGGATTTCGGTCAGCAGCTCGGTGTTGTTGCCGCGGCAGGCGGCGACGAGCTGCTCCTTGACAGAGGCGCCCTGCGCATGTTAGCTTTCCTTGAGCTTTGTGGAGGGGAGGATGGTCCACGTACGTCGTGTTCTTCCTCAGGCATAGTGATATATCTGGGTAATAAACAGCTGTAGATCGTAGTGGTAAGGCGAACGCAGAAAAAAAACAAGAGAGAATGGCGAGGAAGCGCTGGTGTGTCGCGTCAAGGTGGCGGAGTGAAGTGAGGTTTGGGACGAGCTCACCTCAGAATAGCGCCTCCAGATGTTTGAGGGCGGCGGGGTTCCGTGTTTAGCGAGGGGCACCAGACGGAAGGCGGCGTTAAGTTACAGATTTCGAGGTGGCTTACCCTGCAGACTAATTGGATTTTGTGGTGATAATGGGAGTCACGTCAAGGACTATTGCTATCTATATGGTAGGGACCACTAGTAGTTATAGAACAAGCATAAATTAATGAGTCGTTCTGTCTCATGCTAAGAGGCATATGCTCGATCACAGTCATGCGTCGAATTCGACAAGAGGCTTGATAAGTCGGACCCCACCATCTTATCTTATCGTGACTGGAAATATCCAAAGCCATCACTGATTCATCGCCAAAAGCTTCAACATTCTCCCTTCTTGCCGTCAGCCAAAACTCAGCTCGGCCTTGCAAACTGCCCACCATGCTCCTATGTAAGGACTCCCGCTCCGTTGTATAGTATGTTACTGACGATGCAGTCTGCCCCCACTGCGCGAACATCCTCACCGTATCCCTCACAAACGGAGGCACCAATCGCCTCGAGTGTCGAACCTGTCCCTACGAGCACGCCATTGTCGACACAGTATACTCTCGACGCGAATTCGAGCGCAAGGAGCGCGAGGATGTATTTGGCGGTCCTGGCGCGTGGGACAATGCGCAAAAGGGTCGCGTGCAGTGCCCCAACGATGGCTGCGATGGAGACGAGGCGGCCTTCTTCCAAGTGCAAATCCGCAGTGCAGACGAACCCATGACGAATTTCTATAAGTGTATGACGTGCGGGCACCGATGGAGAGAGAACTGAGGAGAGGCTGAGGGGGATTGCTTTTTCTTCTTTCGGAGGGTAGCCTGGAGTTCGGGTTCTGGCGTTCAGTGGCTTTCTCGTAGCCCCAATAGTTGGCTTCCCATGATAGCATGACGGTCGTGAGTTATAGCCTGGTTGATATGACGAGTGTGAATCCGTATGTGAATAGTTTCTTTATTCACAGGTCCGCACGGGCACAAGAGCTTAGGGCGCCCGAGACACTGTTTGCGACAAGCCTTGACTTGTGCACCAATTTTCCTATGCCTCTTTGTGCCAGTCGACTGCCGCTCTCATGCCCTCTTCCATCAACCGCCCCACCAAATCCGGACTCAAAATGTCCTGTCGGAAGCGCTCCTGCTGTAGGAGCTCGAGGTGTCGCAAGGTCGGCCCGGGGAAGCTGAGATATTTGAGATACGGCGGGCGGGACCAGTACTGGAGGTAGGCGAGATAGGCGACGAACTGCGGATTTTGAAGATATTTCTGCGATGCTAGATGGTTGAGGTACATTGGATTGGCGAGCGACTGCACGAACTAGTGGCCAGATCAGCAGGTAAACGTACAATGCGGAGAGCATTCATACCTCCAGCTCGATCTCAAAGCGCGTGAAACCGCCATATTTTGGTTCATTGGTCGCTTCCGGGATCTCGGGAGGGTTCTGCATGGGAACGTCGTCCTCGGTAGTGGCCATGGTGCAAGTGGTGATTTGGAATTTGTTGATGCAAGCGCGAAGCCTGTCGCGATAATTAGCACGGGAGCCGAGTCATGGAAGGCAACTGCGGAACGCAACAGGCCCTATACTCCCATCACTCGCAGTCAGGTGAATTGTTGGCATAACTTGGGTACCCTGGCCTATACGGTAGTACTGAGCACTCATTGCTCGAATTATCACCCCCTTCACTTTACTTGTTCACTTTGATGCTGACAACTTTGCCTTTGAGGATCCAGCAACGACCTTCTAACATCACTTTGTTCATCGGGATAACCAAATACTTATCACTGACTGGCACACGGCCGCACGGGCTACAAACTGACTTGATATGAAAGGGCACATGCAATAGGGACGCAACTCATTCCGTCGCCTATTCATTCCCCACTGCAGCCTGAGCGCACCTCACGTAGCTGCGGCTGAATGCTTACCTCTCCACTCTACAGCCCGAGACATCGCAAAGTCAACATCAAGAGTCAAGACGTACGGCCTGAAGCGAGCATCGAAGATTGCACGTGCCATCATGGATTCCTCCAAAATCAAAACACGGATCGTCATTCTCTCGGACACTCATGGGGCCAAACCCAAGCCTAGGACAGCCCAGGATCCCGACTCAGATACAGAGTTGTCCCAAAATTACCGAATTGTCATGCGGCTACCCACTGGATTCCGACATCCACTCCCAGAGGCCGACGTTCTCATTCACTGTGGCGATCTCACCAAGAGATCACGAGCAGAGGAGTTCGAGGCGACCTTCTCGATGTTGCGGGAAGCGCCAGCGAAGCTCAAACTAGTCATTGCCGGAAACCACGACGGGGCACTGGACGCAAAGTTCTGGGACCAGTACGCAGATGAGCAACCTAAGGAACCGGGAGACGAGACCACGTCCCGGAAGGCCTGGAGGATCATCAAGGAAGCAGAGCAGGATAGTGTACGTTTTCTCGACGAAGGCACACACAACTTTGCGTTGGACAATGGCGCAGTCCTTCGGATCTATGCTTCACCATGGACTCCTGAATATGGACTCTGGGGGTTCCAGTATGATGTTGACGAGGGCCACAGCTTCAAGATTCCGCAAGATATAGACGTAGCGATGACACACGGGCCGGCCGAGGGGATTCTGGACCTGACCAGGGGTCACGATCATGCCGGATGTCCGTTTCTTCTCAGTGCATTACAGAAAGCGAAGCCACGGATTCATTGTTTTGGGCACATTCATGAGGCTTGGGGTGCATATCTGGCCAAGTGGGGGAAGCTAGCCGCCGAGGGTGTCGACGAGGCTGCCTCCCGGACTATCATGGACCTGGATGACTTCTGGCCCGTGATGGCGGATGACGACGAGGGGTACGCATCAAGGGTTCAGATGCTGAAGAAGATTAGGAAAGAAGGCGGCATCGGAATTGACCTCACAGCACTTGAGGCGTCTGGTGCCGGGAAGGACCAGACATTGTTCTTGAACGCAGCAGTAATGAATTTGGGGTACAGGCCTGCGCAAAGCCCCTGGATCGTGGACATTGATCTGCCACAGAAGGAATCGGGATAGGTGAGCAGTGCATAGCCTTTGCTCGACTATCAAGACCCTTAGGTACAAGCACTTGTTACTTTGTGTCAGGTTCCCCAGAATCCCTTATACGACGTGGCAGCGGTTCAGCCTGGGTACCTGTAACTCAATCATGTATTGAATGCTTTTGCACGCTTGTCATCAAATACAGTAGTATTATTCTTGAGCGACCGAGTGTATCCAGAGTGCAGGAGTGCACAAATGAGTCCAGCTAGCATGCAGCCGTTGGCACCGTCAAGTTTCAACGCCATGTCTGTCTTGGTTGATCAGCCAGGAACGTGAGACGGGGGTAATTACCGTTCTCGCAACTTGACCACTGTGCACGTTACACGACAGATGCTATTGAATTAATTACCACACTGCATTACAGTACCGACTGTAACCCGGAATTCCAGTATCTTCGACGAGCACTCCGCTTCCCGAGCATATCGACGTCATGGCGAATGCGCGCTCCACAGGAGGGCCGGGGTTAACACAAGGCCCTGTACATAGTACGTGGCGCGGAGGATTCCACTTGGGATTCCATGCAGTGCGAGGCTGGACCCGCAGACCGCGACTTGGAGGTCACGAAACAGTGCCGGTCTCACCAATTCCGTACAGCTCCTGCCGTGTCTCGAGGGAATGGTCATGTTTTCCTTTCCCCCTTGACCATCTATTTCCGCATTTCCCTCCCGCCCTGCGACGAACAGACCGAGACCGTGCCTGTACCTGGATGGGCAGCGCCAGAAGGGCCATCCCATCGTGACAAGTGCAAACTTTGAAGTCGATGGAATGTGGGGATCTGCCCAAGACATAGCCCCCCAGTTGGGCGCGGTCCCCTGCATAGCCCGAAAAGCCGGGGGACTTTTTAAGTTCTATTTTCGACTTCAGGGAGCGAAGGAAGTCTGGTGTTGTTGATTCGATCCAGAATGCCGCGATTCTGAAATCTGGACCGTATAAGTAAAGCGTGTGGAGCCGGCGCCCCGTCTTGTGGCCACAATCAGTTGAGGTAGTCCGCGTCAGCCGTCTGAAAGGATGTGTCGGCATTCAGTCCAATGAGGTGAGCGTGACGTCTCACGGAGAAGTTTACCTAAGTAGCGAGTCCTTGATGGCAGTGTTCAGCAGCCGTGCTATATTCGTCGCCGCTGATGGGCGACTGAACTTTCTGCTACTTCGTTGCCGCTTCGCCTTGCTTTCCCGCCGTCGAGGATTCGTGGCGCACCCGCAGCAACACAGGCACTCAACATGCAGTGGGCCCCATGCCAATGTAGAGCCTCAATGCTTGGCTTCCCCGGCTATGCGACGCTTGGAACTCTGAGAGTGCGAGTTTCGGAGGGGGAGCAAGGCAAGGCTCGAGCAGCAAACAGCGCAGTCCAACGACGCATTCCACTGGCACTGGGGGGGCCGGCTTCCAGTCTGGTTTGTCTTGAGACACAATTATTCCCCCGATCGAACCAGCCTTGGTGCCTGGGTGCCTGGGTGCCTGGGTGCCTGGGTGCCTGGGTGCCTGGGTGCCTGGGTGCCTGAGTGCCTGAGTGCCTGGGTTGCTGGGTTGCTGTCTCAAGCTGCTGCGGATGGGATGCTCATTGGACGACGGCCCCAAGGCTCTCCCATTCTGACATAGTTGGTAATGATAATAGTTACTTGCTCGAGTTAGCGCGTGAGGCTGACGAAGCCTGTGAGGTAGCTTGCGAGGCCCAGACTGCGGATTATTGCCAGGAAAGGCACACAGGCAAACTGAAGGTGGAGGCATGGACCCTCACCCAGCTTCCCGTCCCACTCAAGCTCCAGATTTGGTGTGGGCGATCCATCCATGAACCGCGACTAGTTCAGGAGGCTAGGCCATCCCTGAAACCCCGGGGCTGTCGCGTCGTCGGTCTGTCGCCAGGACGATGGCCTGGCGTGGAATGTTGCCCTCGTCGAGAATAAGAAGCGCGCCATCGCCTCTCACAACACCTCCGACTTCTCCCGCTCTCCCCTCTCCATCTATCCCACGGTAGCATCAAACAAGACATCACACGGACTCTCATTCTCACCACGTACCCACAAGCCGTACATCATCTCATCACCAACCGTCATCATGTACAAGTCCACTGCCATCCTCGCCCTCGTCGCTGGTGTCGTCCAGGCCCAGTCTCTCCCTGACATCCCCTCGTGCGCCATCCAGTGCCTGAGCACCGCCGCCCCCGACGCCGGCTGCAGTGGCATCACCGACTTCGAGTGCCTCTGCGGCTCTATCGAGGAGATCATGCAGTCGTCCAGCGACTGCTTCACCAGCGAGTGCGACTCCTCGGAGCTCGAGAGCGCCCAGTCCGCGGCCTCCGAGTTCTGCGCCAACCTGGTCGGCACCACGCCCGGGTCCATGACCATGCCCATGACCTCGACCGTCGCCGAGACCACCGTCACCAACCCCGTGACCGTCACCACGCCCACCACGCCCATGATGTCGGACATGACTGAGACCGACATCATGGTCACCACCGAGACCGACTCGGACGGCAACCCCACAGCCACCCGCACGGAGGAGTCCGACGCCACCGGGACCGACGACGAGGGCAACAACGACAGCGGTGTTGGCAAGCCTGTTGCTGGCCTCGTCGCTGCTGGCCTTGCCGTCCTCGCTGCCTTGTAAACGCGCCCTTTCCAATCTTGTTGGAGTGAGATGCGGATACTTGCGTGTTGTCTCACATGCTCTCAATGTATAGAGCAAAAGTGGAAATCAGAGGAAAATGAAATGCGAAAGCATGGAATATAATACACATTAATACCACTACATCTACTAAGCTCATGTTCTCACCGTCCACCCATGCCTGTTCCTGTTTGATGACTGTAGGCCGCGTTGCCAAGAGTGCGACTATTTGTGCCGTATATACTTGGATGCCGTAGCTATAGTTGCACACCTGAACAATTAAGCATTATTACTTTCTCCTTCAATGATTGACAGCGCATGTTCATTGGAACTGCCTGACAAGGCCTCGCAGCTACTTATCATCCCACCTCTGCCGGTTCATTATAATCGGCCTCGCAGGATCCCACGGTCCTCGGATCTCGTTCTTATACTTTTGCAACCCAATCAGCCACCAGCTACATCCCCCCGTGCCCACAACGGCCAACAGCACACTGATCACCATGCCCACAATGCCGCTCGTCCAGTTCCAGCCGCCATCTTCCCTTTGCCGCACCACCAGACCCACCCCCAAGCCCGCGCCCAGGACGAGCAGGATGGTCAGCGCGACGTTGAGTTGCCACGATTGGTGACGGACGTGCCGCCGAAACACGGGAAAGAGCCCAAATACCTCGATCGAGAAGAGCGTGAGGCTGAACACTTGCGTGGTGGAGGGGAGACGGCTCGCGAGCACGGTCGAGGCCATCAGCGCAGCGTTGGTCGAGAGGGAGGCGGGAAACTTGGCGCCCACGCCGCCCGAGTAGTCAAAGAAGAAGATGTTGATGACGAGGAGCCAGAAGGACATGGCCCAGATGCTGTCGCTGCTCGTCGACCGGGTCAGCGACTTGAGGATGGGGCTGAGGCCGAGAAGGGTCGAGTAGATGAGCGCCGACGACTTGAGGGTGCCAAGACGTTCGTGAAAATGGTTGATCTCGCCCGGGTTGAAGGGGGGGATCGTCTCACTGGGCGACGACAGCATCTCGTGGCTCAACCTCGTGCGTAGGCTGGGCGTGGACACTGTCGTCGGCGGCGGCCGACCTGCCGACGAGAGATTACTCGTCGAGCTGTTGGCCGACACGTCTGTCAAGGAGAGTTTGGTCGGGGGCGCGGAGAGGCCCGAAGGGGGGTATCGTGCCGTGGACTCGCTGCGCAGGGGCGTTTGACGACGTATGCTCGCCGCCCGTGTTCTGCGTCTGTTCAGACTCCCGCTCCGGCCCACGACAACGGTCGCGACGCTCGTGCCCAGGGACGAGGGGTCTTCGTTCTGGTCTTCGCGAGACACCCAGTACTCCCACACGAACCAGCCCGCGACGGTGGCGCCACTGCTCCAGCTCACGATGGAGACGGGTGATACGCGGTCCTGGAAAATGAAGGCGAAGCAGACGACGAAGATGATGACGCTGCAGACGTGCTGCAGGATGACGGTCGAGTCGGCAACGAGGGGCCAGAAGTCGTACGGCTTGAGGCGTGGGTTCCGCTGGAGGTCGCCGAGAAAGGTAGCTTGGTCGGTGTAGTTGTCGGGGTCTTGCTCACTGTCAGTGCCAATTGGGAGGGGAGGCGTGGGCCGGACAGGCTGGGAGGAGGGTCTCTTTACATGACTGCTTCACCCACATGAGCTTCTTCCAGGACCTCTTGCGCCGCCTGCTGCCACCCTGGTCGCTGTGTAGCCTCCGCAGGCGCGGTCGTCCCAGCTCGCTCGCGCTGTCGCCAGCGTAGGGGGCGCGATGGGGCGGGGGAAAGGCATCGTCGGGCGAGAGGAGGCCGCTGGCGAGCCGGGAGGAGACATGAAGGTCTAGCGTGGGAAACGGTGTCTCGCTCTCATCGTCGTCGGTGTGCGAGGGCATCGCTGTCAAGGCGTCCTTTTCATTGTGCTGGTGGTGGTGGTGGTGATGAGTGCTGGGTGAAGTGGATGTCAAGGGAAGACGTTCGACACGTTGCATCGTACCATGACGCTAGCGGGAGAAGCTCCTGCGTAAGGTAGGTAGGTAATTACTCCGTACGATCTCAGAACAGTCTATTGCCATTGTATTTACACCATGCAAGCGAGTAAGTGATTAAAAGTACTTATGACACGAAGACTGGAGCAGAAAAGTAGACACTGGCGCTTTCATGTCTCTGTAGCCGTCGCTGGATCGCTGTTTCAACGGGATTCGATTGGAACATCTATATGCACACGACAGTGGCCCAGATTTCATCCAAACTCAACTTGGGAGACGACAAAATGCTCGTCAACATACACATTCAGCCTCTCTTCGATATAATCTTCGGTCGTGGCGTCGTTGGGTTTAATGATCCGCCTTTCTCCCGGAAGATCCTTGATGCAGAACGTCTTCAGTCCGTCAGCACATGAACAGTGGAGCGTGTGCTCGTGGGACCAAGGGGCTATCGAGCTCACAGTTGGACCAGTGTCAGTGGCATGGAGCGTCTTGCCAATCAGCCTGTTCTCCCAATCCTCAAGCGAGTTCTTGGGGCTGGCCAACGGAGAGCTGCCCACGCTGTTCCTTGGCTTCATGATGGTCAGTCAGGCTGGATGTTCTGTCGTTAGAATCACGAGGTTGCGCTGCTTCGCTTCACCTCGAACTGTCTGTTAACAGGTCAAGGATCGGGTCTCTGTCCACTTATACGCTGCTGCGCATTGCTTGTTTTCCATGTGTGCTTTGGTTGCACACGTCGAGGATTGGCTTGCGTCATACGGTGAAGAACTGGGAATACCCTGCGCACAGCGCATGGCAAGACTTGGAAGAAAGGCGCCTCACGGGCCACGACGCGGGCAACTAACTGGTCACTTGTTCCTTTCGTCAAAGGCTGAATTACAAGAGAGGAGGCCTAAGAGATGCGGTGCCCGCTACGTCAAGAATGCTTCAAGTGGCTTGCACAGCGCCGCTGCCTCTAATGTTCTCCACGAACCCACAGGAACAGCAAATGCTCAAGAAGCAAGATCCCGTTGTTGATTGACTGATCTTGCGTGGAGACCCAGCTGGGCAGTACGTATTCCCGGTCACCGCCAACATCAAACCAAAAACCTGGTCGCATACGTGGCATGCCTGCTCCTAATCAATCCATAACATGTAGGGTGAATGCAGGGTAATTTCAACACTGCGAACCGTTGCGACGGCCGACCAGACCCCTGCGACTCGCCGACGTCTGTTCAGAAGTTGATGGATGGGAAGCTGTCGGTCTTGCGACAGTGAGCGAGCGAGGAAGCGCACGATATCAACAACTCCTCGCCTCGCCCACCCTCTATGGACTGACTGGTGGGCCTCCCAGTTCCAGCCACCCAACTCCCACTTTCGGGGATTATCTATCTATCGCCTTGGTTTGACGCCATCTCCTGTCCCACGTTGTGGCGGGCCGCATGCAGCAAAGCCGCTGCGGAGCATGTCGAATTCCCCAACCTCCTCCGTCCTCAGTCTCTCTCCGACGCCATCCCCCTATCCGTCCGCATGCGTCGCGCTTGCTCAACTCGTGCCTGTCCAGTCTCCAGTCGTGCGTGAGCTGCACGCGACCAGTCTGGCGCTCACGCGGGCAGCTTTGCAGTCACCCGGGGCCCGGTCCTGTCTCTGGAATCCAATCGCCGGTCTCAGGTTGCGTGCGGCGCTGCGGCCTATCTCACCATCACCCGGCGAGATGGGCCTTGGGACGACTGAACCGACCACCCCCAGGCCCCAGAGCGTCGGGCGAGTAGTCACCCTGCCTCGTCACACGCGCATGCACGCACGCACATGCACGGGGGCTTCGCACACCGAGGAGTGGGAAACGAGGTGTGCCTGCAGCTAACCGCCTCCCACAGACCGTCGGTGTGGGAATTCCCAGCAACCAGCAACCTGGCCACCGCATCTCACGGGGCGACAGGGCCACCACTCACGACCACGATGGCCTCGCACGGGATCAACCGCTCGACCCCCGTCGCCGGCTTCGGGCCAGACCGCAAACGGACAGGCGAGCTAAGGCAAGCTTGCTCGCACGCTCGCTGGCGTGCGGTCCCTGCCCCCAGAAAACACACCCAAAGGGCTCGCTCACGCGATTGTCGAAATGACGCCCTCTGCCGTTTCCGTCACACCGCCCTACGGTAGCTCATAAGACAAGAACGCGCGAGGACGCAGCAGCCTCGTACTCATGGGACCGTGGTCGCCGTCTGTGTATCATCCATCCCATCCACGTATCCTTCTTCGATGCTGTCCTTGCCACTCAATCTAGGGTCATGGCGGTGCCATCGTGGCGGATCATAAACAGTGACGAGGCGTCTGGTCATGGTCGAATATCCCCTCTAGAGACGGCGCGCACATCTACAGCAGCTCCAAGCATATCATCTCCACGACCGCCCCCTTTCACTTACCTGCCGCCAGAGCTGCGGCTGCGCATCTACAACTGCGCCATCGAGCCTCGTCTCCTGCTGCTGAACGATCTCGTCGACGTCGAGTGCGCCCACCCGCTGCCGGCGGTGACCCAAGTCAATTCAGAAGCACGCATTGAAGCACGCGCTGGCTATGAGCGGGTAGGCAAGGGATCCTACTTCAACTTTGCGCGAGATCTACTGGTCTGCGACTATCGCATCGCGGATCGGACGACTTTTGACTCGGTAGCCGAGGACATTGCATCGCGAGCGGAGCGTGTCGTCTTCTGGGACTGTGTCCCGGACGAGCAGAGAATCGCCCTACCAAAACACTACTTTGACTATGTGTCCCAGTGGTGCGACCAGGACGTCGACGGGCAAGTCACGCTCGACAGGTTCTGGTTCCCCAACGTGAAGGAATTCTGGTCTGTCAAAGTGGGCGACGTGGCGCGAAGCTGGCACGTCCACTTTGACAAGAGCGCGCCCTGCAGCGAGCGCATACAACAAGCCGCGCGCGAGTATCGATACTGGGTGGACGCCAACGTCGTGGAAGTGGCGACGCTGGATCTAAGCCAGGATGCCATGTCGCGACTGGTCTTGCGAGAAGGACGATGCGACAACGACAATTGCCAGAGGTACAATGTGGGGAGGACACACATCCTCTCCAAGGTCAACTTTATGGACGGCGACTACTGCCCACCGGACGACGGGAGGGAATGGTATCATGTCAGGTTATCCGAGGAGACAAGGTGCGAGGTCGATGGGTGTCGTGCTGCGGCCGCGAGGCTGCGATGGTCATTGGTGGAGAGAAGCTTCACATTCTTCTTGCGATGGGACTGGCCGATGGATATGGCTGGCGTGGCAAGGAAACGCAACCGCTTGGAATACACTGGCCACAGGCATGGTCTGTACTCGTCGCATTGACCTGGTTGGTCTTGCAAAGGACCTGGAATACCTTGTACTGTTAGAGACAGTTGGTGGCACGCCCGACGAAGCACGGAAGGAGCACATGCAGTAGAATGACAGACACATTGTTTATCAATATATACATAACTTGAACGTACAGAGCTTATAGCGTCTTCTTGATGTTGCGACGTGCGCTGCTGGCTCTCGACCAAGAGCCGGCCGACTTCCTCAAACGCCCAAAGGTCAGCGTCGATGCGTTCGGCATCAACCCCGTCTCGTTCGTATGACTGGCGACCTCTTCAGACCGCGCCGACGTCTTTCTGCCCCATTCCTCGTCCGGCTCTGCAACCGCGGGACTGGGCAGTCTCAGAATCTTATTGGGACCTTTTGTCATAGCCCCTTGCAGTGCCGCCCACGATTCCACCTGGCCATTCGCAGCCTCCTCCACACAGTTGCACTCGTCCCCGGCAGGGCAGAGTTCCTCGCCGGCGGCATGCCACTCGGCGAGACAAGCCTCATGACTCGCGCAGCCACAGCTTAGACACGGTGGGAACAGTGCATCGACGGGCTCCAGGCAGTACACGCAGCGTAGCTGGCTCTGTGTACGATGGCAACGATCACATGTACCCACGGCGCCGCCCGTATGCGAGTCTGAGGAGGTATAGCGTGCAGAATCCAGCTGTGTTTCGTGGATGCGACAAATTCCCGTCACGTCGATCCCCCTGCCGGACGCGATGAGCGCATGCAACTGATCCTTCTTGCCCATGACGATGGGTGATGAACCGGTCTTGACATGCGCAACGCTGCCCTCATGAATGGTAAAGGACTCGGATGTGCTGCCGTCCCTGTGGTGCACAGTTCGGGGGCCATCGGATCGCATAATGTTGAACTTCATAATCTCGAGGCGGGAGAGCGGCTCGTCCCACATTTGAAGCATCTCGGCGTACGCATAGCGGGAGCGTGCATGGAGCTCTGCGCGTGCAGGATCCAACATGTGCGCGCTGAGCCAACCGTCGTCGTCAAACATGGTTTGATCCTCAACGAACAATGACACGCTGACTGGCACGAGGGGTAGGGTGTCCTCGGGTAAGGGTTCGTCGCCATCTACCGAGATACGCCCCACGCTCGAGTCACCGGTGACCGTCTTGGAGGCATTGCCCCAGACAGCGCTGTTCATGCCAGGGGCTAAGCTGTTGATGATCGTCTCGACGGGGCTGGGCTTCTTCTTGTAATACGGTGGTGACGCGGAGCTCCCACCCGTGAATGATCGGGACAGGCCTGTAAAGGATGATGCGAGACTGGCGTTCGCCTTGTGCGTTGATCGCGCGTGCGGTGACCGTGTACCTCCTTGGGCAATATCAAGACCTGCCACAGGCGCCTTACCACGGGCAGGGGGTGTTTCGCCGCAAGAGTACGAGTTGGACGCTGGATCCTCGTTCCAGGCCACGTCTTCGGACGCTTGTGAACCATCATAATAAGGCGTCAAAGGCGTACGGGGCGTTCTTGGGGTCGTTGTGGGAGCTGTACTGCGTGTCTTGCCAAAGAGATTCCACACGGAGGCATCTGTAGGGAAGTACTCCAGGGAGAAGGAGGGCGCCTTGAGAGGCAATGGCGTCTCGGTTTGTGGGAGATGGGACTCAGCATAGGCAACACTGTCTGCAGCCGATGTCTCGCTGAAGATACACGACAACATCGCTAGCATCTGGATGTCGGCAATTTTTTCGAAATAGTCAAACAGCTCGGCGATGAAATCGCGCGCCAGAGGATGCTCGCCCCATTTGACTCGACCACAAAGCCCAGAATCAGACTCGGCCGAGTCATACCCAGAGTCTGGCGACTCGTACGACCGCGTCTTGGAGACAATTTGATGCGCAATGACAAGAATGGAGTTCCGCCTGCTGTCTGGCGAAAGAACCTCCAGTGGTATGCCCTTTTTCAGGAGAAGCGTCAAGTACCGCCAGACGTCAGCCATATCCTTGTATCCATGCTTGTCAGCGACAGCGGCGTTGTGCTCGCACACTTCAGCGCCGTCGCCAAAGATGGCATACTCTTTGGCTAGATCCCTTTTGGATGGCAGGAGAGGCTGGGTATCGTGGATCGTAACAAGGTTGCGCGGCCGTCCAGGGATGCGACGTCGACTGTACGCTGTGCCTGTACCCGTACCAATTCCAGTTCCAGTGTCGCCGCCGCTTGACCTGATCGATCTGTCTTCACTCCACGTCTTCCTAAATTGTCGCCGTGGGTGATACCAGAGGCTCATCTTGTGAATAGAAGTCGACTCGGAATCACTCGATGAAGTCGATGTATCAGACTCGTCCGAATCAGATTGATCTTCTGTCGCCGAGGGCTCATCTGTTGCGAACTTTGACTTGGAGGACTGCTCGTATGGAATTCTCCCAAAGCCGGCAAAATACGGCTCAGGCTTCGCCTTGTCCTTTTGCAGCTCTGCGTTGCTGGAGAATAACGCCCTGGCCCTTTCCTCCTTACTAGGGAAGAAGCAAACCAGACGTCCATCGTGGGAAAATCGAGCGCCACATGTCCTCGCTGGCGGTGGGATGATCGACCTGTTCGGAGGCGCAAGGGTCGTGTCCGCATCGGCATGAGGCGGCAGCTCTTGCGACATGGCCGCCGAACCTCCAGCCGGAATGTCTTCATCTTCCTCACTGCTCGAGCTCTCATCGACGAGTGCGCCAATGCCATCGTCAAGATCATCCACATTCTTGAAGAGTGTTGTGCTCGTTTCCAGGTCCACCTCGCCAAGCAGGTAGATAAAGGCGACTTCCAAACAGTTCTTCTTTCTTTGCAGGAACTGCTCGGCGAGCAGATGGATCTCTCGGGTCATGCGCTGATGTGTCTCCTCCGGCAAGAATGACGTCTTCTCGATGTAGAATTTTGGCGCGCTCGCACTTGGATAGTCCTCGGGGATATAGATCCGTACTTTGATGAAGATTGTGTCACCGCCAGATCCCCAAGGCCCGTTTAGGGACGCGTTGAGTGTCATCTCATCAAAGTCGATATTCTCCCACCTGACTTTGGGCATCGACATGCTGATGCGCAACACCTCGTCTTGTATCGTATCTGGACCTGCCCATTCGTCATCAGGATAGCCATGGCCGAAAACGCTCGAGTCCTTGGACATCTGTCTCTTTGGCAGGATGCCAGGCCCAGAGGCGGTCCGTTTCGTAATGGTAATGCCCTTGAGCCACCCAATCTGTGATTGATTGCGATCCTTCTTCGACGCGACCTTGGCTCGCATGGAGGGTCCTCGCCAACCAGTCTTTGCGTGTCGCCCCTGTGTACCCGAACGCATGCCCATAGTAAGCGCACTCTGCTTCGCTTGGTTGGAAACGGCGGCACGCGGATCGCTCATTGTCCCGTGTTTGCGATCTCGGCTCGAGACTTCATCGATGGTGCGAAAGGTCTTGTATGTTGCGCCTTTCCGGGTCAGATTGATACCCTTGGCTGCTGGCGCACCCTTGGTATATCCTACAGCCGCCAGTATGCTTGCGTCAACGCATTGGAGCCGCAGCTCATTATCAGTGCCCCATGAAACAAGCTGGAACTCCCTCGTGTCGATAGAGTTGGCGTCGATGCCGCCTCTACTCCTCCAGAGAAACTCTTTCACCTTGTGTTGGCCATGGCCTGGAAAGACCGTTACAGGTTCTGCGGTTGTATGTTTCGGCCCTTCATCCAGGCGCTGCCTATCGTACAGATACAGGTCCCCGGGCTCATTTTGGGGCATGGCCAGAAGGCCCTCTCCGAATGGTGTATGTCGCGCTCGCCAAACAGGATACTGAGTGTGGATCACCTTTTCAGGTTCATGGACATCTTTCGAGTAGTCCCAGAACTTGATGGTCTTGTCCAACGAGCATGTGACAATAGAGGTGGGATTCAGGCGATTCCAGTCGAGTCCGTAAATCTTGGACGTATGGGCCGCAATCGACTTGACTGGCTCGCGCGCCCGTCTCTCATCCCAAACGTGAAGCCAACGATCGTGCGAAGATGCCAGAGCGTGGGGGTCTTGTCGACTGTACTTAACTTGCGATGCCCCGGCAAACCAGTCGCAAAAAGTAAGCACTGGCTGCCGCGGGCGACGAAGGTCCCAAGAGTGCACGTAGCCATCAACAGAGCATGTTGCTAGGATATCGGGGTGGTGCGCAGAAAAATTGATGTCGGTAATGGCACGGCTGTGTCCTTGCAACGAATGCTCTATCGCGCCAGACGCCGAATCCTCTCTAAGATTCAGATTCCATACCAGAGCGCGATGGTTTGCTGTGGACACAACCCAGTAGTCTCGTGCAGCAAAGGGCGACCACTGGACGTCTGTAACCAGCCAAGGTTGACCATGGCTGCGCAATCGCCGAGGGGGGTTGTACGGCGAGTCGAGGTCGATAATGGCCAGACCATCCGGCGATGCAAGCGCTATGTCGCGACCTGAAGGGGAGATTGTCGCCGAGCCGACTAGGCCGTCCACATGAATTGTACCATCAGACTCGAAGCTTTCACTATCGTAGGCTGATTTGATAATCTTGCCCTTCCTTGGCGCATCCAGCGTCTGGTCGAAAAACGGCATTTCTTTGGCCTAAGAAGCGATGGCTCATGTGGCCCTTCATATCGGGATCGCGTTGCCCGTTTGACATGCGCTGAGTGAGGCACGTTGGCAATCAAGATGAAGGCTGGGTGTGAGAACCGTCTTATCACACGTACGTGTCATTCGAGGGTAGTCGCCGGGTCGCCGGATCCGCGCACGATCCAGTCCGTTAATATTGGTTAATCATGGGACTGAGTTCGCGACGAAGTGAACCGGCATCGAGAGAATGAGGTCAGACGTGATAGGGATCGAGTGCTTCCGCCATATGCTCTACTAGCGAAACTACCTCTCCTCTAGCAGCGGCCAGGCGTCCCTGGCAGGCCCCACAAGCTTCATCTCAGCTGCTGCAATTGCTTGCCTACCCGGTACCAAGAATAAGGTTTCAACTTATAAAATGATTCATGATTATAACTGTAAAGGCTACAATATAAATCTTGAAGTTTAGTCTGCCTGTATGACTGAAGTGCCCTCACCAGATGTAATTGCAGAGCAGGTCTTTGCCTGACTTCCCTCTTTAACGAAGGTACTTTGCACGCACTGTCACGAGCAAATCGTCTATCTCATACCTCTGTCGCATGTACAAACGGCCCCTCCTTCCGCCCACCAGTGCCCCGCCTCGCGTACAATCGAAGCCTCCAAAGTTCCGACTTTAGCTCTTGCACCGCTTGCTCTCCCAGTCATAGCATTTAGCCTTTGTTGCACTATCGCCCCCCATATGAAGCACCAGAATGGCTCTACCCAAGCGAATTATCAAGGAGACGGAGCGCCTGATGGCCGAGCCGTAAGTTGCACATGGTGTGGAGGAATCTGCCACAAACGAGTTACTGACCGTCCCTCGCGCAGTGTGCCTGGTATCAGCGCCGTTCCTCACGATGATAACCTCCGCTATTTCGATGTCGAAATCCATGGGCCTGCTAGCTCTCCTTACGAAGGTACAATGAACGGCCATTGCGCGTTCGGTCTCGACTGACTGAACCTACCTAGGCGGGATATTCAAACTCGAGCTCTTCCTTCCCGAAGACTACCCCATGACTGCGCCCAAGATTCGATTTCTCACAAAGATATTCCATCCCAACGTCGACAAGCTTGGCCGTATCTGTCTTGACGTCTTGAAGAGTATGGAGCCTCGGGAAATACGCGGTCACATGTCCGGGGATCGCTAACGTGCTGTAGATAACTGGTCTCCTGCTCTGCAGATCCGAACAATCCTATTGTCGATTCAGGCTCTCTTGGGCGCCCCCAATCCCGATGACCCCCTGGCCGACGACGTAGCCAAGCATTGGAAGGCTGATGAACAGGCGGCTATTGAAAAGGCCAGGGAATGGACAAGAACATACGCACAGCCTCAGCCCCAGCCGGCTTCGTGAGGGACACCAGGCAGGCATGGAGCGGAGCGGAGACGAGAAATACCATGGGAAATGTTCAGGTGAACTTTGATAGGGTCGCAAGCGATGTTTTCATATTACGGGTATAGGCCGACACGGTTCCACGTGCAACAATTTTCTTTGACGTCTCAGTGCCAGGTAGCGCCGTACCACCTGCTCGAACCTACAGAACCACCTGTACTTAGTATCACAGCAGATCCAGCATTGGAACTGGCTTGCTAGTATATGATCACGACTTTGTACAAGCGAAGCTCCGCTCCACGAGGCCCATTTATCCTTCGCGGGAATCAAAGTACAAGGGACGTCACAGACAAATGCACCATTTTTTAGAGATACAAGTAGAGCGATTGACTCCACCAATACGATTTCTCGCACCTACAATGCTAGAGTACACAAAGGGAATCTTTCCGTATAGCGTAGCGCAAGCTAACGATGATATTCGCTTAGACGACAGCAAGGTCGCCGAACTTCTCCTGTTTGGGGGATTAGCACACGTCTCCCGATACCAACAAAAAAAACACATACCTTGTAACCAGGCACCATCCAGCGACCCTTGGATACGAGCTCGTTGGTCTTCTCGTCGATCGACTTCTCGGCAGCGGCAACCTCGTCCTACACAGTAACATCAGTAACCCTCCGCGTAGTACTGAACGGGTCGAACATACAACAGTGAGGTCCTCGAACGGCCTAGCAGACTCAATGTTCTTCAAGGTAGCGGCAAGGTCCTTCAGCTCCAGGTCGACAGCGGTCTTGGTCTGCTCGGCGTTCTTAACAGCCTCGGCCTCGAAGGCGTCAATGGCCTTGATCTGGCGGTTGACATCGTAGGTGGTGGGCTTGAAGTCCTTGAAGCGCTTCTCGATCTCGTCAACAATGGCCGTGTTCTTGAGCTGGGAGCGGTAGGCGGCAAAGTCGACGGTCGTGGGCTGCTCGGACAGGACCTGCAACCGGCGGCGCGCGTCCTCGTTGCGCTTCTTGAAGGCCTGCAGGGAAGAGACGGTCTGGCCGCGGAGACCCAGCGAGCTGGTGACCTTGGTCCAATCGAGCTTGAGAGCAGCGCTGCGCTGTAAGGAGAGTAGAAATTAGCTCAGTCGTTCGGTCGCATTGAGGGAGCGGCGGCGGCACAGGGGTAGCGCAAAGGCGGTCGTATCGTTTCTGCAGGGAGGATCAATTGATTGAGAGCACTTACGGTGGCCATTTTGATGGTATCTGGTGGTTTGAGTGAGCGTAGATGGTCGTCAGCGTTGGTGTTGATTGACTTTGCCGACCAAAGGCGGGTCGTTGAAGCCGGAAGACAGATCACGTGACAGCGTTCAGGATCCGTGCGATTCCGACGGCCAATTCGAGCATAGATTCAAAGAATGGCATTGAAGTTAATCATGGTCAATGACAAATGACAAAGATTGAAGCCGAGAGATATGTTCCTGGCCACAGCAATTTGACCTTTTATTTTTGTTGCAGCATGCATCAAGGTGCTCAAGCCTCCATACTATGCGGAGATGAATACACTCGTGATACTTGTTTCCCATCACCACCCAAGGAATCTTCAACAATGCTAGATACTCAATGCCATGATAGAGTTGACAATGTCGTTCTCGTTCTCCTTCAGAGCCTTGATAGCCTTTTTGCGGCTGACGCTGGCCTGGGTCATGACGAGCTCGATATCCTTGTCCTCAATGCCCTCGGAGTCAACCTCCTCGTCATCATCCTCCTCCTCTTCCTCAGCAGGCTTCTTGGCGTCAGAGGACTCGATACCCTTGCTGGACTCGGCGTGGGAGTGGCCAGCGTGATCGCCCTCGGAGGCACCTTGGGCGGCGAGCTGGGCAGCGGCGGCCTGCTGGGCGGTGGCGTTGATGTCCTCGATCTTGGCCTCACCGAACACACTGTGCCCTGTCAGTCTCCCGCTCATGAACGGTCCAGTCGGCAGACTTACATGTAGGTGTTGCTGTTGGGGGACTTGTAGACCTCGGGGTTGTTGATGACGAAGAGCATCTGTGGGGTTACGTTCAGCCTTTGATACCCTCACTTCCCAATTCTGCCCGTGATCGATGTACGTACGTTCTTGGGGCGGCGCATGGTGACGCGGGTGATGCCAGTGACACGAGTCAGGTGCAGCTTCTCGAGCATCTTGCGAGCCTTCTTCTCGTTCCTGGAGGTGACAACGGTGGTCGAACCCGCGGGGAGCTCGCCCTCACCACCGGCCTCAACCTCGGAATCGTCGCTGGAGTCTTCATCCTGATCCTCGACGCGGGACTTCTGGGGCTCCTCATCGGGGAGTTCTTCGACGCGGGGGTTGGCCATGGTTGCGGTTGTGTGGTCTAGAGGAGGGGTTTTGTCGTTAGCTGGTGTTCGAGCAAGCTGAAAATCGGCTGACAACGCATTGTTTTCGGGACGCTGCGTGTCGCAAAAATTCTGCAGTACTATATACTCACATATGGAGGTGAGCCTGGATATCGTTCGTCTGGGCCGTTCGTTGCTATATTCGTCGTCTGTTTGTGAAGCGAAACTTCCGTTGCGAAATTCTAGGGTTTGGTGGTTGGCGGGCTAAGCTCGATTAGGTAATCCGCCATATGACGGTTGACGTGGGGTCCAGTCGAGCTCAAGATGTTCAACAGCTGCCCCAGACATTGGCCTCCAGGGTATGATGATGATTGCATTAAAGAAAATACAGGAAGCAAATTCTACTATATTATGGTTTTGATGTCTATTCAAACGTTTATACAATTATAGTCTAAATGTCGCTTCTCTTAACCCTTGTAAGCTGAGGGGCCGACCATGAGCTCTGGCTTCACAAGCTGGTCGAATTCCTCCTCAGTCAAAGCATTCAGCTCCATGGCTGACTCCTTGAGGGTCAGGCCCTTCTTGTGCGCGTTCTTGGCGACCTTACTGGCCATGTCGTAACCGATCTTGGGGTTGAGGCATGTGACGAGCATAAGACTACAGCAAGGTTAGCAGAGGCCGGTGTTCCATGTAAGTAAAACTTACGATTCCTTCATGATGCTGGCAATCTTGGCCTCGTTTGCGGCCAAGCCAACGATCAAGTTCTTCTCGAAGGAGCGCATACCATCCGCCAGCAGTCTGGAGCTGTGGAGGAGATTGCGGATAACAAGAGGCTTGTACACATTCAGCTCGAACTGTCCGTTCATGCCACCAATGGTGGTCGCGACGTGGTTGCCCATAACCTGGGCACAGACCATCGTCAAAGCCTCGCACTGGGTGGGGTTGACCTTGCCAGGCATGATGCTGCTACCAGGCTCATTCTCGGGCAGGTTGAGCTCGCCAAGGCCGCAACGAGGACCGGAGCCAAGGTAACGGATGTCCTGGGCAATCTTGGTCAAGGAGGTCGCCAGGGTGTTGAGGGCGCCGTGAGCGTGGACAATGGCATCGTGGGCAGCAAGGGCCTCGAACTTGTTGGGCGCGGTCTTGAACTCGGTGCCAGTCATCTTGGTCACCTCTTCGGCAATGCCCTCGGCGAACCCCTCGAAAGTGTTGATGCCAGTACCGACAGCAGTGCCACCCTGCGCAAGAAGGCGCAGATCAGGGAGTGCTGCCTCAACGCGATTGATGCCGTAGTCGAGCTGAGCCACGTAACCTGAGAACTCCTGAGCCAGAGTCAAGGGTGTAGCATCCTGCAAGTGTGTGCGGCCAATCTTGATGATCTTCTTGGCCTCAAAGTCATCCACCTTGGCTTGAAGAGCTGCCTTGAGGGTCTTCAATGCGGGCAGCAGGTCACCCTCGAGCTCCAGAACAGCAGCAATGTGCATGACTGTAGGGAAGGTATCGTTGGAGGAGGCGCTGCGGTTGACGTGGTCGTTGGGGTGGACGGGCTTCTTGCTGCCCATCTGGCCGCCCAAGATCTCAATGGCGCGGTTGGAGATGACCTCGTTGGCGTTCATGTTGGACTGGGTGCCGGAACCGGTCTGCCAAACAACAAGAGGGAAGTGGTCCATGAGCTTGCCGTCGGCGACCTCCTTGGCGGCTTGCTGGATAGCCTTGCCGATTTGAGGGTCGAGGCCGTAGCGCATGTTGACAGTAGCCGCAGCTCCCTTCAAGATGCCAAAGGCCTTGACAATGGGAGGAGGCATCCTGTCCTGAGGCTGGTTGATCTTAAAGTTCTCGAGTGAACGCTCCGTCTGTGCACCCCAGTACTTGTCCCCAGGGACCTGGATCTCTCCAAAGGCATCGCTCTCGGTTCGCGTAGAGGCCATGGTGGGCTTGGACGTATGGAAACTGCGGTGGGTGCTGTTTCGCGGGGTTGTAGCTGAAGGGTTTCGGGATGAGGCTGTATGCGGGGTCGAGAACGAGATGGATCGCAGCTGTTGACATGTGGTGGCAGCAGTTATCGTCCTCGGCATTGCTGCCGCACGCCACGAGCACGCAGCTCCCGCTCTTGCCGACGCTGTGCGAAGCATGTTGGATGGTCTACTCGTTCTCGAGGAGCAAGTGGAATCCCCTTTTGGAGGCACAAAAGACTAAAGGGCGAAAACTGAGAGCAATTGGACTGGCAAGCGCGCTTAAAGAGGTTCGCGACAGAAAGTCACTGGCAAAGTCTTGAGGTTCTTCCCCTTACCATCGCGGAAGAAAACAATCTGCTTCGGAATCGCGTTCCGATAAAAGCCGTTGTCAAAGACTGGCTTACCCTGCACGGCAATGAGGTGGGTTATCCCCGGTATGCCCCGATCAACCCTAACTGGGGGTTCACCGTCGATGAAGCGGGATTGGGCAATTCAACGTCATTGGGAAAGGAAGCAAAGCATTCACGTATGATGGCTCACGAGAGTAGCATAAAGAACCGCCCTGCGCCTTGAATTCAGATGATTGTGGAATTTTCCATTTGACGCCGTCCGTCTGCGAAAATGCGTTACGACATACAGCCCTTTGGGATGGTTATATGGTTTCAAGGCTCAGGCTGGCACAAAACGACGTGGCTATGCTCTGGCCGCCCTGATTCCCAATGTCTTCCCTGCCCGATCTAATGTCACCTCTCCGTAGTTGCCCTTTTGACTCCAAATGCGAATAACCCCATTTACGCCGAGGCCTTGACCTTGGCCAGCGCCTTGCGCTCCTCGAAGCGGCGCTGCTTCTTGAGACGGAGAACCTTGAAGCGCTCAAAGTCGGTGAGGTTGTCCCGCCTCGACTTCTGCTCACGCTTCTTGGCCCAGTTGGTCTGCTCCCACTTTGAGTCGATCTCGGATTTCTCCCAGCGCTGCTTGAGGGTAGCGTGGCGGACGCCGCGCTCGAGGCCCTCGACGACGAGAGGCGAAAGGAGAGCGCGGGAGAGGCGGAGGGGCTGTCGGCGGGTGGCAAGCTCGGGGTTGGATGAAGGACCCTCGACGAGCACCTGCATGCGATGTCAGTCCATCACGTCCTGCATTCCACTTCTCAATATCCAAAACATACGCGCTTGTGGTCGATGATCTCGACAATGGCGGCAAGCCTGCCGGCGTCGGGGTGGTCGCCGTTGATCACAACGACACGGCCGACCTCAACGAGGCGCCAGGCGGAACCCTCAATCGTGGCATCACCCATTTTGACGGTATTCTGTTTCGGCGTCAGCCTCGGGTCTCGAAATCGAAAATAGTATTGCGCGCGACAAATAGATGTCTCGCTGGCGAATTATCGTACCTGTTGTCGTGAAGTGTCGTTTCCGTCGGTCGTTGGTGGATGTGTTCTGGAGCCGAGATATCACCAGGGACTTTTTGATGCACGCTGATACCTTGCAAGTGTGCGGGCAGAAATCCCGGTGCCCTAAGCAAAATTCCGGGCACAGGTTGTGCCGGTCCCGGTCCCACACTTGTGTGTTGGGTGCACGGGCCACTTGAGCCTCCAATTGACCTTGTCGAGAAGCTGAGAAATTTCGCAGCTGTTTGCATTTGATCTTTTTCTACATTGAACCTGAGTCGCGTCTGGCGTCTACAGCTCGTCCAGAGTGAGGACAGCCACGAATGGTAAGTTACAATCTTCTTTATATCTAGTTTCTTTCATGATGAGGTAATTTGCGTTTGATTCTACCTGGTGGCACTCTCGCCGGAGTCGCTATATCAGAGTAGTCATATGATATCTAATTCTTACATATTCTGAAATTGTCATGACAACATTATTGTTACAGATTTGTTGGAAGCAAGAGGCTAACATTCGTCTTCAGGCAGATGGCTTTCCGAACCTTCATGTCGACGAGCGTTCGTTCTCAGCGAATCCCATGAATGGCCAGAGCACGATCGAGCTCGTTCGGCTTTCGCTGTACAGTTCGCATTGAGTGATGCCATGTGCGTGCCGGGTCTGCTCCAGTTGACTTATGTCCACGACATCCAACGAACCCGACCATGTACGCTGAATGTGTGTTTTCGTCTTAAGTGTGTTTGGACAGCCCTATCAGTACCGTGGCTTGCCGACTGACAACGAACATTTCCAACTTTGCCATGCTCCGTTTGTCGACACGGCCTGAGATTTCCCCAAGGAAAACTCATCACGGCAAATTACTCATATCCCTTCAGACATTAGACACTGTGAAGTACATCGTTTCATTATCGTGAATTGTGGCTATCCGTGGATGCTACAAGTAACGCCGCTGGCCCAAACTCCCGGCAATGCTTGGTATCATCTATTTGCCTTTCTTCTCGCGGAGGCGCTGCTCATCCTCGGCCTGCAACTCAGCGTCGAGCTTGGCTCCCTTTGAAGGCTCGTTGCCGTGCAGTGTTGCCTGCTCATAATCAGTAACCGTTTATTATACCATTGTTGGCTTCGAGACGTACTGGCAGAGTGGGGTCCTTCTTGGAAGCCGCAGTCTCGCGATCATCAGAGGGGCCCTTGTTACGCTCCTCAGCAGCGAGCTTGTTGGCAATGGAACGCTCGTCCTCTTCAGAGTTGTTAGCTGGCGCAATCTCGTATGATCCACATGACATACTAGAGTCGAGGTTCTTGTGGGAGTTCTCCTTGCCCTCCTGGTAGGGCTCAGCCTTCAGCTCAGAGTCCTTGTAGTTGCGCTGGTCGCCGGCCTCGTAGACGCCAGATTGGCCGACAGAAGAGTTTCCAGACATGATGATGATTGTTGACTTGGGTGTTTTATTTGCGAAAGAACAGAGAGGTGCTTGTTTGATGTCACAAACTGATCCAGGAGGGAAGAAAAGCAGTTTTGTAGGCAAGAATGAGAATGAGTGTTTGCGCCATTCTCCACAAGTTGTTGCTTCAGACGTCATACGTCATCACGATTGAGATCGATGTTTGCAAGCGTCGTCTCCCGCAATTGACGCAACGACGTCATGCAGGAAGCTTCTGGTCGCAATGGGGCCGCAATTTGAATGGTGCTCAGGCACCGTTCCTGTGCTGGCGAGGCGGAGGTTTGATCCTGTGTTCCTAAGATGCTCGCGTGCCAGGCGAGGCTGGATGGAGGGGCAATGTGCTGATACTCTCAACGTTAGGTAGGTTGTCTATCGCACCATGGGGTGCGCAAGTATTGAAGCTAGGAAATTAATTCGAGATGCTATCTCGTAGCTTGTACTTCTTCATGGAGGCATGTTCGCAATTTAGACCGAATTTGACTCTTAAGTCAACTCCCAAAAGCTCTTGAAGCACAAGTAACAACGAGACAACTATTGCGTCCCAGGTCGTGTGGTATCTGCTGCACGGCCTCGTGTGCCAACACCGACTTGTGACAGGCGCCTTAGCTTACCATATTAACAAATAGAGCCGATTCCTAGTGATCAATCATTGGGATGATTTATTTTTTTTGAGCTAATATTGGTAGTACACAGCCTTGATTGCTCCAACGAACTGGCCAGTGTTCTGTGTCTTGCGTTTTCAAGGTTCCATTCTTACAATGAAATATTCAATATTCCTCCCTTCCATATGCCCTTATAACTGTACAGTCTACATGCCTGAGAAATTCGACGAACATGGCACTAGTCGAGAAGCGATGTAGAAATATAATTTTACACTACTTACGGAGCCCTGGGTAATGCTATTCATCCCATAATCAAAGAGAAGTGCAGGGTAGCTCAGCAACCATGACGGAGTGTCCTGGACTCCTAGACGGAGAAAAAAAATGCACGGACCACCATGCTCTCTACCTATCTTGGGCACCGGCGTGCAGTCATCATGCAGCAGTTGGAGGAGCGGCTCAAGATACCTTAGTTCCGACATCAAACAACGACCACTGCTCTAACACAACACGATCCCGGCCTTACTGACACCCACTTGGCTGTCACAAGGATTCTACAAGATGTTCCGTTTTGTAGGTGTATCTGCTTAGGCCTGCGACGGCTTCAATGGCTAACCTCAGCAGTCGAAATCGCTCGATATCGTCACGCTCTTCCACAAGGTCGGCTCTCCTGCCTCGACCCGCGTCGCAACGCTTCTGAAGCAAGTGTCAGCCAGCGCCGCTGCTGGCGCAACGATTGATCAGGCCAGCGATCACACCCACCAGACCCAGCGCGAGCAGTTCGACCTCAACATTACAGAGGACCCCCCTACCGCCGACCAGGTCCAGACAATCCTAGAGTATGTGGGCAAGAGCAAGATCTCCACCATCATTGAGGGTGCCAAGGACGAGAAGGACGCACTCAAGAAGTTCAAGGAGAGCAAAGAGAGCCTACGTAGGCCATTGGTACGTTGACCCTTGGACATGGTTGACATCTGCGTCAAGGTTAGCAACTGACTTTATGCAGGTGGTAGATTGGAACAACGGCAAGGCGATATCTGGAGACAATGAGTCGGCCATTCTGAAGCTTCTGAATGCCACAAAATAGCCCAGCCCTCCGACTGGTGATCAGCGGGGATCGAAATCGAGACATGATTATGGATCATAAGTGTATACCCCTGTACTACTACAGCTAACTCTTCCCTCTGGACTCAAATGATATATTGGAAACCACCTCATGAGTCGAAGGCGTCCTGCTACCGTTTCATCAGGCAAGCTGAAGCTAGCCAGTATGAGCCGTGCGAAGCAAGACTGCGAAGAGCGATGTGATGAGCCGAACATGGATCGTGTGCTATTCGAATTTTGTGAACACACCAATCCTATCACAAGAACATGCCGCCGCCCGGTTAACATGTTCATGAACAGGTCGTGGTCTGGTCCAGAGTGCCCCTGACCCACGACGTCTTGGCCGAGCGAAGAAGATCACACAAGGAGGCTTCAGCGTGTCACGAACGTACCAGATCTCCACGATTACTTCGAACGCTCAATTCTTGCTGGTAGCCTGGCTGATAAAGTACAAATGAGTAGCACCTTAGCGTACAATCGAGCATTGGAAGCAGAGAGCAGGCACGACCTCATTACGTGAATCAACCGTGAAGGCCAAGTCGGTCTTGCTTTGCTGCCGTTGCAGTGTCTGCACGATCATCTAAACATCAGTCAATCAAATTTGCCTCACGATTGGCAGCAACCACAGGTAACTGTGCGCCTTTATCCCTGATCAGTCACCACTCAGCCGACCAGTGAAATGAAGGCTCTCATAGCAACGAACTTCGCATTCATCCCATCTGTCTCTCATCTTTATTTGACCTGGCCGGAGCAGATTTTTCACTTTTTCACTCTGCCCTCCACCGCAATATCGTTCTCTACCACTCAATTGTGCAGCATTGCTTCCAACTGCGTCGAGCTCCGACATCCTGCGATATCTGGGCAGAGTCGCCCCGTTCACCATGTCTCTGGAACAAGAGCTGCTGACCATAATCGACAAGGAATTAGCACAAAACCCACGTGCAAGAGGATTCAAAGACTTCCACAGCAATGGCCTCCCGATTCTAGACGATCCTGCGGTCATTGAGAGTTATCGTGCTGAAGCTGAAGCACCCGAACTTATCGACAATGATGTGCCCAGCAGCTTCTACACCCATGTGCCACCGGGCTCGGCTGCGCTGTTCTCCCGGAACGGTGGTCGACGACCCTTTCGGTTCATGCAGCATTTCCTTCCCGAGCGTCGTGTCTTCCACTGGAGCGTTTCTCAGGTCCACTCGGTGTGCAAGTCGTTGGCCCGCAAGCAGTGGCGCGCTGTGATGCAAGTGAAGAACAAACGACCCGATATCAACACACAACTCTACGATTATTTCGACAGTTACGACTTGTATCACTATGGAGCTGTGAACCTGGCCAATGTTCTTGCTGGCATATCCAACATCGATCTCAGCAATTTGCAGCGTGTGGAGGATTCCTTGAAAATAGCCGTCCACAACTGGGTTTGCTCATGGGCGTGTCAGCCGAGAAATGCTTACAAGTTGTTGCATTTCCCAGCACCTGGTGTTCCCATCACTGCCTGCCTGCCGCAACATGACTGTGGCTTTGACTTACAACGTCTTCTGACCGATGAAGTGCATGGACGTCTCGAAGAGGCTCTCACAGAACAAAAGAGGCTTTTGGTGGAATGGCACATGGGATTGCATGGTCCACAACCAGGTACGTATTTGTTTTTGGCAGAATACATAAAAAGGAATATTAACAAGTTTCATAGCACTCTCAACACAGACGAACCCGACGTGGACCCGAACATGGTCCGGATACGTGACAGATGATGGCACAACCATAGTATCGGGAAATTCTTACTGTCCACCTCGATGGCTCGGATTTTCAACCTCTCAAAGCTCTGACGCAGACAACAATGCCCAAACTCTGTCCCCAGACCAATACCAATATGCCACGCCTGCTCAAGCATCGACATCCCCAAAGTCTGTTCAAGAGTCCATGCTCACAGAAACACGATCTCGTTCAACTGTTTCCGAAGACAGATATGCGCGGATGAGTCATAGAACGGCGTCTGGAACCAATCCTCTCAGCGACAATAGGGGATCCTCTGCGCCCGCGCCGCAAAAGATGTTCGGAGATGCGCGCGACGTCTAGAAAACTACCGCACCATCAGACCAGCACCTAGCTACAGCGACCACCGCAGGGGCAATTCTGCCGGCCTCAGCCGAGGCAACTGCACCGACGAGCAATTTCCAGGCTCAGCGCGGTGTTCTCGAACTTGACGCGACAGGGGACTTGAATTGTTCTCGGGGCCACCAGAGTCCGTGGCCTTCAGATGCACTTCTCCCAAGTCAAATTGGGCTTCGACCAGAGAAGCCAGAGAACCACAAGTTTGGTCAAGCGGCCCATTCGGAAACTGCTCCGTACAGGAGTCAGGGTCGTAGTCAATACAATCACGGCGATCAAACCATCTCGCTCTACGGGGCGGATGATGTTCCCTCAACGCCGCGGTCGCTTCGCAACCGCAGAAATGTATCAGAAAACTTTCGCTACCTATCCCCAACCCATTCAGCATCTGGCCCGTTTCACAGATGTGATGGCCGCGTGGATCGCACAGCTTTAACGCCACGCTCGCACAAGCCATATAGCAGAACTCATCAGCAAACGGCTCATCGCCAACAAGCTACGGACTACCAACCAAGCAATGGTAGACGGCATGCGGCCGGCCCCCCTGTGAGCTATCCTCGACCGCCTGCCCACCCAGATGCGGCGACAATTTGCGGACCTTCTCCAGCATATCTAACAGGTCATGAGCCCATACAACTCCCCCCGACACCATCGCATTCTCAGCGGAACTACTCGAGCGGTGCAAGCCATCTGAACATTGGCGCGCCATCTTTCCAGCCAAATTTGGGCCATGCCGCTGGGTACAATCAAGCAACCGCACAAAAGCTATCAGCAGGACGTGTCGCAGCCGCAAATAGGGATAGCATGATGGTTCATAACCATCATACAGACCCGCAATCAACCGAGAAGGAAGCGTACAAGAAAAGGTTCAAGAGGCAGACACCTTCGTCGATAGTCAGCCAGCGTTCCTCGAATACCTACAATGACCTCCAAACAAGGGAGCCAGCGATCGATGCCCTGAGTGGTGCGTTTTCTACTTCAAAGCCTCGGGTTGCGTTGCCTGCACTGCAAGCTATACCTACATCCCAGCCGAGGGCCAAATCCCCGGTCGATGCAGCAAACCGCCAGAATGAGCCCACTCGAAGCCTTCAGGAAGAAAGGACCTGTCAGCCTGTTAGAGAGGTTACCGTTGCCATATATCAAAATCACGAAGCTGATCAAGCTGCTGTGATCGGAATGAGCAAGCCCCCAGTGAAGACACAGTCTAATGCAGAGCATGCCGATACCCCTAGCAGTACCGGCCAAGCTGACCACAATACCAAGATGGCGTCCCTTGAGCCACGTCCCACAACCATCCAGTTTGGCGACATGGGTGTTACGAAGGTTCGTCCGTCTGCACAGAGGATGAGCCAAGGTCAGATTCACCGTGACGCAACTGGACGGCTCAGAGACCATGGGCAAAAGGTGTTGCGAACAAATTCCAGCATGAAGCCGGCTTCATCAACCAATGTTGCCGCCGAGACCGTGACATCGTCCGACCAGCCTATGCCAGTAATAGTGCAGCAGCCCGTTGAAAGCCAGTCGAACGCCCATACGACCGTTGACCATCCAGATAACTTGTGCCCAAGCCTAGCCGGCAGTCAGGATAGATCTGGAAAGGCCATTGTTAAGCAGCAGCTCGAGCCGCCGGAAAAAGACAAGCTGTCCTCGGAATTTGCAGAAAGGGGCGAGTACAGCTCCTCCACGATAAGAAAGCGACCGCAGCCACGCAAAGGGGTGTCGACCTTGTTGGAACAGGAGCAAGGTAGGCAGATCAAGAAGAAGAACAACAGTACGAGTCATTTGGCACCGCAGGCGTTTCGTAAAGAAAATGCAGAAGAGCGCCAACCGGGCGCTGGAGCTGGCCAGTCGAAAAGTTTACAGAGAAACCTGATGAAGGACGACGAGGCGGGAGTCAAGCCTCTGAACGTACGCCACGAGCAGGGGTCTACACGTTCTGGGAACGCTACATCTCGGATAACAACCAAAGAGCTTGGGTCGCTCAAGCACTACCGCGAGTCTCAAGCCAGCGATAATGTGTCGAGCAACATCTATGCAGCCTTATCCTCAAGCGCAGGTTTGCAGGATCCCCATGTCAACAATACTGAAGGGCCAGATGTTGGGCCAAGGCCATCATCAGTCCTCATGGACCAAGGCTCATCCAACAATACGGACGGCGGCACAGGCCGGGTGCTTCAATCAGAGTTTAAGCCGGCTGCCGAGACGCCACCTTCGGGCCAAGTGTCGCAGTCTGCTACTGCACCCCATGAGACAACGAGTTTGGAGATGAGCTCTGAACAACCTGTGAAGAAGAACAACAAAAAGAAAAGAAAGAAGAAACTACAGCAAGCAGACCGCAAAAAAGAGACGGACAACAAAGCCTTGGATGAGCAGGCTCTTCAAGAGGCGTACAAATTAGTCCAGAGGGAGAAGAAAGCGCAGGAAGCCTGCAATAAAGAAGAAGCGCAGAACAAGGAGGCAGCAAAGAAAGCAGAAGCCCTTGCTCAGGAACCAGCGAAGAAGAAAGAGAACAGTGAATGGAGGGCGTTATGGCATCTAGAGAAAAGCAAAGCAGCTGCTTCAGAGTCTGATGGGCGCTCAGAGGCGGAGATTCATGAAGGCGAGGGTATCCTTTGTGACATTGATGGTTGGAGGCTTCTGCTGCGGCCTCATACAGTGGACCACTCTCCCAGCCCGTGGATCACTCCCTTTGGGGTCAACGGGTCGGGTGCTATCACACAGGACATTGGTGAAGACCACGAATGTGATCCCAGAAACGATGGGGAGAATGGCATTGGCGTCAATGAGTCATGGCCACATCACCCACCGTTTCGGAAGCTACCAAGCGATTGTTCAGCAACGACTGCGTCCACTATCACGCTGGGGCGTAATAACGTGCACGCATCGTGAGGACAAATGACCCAGTCTAGTAAGGTCAAATTGGATTGTGTCGATTGTACAAGTAGTTAGCAGCCTTAATAAGTAGCAAGAAACTAGCAACAGCCTTGGAAATGTATGAGTATCTGGCCGCACAGCGCTCAAGATATCCTTTTCATGACCTGACTGCACCTGCTTCAACCGTGGGATATCTTTGCAGTGCGCAAGAAATGTGATCAGCTTCGCATCACCGTGTCCGATGCACAGTTATGTTGCCGGCCAGCATGCCTTATATTCACAGTTCGGTATTGTTGTCTGTAGTATCGTCCTCTTTCCACGTCACGATTCATTCTTGACCAAGCCAGTGACAGCATCCTCCACTTGCTTGTCTGTTAGGCCCTCTAGGATTTGCGACTGCTCCTTGCCGAATTCTAGACCGTCCAGATTAGCTCGTGTGTCGACGATGGGGCTGCGCTCGTTCAATCGTACCGTATCGTGTGAACACCTTGGGGATTGTGCCTGACGCCTCGCGGATCAAAATGGGAACGTTGGGGTTGTTTTTCTTCATGGTAGGGTATGCTCTCGAGAGGAATGATCTATCCAAGTAGTAGAAATGTCAGCTACGGCACGCATCGCGAATGTCTCGTCAATCGATTGACCTACCGGACGGCGGCGCTCTGCTCCGAGGTCTGACAGAACAGGAAGCGCACCTCCTTGAGGCCTTTGCTGAACGCGTAGCGGGCAGACATGGCTGCTGTGTCGTGCGTGGCTGTGATGACGATGAACTGTGTTCCTTGGAAGAGTGCAGCAGCACGACTGAGAGTTGTCGTCGTCGTTGGAATTGGCGTCCTGCGATTGGGCGCCTGAAAACTGGTCCTTGCATAACATATACATAAACTCAAGTCAAGGTTATGTATTTTGTGCATGTATTTCGGGATTTGTGGCGGAGCCGGGTGATCTCCGGCACTCGGTCGCAAATCGGACCTCAACACTCAACTTTCTGAACCGTGCAGCGACGGGTCTGCTCATCAATCGACTCGGTATCACCCTCAGTATTGGTACGTATCATTCGTACTCTTGCAATATTCCTAGTAAATCGTTCTAACGGTCTCGTTACCAGGACACCATGGCCTCCTCTGCGACATCCTCAATTCTTCGCGCGTCGCGACCGGCCTTCCGCCAGGCCTTCCGCCAACAGACACCCTTCCGCAGCCAACAGTTTTACCAGGGCGGACGACGATGGCAGAGCTCCGAGGCTGGTGCCCAGCAGCAGCAGGCACAGAGCTGGTTTAAGAAGGCGTGGGAGAGTGAGGTTGGCATCAAGACTGTGCACTTTTGGGCGCCTGTCATGAAGGTTCGCGACACCCAATAGTGGCGGGGAGGACAATGGGGGAGAATCCAAGGCTGACTTGATTACAACGCAGTGGTGCCTCGTTATTGCGGGTATCGCCGACATGGCCCGTCCGGCCGAGAAGCTCTCGTTCACGCAGAACTTTGCCCTGACCTGCACGGGTCTGATCTGGACCAGGTGGTGCATGATCATCAAGCCCAAGAACATACTGTGGGTGTTCTCTTGCATAGGAAAAGTCCGCGAGAGAAGGCTAACAATGTTGCGCGCAGGCTCGCTACCGTCAACTTCTTCCTTGCAATGGTTGGTATCGTCCAGCTCACCCGCATTGGCCTGTACGAGTCCAGCAAGAAGTCTGCCGGCGAGGCTGTTGCGGACGTAAAGGAGGAGGTGAAGCACAACGTCAAGGCTGTCAAGGAGATCAAGAGCTAAACCTGTACCACTGTTCGAACCAAGACAGGTCATGCGAGGTAAAGGATCAGGGGCACGCTGTCGCGGAGGAAGATGCCACATGTATCACTTGATTGGGTCCGCTTTCTAGTCGGTAGACCTGCGTCGATAATATCAACCCGGTTGGAAATAATCAACTACTTGTTCGCTGCCATATCTTAAAGTCACCCTTGGCGCGTAGTATCGTCAACGTCAAATCAAGTCATCTCGACTATCTCGCTTTCATCAATATATATCAAGAGCCAAAGGGGCCGCTCGATTCAACCAGAACGCCATGCCATAACTAACCAACAGATCCGTTCAATCCAAGACGACTTTGATGCGCATACCGTCAATACCTGACCGTCCCCCAATTGCAGTTGATATACACTTGTCCTACCGCGTTTCCATATCGGTCACAATGCCGACCCTCCTCATGAATCAGTGTGCCCCTCATTCAGGAGCATCTCCAGCACAATTTGCCTGCCTGGCAATTCGGGGTGGCACATGGCAATCTTGACCGTGCCCTTGGACGCATCGCCCACGTTGGGCAAGTGTCCATTGCGCCCCTGCGTGTGGCTGGCGGCGGCAGCGCTGTTGCCCGTTGGCCCTCTGATACCGTAGTCCAGAACGCGTACATCCTTGCCGGCAATAATCTGGCGCAATCTGCCATTCTCCGCATTGCGGACCTCGACATAATCCTCGTTGAAGAGTAGGAGGTATTGGCCATACATGGTTGCACCGCGGGCCTTTTTCTGTTTACCCGCATATTCCATAATCAGGGTGCGACTGATCTCGCCGTGCTTATCGACGTATGCAGCGCAGTCTTCATATGTGACAATGAATTCGTTCTCGTTCAGCCGGAACATACCCAGAGGTCTTTGATTGGAGATGCGGTTGGCGATGTTCGCAATGGCTGGGCCCTTGAGATCTGGAATCGACATGGGCTGTTTCTTATCCAGCGTCAGCATCTCAATGCCCTTGGACGTTGCCACAGCAATATATGTCTGGAACAAGCTCAGCGAGTAGCATTCGGTCGGGAAAAAGAAGTCGTCAAAGTCTCGGAAGGTTTCCGTGCTGCCAAGGCCGCCCTTACGCCCGCCGAAGAAGCGCTTCTTCTCCGTGGCCTTGTGGTAGATGGGCTCCAGAACTTTGAACGTTGTGTGGAGGCCCTCTTTCTTCTTGTAGAATACCAGCGTGCGGTCCTTCATTCGTCCAGTGGCAAAGTACGTGACATCCTTTGCCAGTCTCTGCGGCGCTCGGCGAGTGCTGTCGTTGCTTGGAGGCGCGAATTCTGACACTGGTGCTACCACATCGAGTGGGAAGGATATGAGGGAGCGCTCGGAAATCAGAAGGCACACCTGGAACTCCTCCAGCACCGCAATTTGAGTAACGCGGGTCGCCTGGACCGTCTGAGAGGTGGTTAGCCAAGGTTCTGCAGTGGGTTTTTGGAAACAACTTACTCTAACCCACCCACGAGGGTTAGACGGGTCGGAAATGTAAACACCAAAGTCTGTTCCAATGGCAATCACGGGTTTGCCGAATGCCGAGAAGCCAGTAGCGCAGTTGACTTGCGCCCGACAAACGGGCGCTATGCCTTGCGCTGAGCCAAGCACACCCTCAAGATCTTGGATGGCGCGGTCTAGTGGTGTACCCTTGACGGCCACAGGGGGTGTCCGGGCAAGAAGCGAGCTCTCGTAGTTGAAGGCGGCATCGGCCAAAACACGCAAACGGAAGGGCTCTGCGTTCTGCTCATGGAGGGCCTTTGCATGGTTCGTCTTGGCTTCGATGAGCTTCTGGCACCACTCCATCCGATCTCTTGCCGATGAAGCATACAGCACATACACTTCATGTCCTAAGTGCTTGAGTCTGAAGGGATACAGGATGCGGCCATCGCCATCGCCAGATCCAGCTGGCGCCAATGTGCCTAGAGATGAGCTGGTGCTAGCATGCTCAAGTACGGGCTTGCCACTGTTGTTCGTAGCCACCTTCGTCATCTGATTGCCTGATGCAGATGACGTGGTCGTCCGGCCCAAGGGTGTCGTGATACCCTTTTGTCTCTGGATGGGCTCGTCGTTCACACTCTCCAGAAAGAGCAGGGGCATGAAGATTGGCTTCATGTATTGTCAGCGTCCCATACCTCCTGAATCCATAGGGCCACATACCTCTTTCGAAACATCGTACTTCTTTTCTTTGGTGTGCGTATAGACTGTCTTGGCCAGGATCAAGCAATGATCAAACAGTAACGCATGCATATCTACCCAGCGTACACCTTTGGAGCCCAGCCGCGTAAGCTCTCCCTGCATTAGCAATTGACGGCCTAAATGATCGAGGTTGAGGGACGTCTCAAAGGATGGCCTGAGAACTAGCATCCGGTCCAACTGCATCATTTCTACCCGCTTGTTGGTCTCGTCAACCTTGGCATCACATTCCAGCGCAACGGCCTTGATTTCGGCCATGGCTTTTCGTAGGTTGGTCTTCTCCTCGCTCTCGGTTTTCATCAGTTTGTCGACACTCTCCAGAAGGAGCACGTAACGCTGAAGTCGCGTGATCGGCGCGATCAAAAAGTGAGCCCAGTCGTGCTTGCCAGAAGACTTGAGTTTCACCTTGTCATCGGTGAACTTTCTGAAAGTGAGGTTCCTGTCCCTTTCGTTGCGAATCATGTATTCAGCACGGGGATAGCCAAAGGCGTATTCGACATAGTGGGTGCGGGCCTTCCGAATCCACTCACGCAGGATATCACTGAACCCCACGATCCAAGGGCCTTGGCTTTGTTGGCGATACTTGAGTTGCGCCAGAAGGTTGTCCTTGTTGATAGTGAGTACCGATTCCAACTTGCCAAAGATTGAATTGAAGAATTTCTCTTGTCGCTCGGGCGGAATGAGTGGTGGTCTCCTGGTACGCATGTCGTCTCGATACTCGAGACGGAAGAATTCGAGCTGCTTGATGTAATTCTCTTCTCCCGTCACAATCTCATGCAGAACGTTTTGACGTTCGACTTCTTTCTTGTCCCTGCTCTCAATGTCCTCTTTCGTGAGGCCATAGAAAACGTGCCACTCTTGGCCTCTGCTCTGCTCGGGATCAAGTTCGTCTAGGTCAATCTTTTTGACGGTCCTGGTACAGTGGGTAGAATAACAGCGTCCGGGTATATCGAGCTCGTGTAGCCTCGGGGCGTAGCAGCCTGACCCTGTGAGTTGCCACAAGACTCCAGAGATGTGTCCGTCGCCAAACTTGACCCATTCCTCCTCGGGTAGGAGAAGTTGAGCATCGAGCATGAGAGACACGATGCGACTGCTCAGAACTTCTGCATCGGCGACGTTCATTGTAGGAATTTTGAAGGTGAAGAGAAGTACCAAGCCTTCTTCCACGGCTTTCCTCCTCAAGTCCACCTCCCCGTCGGCCATGTCCCGGATCCAGGCCTCGACATTGCTGAGCGCCCATGGCTCCGAACATCGTCGGAAGTCTCCAGAGCTCAGCTTCGAGGGCACGAACCGCCGCTTGCGGCCAGTGGGCAGAGTAATGCCATCAAATGCGCCAACACTACCAGCATCATAATCGATGGAGGGCGGCCCTGTGTTGGGCGCAATGTGCTGATGGCGATTGAACTTCCTGCGTTCCTCGGCAGCGTCTGTCCTAGATCTAGCGGGTGTGTAGACCTGCGGCGTGTTGCTGTGGCCCACGAGAGAAATGGATCGCTCTGGCTGCAACGAGCCCGGTGTCGTGGTGTCGTACAAGGCCTCGGGATTGTCATGAGAATGGTACCGCAAGTCGGCGCTTGTAGAGTATGTGTGCTGCAAATGTCCGCGATTGTTGGTATTGACTGAGAGCATGGAGCTACTGTCAGATCCGGCGCCGCGACGCGGAACTATGGGCAAGGGTCGGTTAGACAAGCCAGGGTGGTAGAAGAGGTCTTGATACTCTTCCGGCCCGCCCGAGTCACCGCTTTGTTTTGAATGAAGAGACACCCGCTCATCACCCTCGTCAAAGCTGAGCCGGGGCTCTCTCGGCGACTGGAGTCCACCTGTCCCCCCATAGTCCATAATAGCGCCACTGTAGTTAGGCTCTGGTTTGCGGCTGTCGTATTGGTTATCGAAATAGTTCGGTGAAGGCAAAGGGCGGCTGCTGTTCGTGTCCGACGGGGGTGATCCCACATCTCCGTACGTGAGATTGCCCGCGTATCCACCGCTCAGCATGCCCAAATCCACCATGCCACCGCCCACCTCGCTCCCGCCGCTACTGCTTCGATCCTGTTCTTCGGGGGGAGGGGGCAGAGGAGTCGATGCAGATGAAGGCATTGCTGGAGGAGTAGAGTCGTTATTATAGGTGAAAGTTGCTCCACTGAAGCGTCGATCGTCAAGCTCAGCCTGCTGCATAGCTATGACGCCGGCAGTTCCCTCGGGATCATCGTCGTCCTCGTCAAATGCCGAGTTCGCATACGGGCGTCGTGTCGAAGCCATGCTCGCGGAGTGCGCCAATGTGGTCGCGGAGGAGTTGTACCGCCGTAGATGCTCGCTGCCATCATCGGAAAACTGTGCCTCGTGCGAGCCATTAGCGGGTCGTGAGGGTGGTCTTGAGCCCCTCGAGCCTCCTCTGGGACCAATAGCACCTAGTTCCACCTCAATGTCGTGCATGAGTTGCTCTTGATCTTGGTCATAGCTGCTGTTTTGGGCAGGCCCTCGGTCCCAGCCCGGGTCTGTGTCCATAGGGCGCCTCGGGAGCGGCGCATTGGTCGGGTGTCTTTGCAGTCCCGATGTCGTTCCTGGCGACGATATAGAATTGGCAGAATTGGCCCTTGAGCCCCTAGTGTAGGCAGCAGTGCTGTGATCATTCATCGAAGTACTGGCAGGCCCAACAGGCATGTACGATGTGGTCGGGTATGGCGCTTGTGTATACGCCTGCTGCCCAGGGCTGTTTCCGTTGGAACCATGCAATGGATACGCACCTGCAGCGTACTGTGACGGATTATATGTACCAGCGTTACTGTTTTGTCGTTGCGCGTACCCGTGTTCAGGATGCGGAAAAGACGCTGGGTGGGCGAAGGAGGGAGACTGGCCATGCCCCGACGTTGGCGACGTGTGGGAGGGGCCCGGGGCTCCGGCGTAGGCCTGCTCCTGTGGATTGTAGTTGTTGTACCCATGATATGTAGGTTGCCGTTGAGGGGAGGTCGCACTGGCGTAAGCGGCCGGGTTGTACGCTTGGGGGGTATAGTTGGTTGGTGACGGGGCAAATGAAGTTCGATGCGTTGGGTATTGAGGCGATGGTTGCGATTGGCGGTACGGCAGGCTTGTCGACTGTGTTCTCGCAAAGATAGGAGAGGTTGGCTGAGCAAAGCTCTGAGGATTGTAACTCGTTTGCTGGGGCGTCGAGGCGGCTGGGTCTTGGTACTGGTGTTGGAACCCAGACAAGGCAGCACTCGTGGAGCCGCGGGTTGGCGGCCTGGTGCTCGAAGCCGTAGAGCTGGGGCTGGCTAGGAAAAGCTCGTCACCTCCCGCCGGTCCATAGCCTGCACCATCATATGTGGGAGCACTGGTTTGCAACGGGGCGTGATGAGCTCTATCGTCTCCGCTATTGAAGCTCGGGCGTCGACCGAGTCCTAGGCCCGTCTGATCATCCCTATCCTGCGCTTGCCCAGCCACAGGATACTGCACCGGAGGCACATGGCCGTATCGTCGTTGGCCGTCACGGAATGACATGGCCAGTTGTGTATAGTAGTGCAGGTTTCGCTTCGTCAGTCGGCGCGCCTCACTTGGACCTGTCAGCCTGAGCGAATGGAGTCGGTCGCGGGATGGATTGGTTGTCGCAAACCGGACGTGTGGGCTTGCGCGTAGGGCTGATAAGGTAGCGAGAGTCTGGGCAATCCAAAGGGTCGGGTCAACGACCTCTGTGCCCAGTATTCACGCAGCAGTTGTCGAACTCATGTGCTTGATGTGCGTACCATAGGATGCCGAGGATCGCATGTGAGGATAGTCGGGTCTGACCTGGCGGGGACTGATCGGGTTTGCGCTATTGTAGTGCTCGCAGGGGGCGTCGCCGCGTATGCTTGCTCTGCCGCCCGAGGCTGTCGAGGATAATGACTGGCAAAGGAATGAGCAAAGCCGTTGAAGAAGCTCGACCCAAGCATGCAAAGGCAATGATGGAGAGGGCCGCGAGGTCAAGGGTTGGAGGCCCTGTCAGGCTGTCAGAGGTTGACAGACGCTCTGGAGTCAAAGTGGGGTGTGGGCTTCGTGTACAGCGTGGAGTCGGGCACCGGCGGACTGTCTTATCAGCGGTAGTTGTGAGTGAAGTGCTCAGCTGTTAGTGCAGGATGGAAATCGTCGCGGCGCGTGGAAGGGGTCCAAGTGTCGTCACCGTCTATACCTGTACGTATCAACCCCCGGGACTGCACTGGAGTCTGGGTTGCGCTGCTGCACAATGATAGGGAGTCAGTATCAAATGAGTGAAGTAATGAACTGATGTCTGCTACTGTACGTGCACGGCATGCGCCACTCAACGTTGCTTGAACTGATGCATCTATCCGTACTCCGTATTCGCGACCGAATGCTCCGTGTGTCAGCGCGTCTTGGCAACAAGGCCCTGGGCTCCCACCAGCACTAGCGTAGCAGGACTCTACACGTATTAACTACGCCTTGCCTGGTCCAGTCGACAGCTCAAGCGCAAGTTCGCAACAACGATAAAGATTTGGTAACTAAGCCCACTGTCAGAACGGTTGTTCTGTCTTGTCAGCACATGCGTCTCGAAGAGGTCGTGATATCTCAGACTGTTGCTGCTACTGCCCTGCAGATCTACCTATTTTAAGGTAACCTTGCGACGGCCTCTTTATCTGAGCCGGAACGACACCTACCCTAAGGCTGAGCTTACACATCATCAGACTGAATTGACAGCAGAGGTGACGCTCACAAGACTCCGTGCCGGTCTTTGAGCTTCTTCAAAGACTAGTCGCCAACCTCAAATTCGCGCTTTTGATATGTAAGGAGAACGCACAGTTCCGATGACGGGCTCGTTTTGCATTTTGACGAGATCACATAAGTTTCCACCGTTACGTTGCTAATTGATCACAAATATCAGACTTCGACGCGTGGCAAAAAGTGCTAACGGTTGTATTCCAAGGTTAATTACTTTAGATTATTGCGTAGCAGCATATGACTTATATATCCAAAGTTGTTCACGCGGACACCAAAAAAAGGGGTGACATTAAGTCGTCTTGTGGTGGCCATGAGCAAAAGAATTGCGTGATCTGGGAATCGAACCCAGGGCTCCCCGACGTTGCTCGAATGGCAACGGAGAATTTTACCACTAAACCAATCACGCTGCTGTGGTTGTTGGATTCAGAGTGCCAAATGGTCTACAGATATCTCATTCCACTGATTGTCACTGTCCTGGCCCAGCGCCGCAACATGCCACGAGTGCTGATATGGCAATGCAATAGTAAGATATTGCTGCTCTGAACCCGCGCTATCATGAATGTCGACTGTCTGTCGTACGCTTCTTGCATACGGCTAAGGAGCTGGGCTCGTTGGGCAGGATGAGTGGAATGTAGCGCGGACCCACGTGTCTGACCTGGCTCGCGTGGACGCGTCCCAGCGTTCGACTTCATCCCTTGAGATTGCCTTTCGTCGCTCTGCGCTGACGAGTGTAAAGTCACTCGTCTCGTCTACTTCGTTATGTCAAAGTCAGCGTCTGCCTGCAACCAAACCATGGGGCATCTTTTTCTAGGAGAATTGTGGCACTGAGCCCTTTCGAGATTGACGGGAGAGGGCAGTTGATACAGCGCGCGCTTGGAGGCAAACAGACATGGTGAGATCTGTCGAACACTTCGTACCAAACAATGCGCCGAATATGAGTTATCGATCGACTTCGGTACTTGAATATCGAGATGATGGATTGTAGCATTCGATGATGCCAGGTTGCTAATGTGCATTCCAGCCAACATTCGGCCACCTGGTATGGTCAGCACTCGAAACATGCGCCAGGATATGGAATGCACAAGACCTTCGGAGGGCTTCAAGATTCTCAGAATGCGGGCCAGAGTCTTATGATCTGGAATGAGTGACTTGTACTCCCAAGTCATCCAAGCCTGGCAGACCTGCTTGCTCGAACGGACGCTCCGAGCGGGAAAATCCATAAGTGTTGAGAAAACGTTCGAAAGCCTAGAGATGGTCCAAAGAATTCGAACGTGGAATCGAAAGAATTTGAAGGAAAAATAAAGCGCGACAATTCACGAGCCTCCATGCTAGTTGACAAATAGGTGAAGTGCCGGGCAGGTATCGCTCCCTGGAGAATCAGTTGGAAGGCACTGTGTCTCCCTTCACTTCAGTTCAGATGAATCCACTCGCTCTCACCCGAGCATGCTGACACGAATGCCCAAGGCCTGTCAGTACATCGAAGACCGGCCTCCTATGGCTGGCAGTCGCATTCCATCCTGTCCGCGCAACCTTCCCCAAGTATCCAATCTAGCCCAGCCTGCACCACCATCTTGCCCCGCCAAGGCTGGCCGTTCTTCCATCAACACTATCCTGCCCAACGCTCTTCTGTGCCCCCTCAAGCCGCCTCCCTTTCCCTGGGAACCACCTTCGTTTGTTATACCTTTGAGTTCTAACTTTCAGCCATCCTGTCTGCCGCTTCCTGTTCGTGGCTTCCGCTTTCGCTTCCACTTCCATTTCCACCACGCTCTTTTCGCTCCTTGAGGATGCTTGTTTCTTGTTGATATCGCGACCCATAGCACCATATTCGCTGACCAACATACGACCAGAGAACCCACACTCGTTTTCTCCCGATTTGCGATCGCATTTGCGTAGCATGTGCTAATCCCACCACATTTACGGCAATCATTATGGCTGAGCCCGCTGTTTGCAAGATTCGCTCCCCTCTTTCCGAAGCTGCACATCGTATCAACGCGAGCTATGCCCCGTCTGATAACACCAGGAGTACGAAGGCGTGTGGAAAGCAAGCTGATACGCAGTCGCGCGCTTCTCGTCAGGAAAACGCGCCTCCAACGAATCACGACCCTCGCGTTGCCTCCCCGTTAACCCCCAATCCACCGGAACCAACTGTCCTACGGCGACCGCAGGAATCTGATGAGGCCAAACGACTGTCTCAAGCATCATACGAATCAGGATCTAGTAGAAACAGCAAGAGAAACTACAAGACGCACATCGGTCCATGGCAGCTCGGTCGAACATTAGGCAAAGGCTCTTCAGCTCGCGTGCGCCTTTGCCGCCACAATGTCACGAACCAGCTGGCTGCTGTCAAGATTGTCAACAGAAGGATGGCCTACCTGGTTCAGGATAGCAGTCTGGCCGCCTTGAGCAAGTGGGACAACAACGATGCGACGAGCGGTCCGAGCGGTGAAATGCGTGTGCCCATGTCTATCGAACGAGAGGTGGCAATACTAAAGCTTATCGAACATCCTCATATCATGAAACTTTATGATATCTGGGAGAACCGGTCAGAGATGTAAGTTGTGTACTGTCCCCAATGTACCATGGTTTACTAATTGCACAGTTACCTCATCCTCGAGTACATCGACCAGGGCGATCTCTTCACTTTCATCAACTCCCGCGGGAGACTCACCGAAGAAGTTAGCTTGTACTTCTTTCGACAAATGATCAGTGCCATCGGGTACTGTCATTCATTCAATATCTGTCATCGGGACCTGAAGCCCGAAAACATTCTTATCACAACCGACCACAAAATCAAGATTGCGGATTTCGGCATGGCTGCTTTGCACCAGACTGATACGCACAGGCTAGCCACAGCTTGCGGCAGTCCTCACTATGCCGCCCCTGAGTTGCTCAAGAATCGCCAATACCGGGGCGACAGGGCTGACATCTGGAGCATGGGTGTGATCCTCTTCGCGATGCTTGCCGCCTCTCTTCCATTCGACGATCCAGACATGAGGACCATGATGGAGAAGGCGAAAAGGGGCCATTATCAGATGCCGAACCACTTCAGTCTCGAGGCCCAAGATCTTGTCAGCCGCATGCTCCAGGTCAACCCGGAGCGCAGAATAACGCTCGCTGAAATCTGGCGACACCCATTGGTGCAAAAGTACAACTACCTCGACCCTTACGGTGAGAATGGTGGCCAGCCTGGGGACCTACGAAGGGGCTTCCAGTATGCTCCTGTGCTGAGGGCGGACATTGATCCGCAGTTGGTTCGGCAGCTGCGCAGCATGTGGCATATGTTCAGCGAGCACGACCTCGAACTCAAGCTCACCTGCGAAACGTAAGTATCCGACCTTTTGGCTGCCGCGTGAACGATGACTGACTCTCCCCAGGCCGAACGACCAGAAGGCATTCTACTGGCTGTTGCACAATTACAGGGATAAGCAATTGGAGGATTTCAAGCCTGAGCTTGCTCACTCGATGAGTGACTACCACCACTTGAAACCCGGTGCCTGGAAGAAGCGTGTCTCGACCTGCGAGTTCTCTCAACCGCGCGCGAACGGTCACGGTAGATCCGTATCCCGCTTCACGGTCATCTCCAACGCCACCGAAACCGAAGCAGGTACCGTGCAGAGCTACGACCCCTACATGGATAGTCAAGTGCTCCAATCCTGCGGTTCGAATGTCACCCATGCCAAGATCACAGTCCACAGGGACCAGAGTCTTGTTGCCGGCCAAAGCCCGCACGCCGCGAGGCTGCGAAGCAACTCCGCTGCCCGACGACCGCGCGCGAATTCCAATCGCACCGCACCTGGTGGACGGCCGCCGTCGTCTCGTGGGTCAATGACATCTCTAAACAGTGCTCGACCAAACAACACCCGAGCCAGAGGGCCAAGCCTGCGGCACAAGCGTGGCGTCGACTTCTCTCACGTTCGAAAGCAGTCCCACACCGTCGGTGCCTCGCGGTCGAATATCAAACAAGCCGTTTCTGGCACGACATTGGTGAGCGAATCGGCCCATCAGGAGCGATGCTCGCAGTCTCAGTCTCCCGAGCCACGGGTGAACGACCGAGGGCAGTACGAAAAGGCAAATGGCGCACCGGCGCCGTCGACACCGGACCCAACCTCGATGTTCACCGAGGAACTGCGTCACTTCAGCAGCAACATTGCCAAAGACTGCGACGAGGCATTCCGGAGCTCACTGATTGAAGAAGAGTCCATTGCTGGTTCGTTGGCTGAAGGGGACAGAAAGCAACGCGACTCGCCCTTTACTTTCAGTGTCGATGGGTCTGGCCCAACGACGCCCGCTACAGACGTCTCGTCTGTCAAACCCTGGGACTCGCGACCCCTCCCCCCCCTTCCATCGGAACAGTCTGTGTACAGGCCTTCATCCCCGAGCAGTGTCGCTCCCTCTCTGTATAGTGTGGAGTACGAGAGGGGCGTCGAGCAGGTTGCCCGACTGGCCGTGCCTGTTAAATTTGCACCTCATGGAGATCGCCGCGTCGTGTCTGCTCCCGCTCAAAGCCACTCTACACGCAAGGTTGATGCCATGCCCCCCATTAGCGAGGACCAGACACTCAATGTCGTGAGCAACGACAAGGCCAGGATCGTTTCGGCGCCGCCTCGCACGCCACCCAAGGCTCGCGGGGTCGAGTACTTGACCAAGGTCGAGAACACGATTCGCGTAGTTCACTCACCGAGCGCACCGAACCCTGTCAAGGTTCCAAAGCCTCTGAACGTGCGAAAGAAGGCCATGGCGGACACAATTGAGGAGCGGCAGCAGGATATGAACGATCACGAGCATGATTACTCCAGCCATCGAACCACGTCTGGAGACACAGCTACCAGCATGAAACAGAAGAAGTCCAAGCTCTGGTTCAAGAGGTCATCCAGGGCAGGGACGGGCAGCGGCACGTCGACTGCTGCAACGTCCCAGGAACACCTAAGCTCGATCACGACCGACACGGGTGGAGGCGCTGCAGCAGTACAGACCTCTGTGGTCAGGAAGAAGAAGAGTTTCCCGTTTCCCTTCTTCAAAGGAAACAAGAGCGATGAACCCAAAATGTCCATCGCCGGTAAGCCTCCACCCCCCAGCTGCTGCCTTGGCGTTCTCGCTGACCCGGCAGACAAAGCGGAAGGATCGTTTGGCGGTGGGGATCTCCCGAAGCGGCCAGCAAACACAAAGGTCAACTGGCGTGACTCCACAGCAACTGATGGCAGCCGCAGCATTGAAGTGAAGCAGAATTGGCTAGCACGCCTATTCCGGGTGAAGCCGGCGACAGATTATCTGTGCATGTCCATCTCCCGCCGACGAGCTCGCCAGGAGGTTACGATCCTGCTGCGCGAGTGGCGGCGGTACGGTATTAGGGGAATCCAGGTTGACAAGGAGCGCAACATCATCTTTGGCAGGGTCGGAGCTAAGAACTGTGAGTACATGCGGGATAGTTGGCTCATGACATGCGCTGATGGTGACATAGACTTGAACCTGAAGGAAGTGTCCTTTGCTGCCGAGATCATGACGGTGATCGAGCACGGCAAACGGCAGCCACTGAGCATTGTCCGCTTCACTCAAGAGCGTGGTGCGGCCAGCAGCTTTCATCGCGTGGTCGACACCATGCGGACAGTGTTTGACAGCCGCCACCTGCTTGTCGCAGAGCGCACCAAGCAGAAGATGATGATCAAAACCCTGCAATCGTGATGGGCACGCGGTGTTCATGTGCGCGTTCGTTTTGATTTCTTTTAAAGAAGTCTCCCTACTGTTTGGATGAAGCTGGAGGCACATGTATAGCTACTTTCATTTCCTTTGTAGAGGTTTGTCATCTGCATTTGGCAGCTGGTCTCCTCGGATCATCCTTGTGCTGCCTGCATCGTACGTAAAGCAGGAAGACATTGGCGGGGGCGCACAGTACTCAGTTTACTAGTCTAACTTGATAGTCATTTTGTTCGTTCATGCCGATTTCGCTTCGCCTTCGTGACAGGGGCGTTTGAAAAAAAGTATCCGGTGTTTATTTGAATGTCCCAAGTCGCAATACCTGCTCGGCTGCTAGCCGAAGCCAGTACGTTAGCAGTATCTCACGTGTTGGCGATGTAGTATTATTGGAGCTGGAGCTCACAGCCTCGGTTACTAGCCGGCCGGAGAACGGCGCAAGGCAAACCTCGGCGAGGCCTTGTATGGGGAGCGGAAAGAAACGGATATCGATCGTCTGCAACTCAATGCGTCCATCTCGACAAGAGACACAGCAGCCTCGGCTTCTCGGTCGGGAGGGAGGGGACTCTAATGAGCCTGCTCCCCGCCGTCAATTAGTACAGGACCATCACACACATTGTTTGGGCTAGCGCGATTGCTGTGGGGATTGATGATAATGAAGCGATCTCAAATGACCCTGCTGCCGTTCATTACGAGAGTGGCTGTCATCCTCAGACCAGTGCAGGCAGAGGTCTGGAATTGCCCATGGATGATGGCGGTGGACGCATTGATAATATCTGTTAAGTTTTGTATGGCCATCCAGGCCGAGCAGTAACACACGGTATCTTATGATCTACTGAACCCCAGACTGGACCCCGCGCTCCGATGACGCAGTTCTGGAGCCCCCAAGGCAGGTACGTACCGTAGACAGGCACATGCTTTTGTCGGAGTGCCGTGGGCATTGGAGGTCGAGGATGCCACCCCATTTGGGAGCGTCAATCACAGCCGCCACCACCAGCAATTTGATTCAGCGAGCTTCCATCTACCCGAGCCAGACCGAGACTGTCACGCAGGAGAGCGTCACTTGCCGACCCGTCCAGTCTCGAGGAGGGGCCTGGCAACGTCTTGACGTCGACATGACTGGAGCTCATGCTGGTCCCTTCGGATCTGTTCCGGACAAGCTGATCAGTCTTAATCTCAGCCTCGAGCTTCTCTTCACATCTGCATCTTGAACCTTGAATCATCATTCTTCACTCTTACCTGTGCCATTGATCTCGATACCATCTCCCAAACACCCAATTGACACGGTACCTCCCAACTCTGCTGGCTGCACTGTATTCATCACATCCCGCCGCCATGGCCACCACCGACAACATCCTCCAGGGCGTCAACGTCCTCGGCAAAGTCGACGAGAGCCACAGCAAGATCCTCACACCAGACGCGCTCGCCTTCTTGGCTCTCCTCCATCGCAGTTTCAACCCCACTCGCAAGGCCTTGCTTGAGCGCCGTAAGCTCCGCCAGGCAGAGCTCGATCGCGGTGTGCTACCAACCTTCTTGCCCGAGACAAAGCACATTCGTGAGAATGATGCTTGGAGGGGCGCACCGCCTGCTCCGGGCCTCGTGGATCGTCGTGTTGAGATCACGGGTCCCACTGACAGGAAAATGGTCGTCAATGCCCTCAACTCGGATGTCTGGACATACATGGCTGACCTCGAGGGTGAGTGATCGCGCGCATCCCCCACGTCAAGGAGCGTGAAACTGACTTGCCTACCCCAGACTCGAGTGCGCCTACCTGGGAGAACATGATCAACGGCCAGGTTAACCTCTACGACGCCAACCGCCGACAGGTCGACTTCAAGCAAGGACCCAAGGAGTATAAGCTGAGGACCGACCGGAAGCTGCCCACGCTCATCGTCCGCCCGCGTGGCTGGCACCTGGATGAGAAGCACGTCACGGTGGATGGCGAGCCCATTTCGGGTTCGCTGTTCGATTTCGGCCTGTACTTCTTCCACAACGCGTTTGAGACTGTCAAGATCGGCCAGGGCCCTTACTTCTACCTCCCCAAGATGGAGAGCCACCTGGAGGCCAGGCTGTGGAACGACGTCTTCAACCTCGCCCAGGACTATGTCAGCATGCCCCGGGGCACTATCCGCGGCACCGTCCTGATCGAGACCATCCTCGCCGCCTTTGAGATGGACGAGATCATCTACGAGCTGCGCGACCACTCGTCGGGCCTGAACTGCGGCCGCTGGGACTACATCTTCAGTGTGATAAAAAAGTTCCGCAACAACAAGGACTTTGTCCTGCCCGACCGCTCGGCCGTCACCATGACTGTGCCCTTTATGGATGCCTACGTCAAGCTGCTGATCCAGACGTGCCACCGCCGCGGCGTCCACGCCATGGGCGGCATGGCCGCGCAGATCCCCATCAAGGACGACAAGGCCGCCAACGACAAGGCCATGGACGGTGTCCGCGCCGACAAGCTGCGCGAGGTGCGCGCCGGCCACGACGGCACCTGGGTTGCCCACCCGGCCCTTGCCACCATTGCCACCGAGGTCTTCAACAAGCACATGCCCACCCCGAACCAGCTCTTTGTCCGCCGCGAGGACGTCCAGATCTCCCCCAACGACCTGCTGAACATGAACGTGCCCGGCGTCATCACTGAGGACGGTATCCGGAAGAACCTGAACATTGGCCTGGGCTACATGGAGGCCTGGGTCCGGGGGGTCGGATGCGTGCCCATAAACTTCCTCATGTGAGTTCTTCAGCTGTCTGCCTTTCTGAAGAAGATTCAATACTAACAAGGCTAAAGGGAGGACGCGGCCACAGCCGAGGTCTCGCGCAGTCAGCTTTGGCAATGGACCAAGCACGGCGTGTCGACCGCGGACGGCAAGAAGGTCGACAAGCCGTACGCGCTCCGTCTGCTCAAGGAGTGTGCCGACGAGCTCGCGGCCAAGGGGCCCAAGGGCAACAAGTTCAAGCTCGCGTCCCAGTACTTTGCGGGGCAGATCACGGGCGAGGACTATGCCGATTTCCTCACCACGTAAGTTGTCCCGCGTGACATACTATTCTTCCATGATGCTGACTATGTATATCAGGCTACTCTACGATGAAATTACCCAGGTGGGAACGCCAAGGTCGGCGTCTAAGCTGTGAGAGGCGGGTGAGGCGGGTTTTCTGTCATGGCAAGCACTACTTTGGAGTTTTTTTGCATCTCTAGGCAATGATATCAAATCATCATGTACAACCACACTGCCTGTCCTTCTGTTGACGTCTTGAATCTGCGCATGGTGCTCTGGACAAGTCAAGTCACTGTTGCCCAATGCGTGATATGCGTCGAGTAAAGCCGTGTCTATCCGTAAGATGGACTGAATCCTGTCTAGGAACGCCGTGCTCGTGTATTCCTTAATGGGAACACCACAAGATAGGTGATGGATGTTATACTGAGCTGAACAAGCTCTCATTTTCGTGCCATGCCAATAGTGTCGGCTACCCCCGAAAGCCCCCAAGCCTCGACCGCTACGTACACACAACATGGCATGATGCTACCTACCTACCGGTCCCGAGAACTTGGAGCAGCTATCAGTCTAGCTTTGCCGAGGACAGCAGGGGCACGGCCGGCCGACCCAGCTGTTGGGGACGCGGCAGGCAAACCACTAGACTAGTTACTGCGTGTATGGCGTGTTGAGGCTTGAGAGGGTTGAGATTCGCGATTCCACAGATTGCTGGGACGCTACTTGTGCCATGGAGTCCCTGTGTCTTGCTGCGGGCGAACTTGGTGGGAGAGTCTCCACTCCATCCGGGCTACGCGAGTGCAGTGGATAAACAATAGCACATGGATTACAATGGCCAAGAGCGTCAGGCGGGTCTGGTCCCTGGCAAGTGAGCCAGAGACTGATGAGAAAAGCAAGGGCCAAGGAAACGGGGTGGGTGGGGGAGAAGCTGATTCGTGAACAGTGGGTGCAAGATACTCTCTTACTCGAGAAAAGTTTCCCGCGTCTCGGGCCTGACACTAAACTAGTATCTACAGGGGATAATGCTATTTCATTCATTGATGACAGGGGAGGCCAAGGCAGGACTGACGTCGGAGGAGTACATGTAGCCTGTTTGCGTGCGTGCATGGACGAGAAACTGGAAAAAGTGGAAGCGGTTATGGATGATCAGAATGTGTGCGAATGGGTCAAGATAGAGGAACATTGATATGCGCGTATTGAGTAGTCTCCGAGACGAGACAAGGACAAGCAAGACAACATGAAGTGCTTGCCAATCCTGCAGCATTGTTGTTCCATTCACGCCTAGCAACAGAAGCAGCCTCTTGCGCGTAGCCAGTGCAGTAGAATGCGGCAGTGATGATCAAGGGGACTTGTAATTGATAGAGCCGGAGGGCAAGGGAGGATCGACGCAGGGATGTGGGAGTGAGGGAGATGGTATATTGTGATTTTGTGATGGCGCCACGAGCAACAAGGAGCCAGGGACCAGTAATAATAAGGACAAGCGTCCAAGAGTCTAACTTGCATTTGATGAGTCTCTAGCATGTTGCTGTCTTACTCGTTTCCTCTGGGCTAGGCAATTTGGTCCGACCCGTGCGGGAGGGGCGCTATTGATAGACTAACTCAGCACTCAATGGCGGGGACGCTGTCGTTTGGCCAAATTACAGGAGAAGCTGTCGAATATCGAACGCTGCTTGCTGGTCTTCAGTCCCAGCTCTCGCTCTGGCACGGGGGAGGCGTCCCCCACCTAGCGCGGCTGTGGCTTCATGCTCCCTCCGCCTCCACCCTGGCTGACATGGCGCATGGCCATGGCATGGATCCCGTGTTCGATAGCCCGACGCCCCCTCCGCTCTCTTCCCTCTCTTCTCCCAGCACTCACTCTTCAGTGCCTCGCCCGTGCGGTCAGTAGTCAGTTGCGCGCAATTGCCACCTGAGCGACACCGCTGTCACCGAATGGCCAGCCAGGCTCCCTGCGGAGTGACGGGGAAGAATTGGACGGGGGGCCAGCTGAAAACCGAATATTGGAGGCTGGAGCCAGGCGGCCGCCCTGTCGCAGTCATAATAGTCGCTAGTCCAAGGCAGTGGATTCCTCATGGCTGTCAATGACGAAGGTCACAGGTGACTGACGGACTGCCTCACTGACTGACTGCGGCAGCAATCCGCTAATTAGGTTTGCGTCGAGCATCACGAATGGAGCAGCAGCAGCTTTTGGTTAGCACTTGATTACCTGAGCTAGCAATCACAAGGACGCCCGTCCAGGGCGCCGGGACGCCGCTACGTACGTACCATGGGCCAATGTCCTCTTTCGCGAAACCGCCAGCCTTTCCCGCAGCCCGCATCAAGCCACCACCAGACTGGCGTCCACTAAGCCATCAGACGTGCAGCAAGCGAACCCTTGATGTCTGCCTTGGCCCATCGACCAGCGGGCGACCACGACAATGCACGAAAGAGCATCTACATGTATTGTTGCTAGCCAGTCGCCTGGAGAGTCGGGACGATGGGACTACCATCCCAGACTCTGGGTCCTGACTAGCATTCGGCCCGAGATGAGAACTTGTTGGAGTCTTGGGGACGAGGACGACTGGGCAGGACTGGCAAGATTGTGAGATGGCTCTAGTAATGCCGAGGGATACAGTGATCCGACGCAGCAGCATCCTGCAGAGCATTGCCCGTTCCTTCTGTATCCTCTCGCTTCCGCGAAAGACAAGACATGGCTCGCGCCAAGAGATGGTAGCGAGAGGGCGGTATGATCCCGCCCAGGATGATAGAAATTAGAATAGAGATTACCCACCCAGCTTCACCATGGGTTCCATGTCGCCCGGCGGCTGTTGAATACATATACGTACCTCGAATCCTAGCCTCCCCAGGGCCGGATGCAGCAAGATGGCAACCGGGGCCCGGAGCTGACAATCTTGTTGATGTCGATCCAGTCTCATGGATTAGCCCACTGTACGACTGCCCCTAGGCTGCGAGGCGCCTCCACCTGTCAGTCATTCGCACGTGTCCGCGGATGTCTCCAACAATTCAAGTCTCTGGTTCTTGTCTGATGGGCAGCCTCTGCCGCTGTCAGCAGCACTAACAATAAGCTTCTGACATGGCGTCAGGGATGGCTCAATCCCCAAACTCCACGTTGAATGCCAGCTAATCCTATGACTGCCCGTCCTCTTTGCTAGTACGAACGTGGGATAGTAAGGTAGTCAATTTGGATGTATGTACTCCGTAGATGAGATGGAATAAGGTGTGATCACTGTGATGAGCAAAACGACACGAAAGATGATGGCTTCAATCTCCCAGCAGCCAGTCGGAATCAAGGCGTAGTCATGTCTCGGATAGCCACAGGGGTAAGACTCCAGTCTACTGTGAATGTCTCTATTACTATTGTTGCGGCCGTCCAGTCGCACAAGCTGCCGGCTGCTCAGTGCACAAGCGCGCAGCCTCACTCAGAGGCTAGAGCGATATTTCACCAAAGCGCAATCTGCCAACTAATAGTGTCCTTGGACAGATATAGGACTGTCCGCGTAATTTGATATGAGCGCTGCTGCACCCACCCATCCCTGCCCGCACACTGAAGAAGGAGCCGTCAGAATTGATCGGCTCTTGCAGCCAGAGGCCTGTGGGGATGGTACTGGTAGACAGGGAGGGTGTGTGATGCTGATGAGGGTCCAGTCTCCACGACCGGGGAGGAATGGAGAAATGGACAGGTTGGGCATGCCATGCGATGCCAATCGATCGCGCATCCGCTATACCTAGCCCATACGCCAACAGTCGCACCACGCACGACTAGTTGCGCGTATTGAAATTGACAAGCAACAATAGACGACTTCTGTCTCGATGTTGTTCACGGATCGCACCCCAAATCTGGGCGGGTGAGCCGCTCAGCTGGTCGGCTGACCACCAAGACCCCTGCACGATTGGAGGAGATGCATAGACGAGAGGGCATCGTCATGCCAGGCTAGGCCAGGCCAGGCTCGGCCAGCGCTAGACGAGGGTCTGTGTGCCGCGCTGCTGCTGCTGCGTGTCCCGGTCTGTTGGGTTCATCCGGTTGTGATTCGCAAGTTTTATTCCAGGGTGCTCTGGGCACTGCCAATTGCAATTGACGATCCATTGATCATTGCAGAGGAGAGGCGTCGACTCAACAAAGAATTGTCTGACTTTACTCCCCCGGGTGCATGGTCTGATCAACAGCGGCCGGTTCAGTTTGCTTGCTTCCGGATCACCACCACCCACATCACCCACCGCCCCGACATGGAGCCAATGCCCATCAGCTGAAGGTCTGGGCCCGCACGACGGCGGGCCCGATTCGAGACAGACATGCGATGAGAATCAGCAGAGGAGGGTCTCGACGATTCGACGACGACTGCACCTTGAAAAAGTGAGATTGATCGTGTTGAGTGAGACGAAACATGACAGCTTCACGTCGGCGCTCCCGTAATGCTAGCGCAAAGTATCAAGTTTTGCTGTTTTTTTTCCCTTCCCCCCCTCTCTTTCACATGTTTCTTGGCTATCCAGGATAAAGCGCGGCGCTTGGCAGGCTACCAAGCGACCCGTGAGGAGCAGCACCTGTCAGCTATCTGTCTGTCTGCCCGCGTCATGCTCTTGTCATGCCACCTTCTTAGGAGGAGTATTGGGTGATAAGAACTGTAGGCATGTCATATTATGCTGTTTCGCGGAAGCTGCTCAAGACTGGACTGAGTCTGCAGGACGGAAAGCGGGGGAGCGCATCCTCCTCTCCCAGCCTCAACTCCAGCTACACGTACTTGTACGTAGATAATAGTAGGTATTTTGGTGATCGATGGGGGAGGCGCTGATCGTGCAGTGCTGGCCATGTGCCAGCGGCATACGCCAGCCCTCCTTGGCGATATGCTTGTTTCCGGCCGGTGTGTGTGGAGGTGGGACGGACGAGGGACTGGTGAGCCCGCTGGCCAGCTGCTCCCGTTTCGTCGTCGGCGACATAGGGGGAGGAGGACGGGCAGCAGGGGACCTGCTATTGAGCTGATGTGCCTAGGCGCACCGGCTTCGCCGACAGATGGACGCTTGAGGTAGGTGCTGTCTGGTACTCATCAAATGACTGGAGACAGGTTCACGTTGAATGTTCGGCGAGGGCTCTGGGGCAAACAAGCAATTGATCGTGCTCGCAGGACGATCTCGGCATGGGCGCAACTTGCAAGGCTGTCCTGGTTTTGCTGGCGTCCGGTGGCTGGTGGCTGGCTGCCAGGCATTGCTGATCTGGAGAAACGAACGCCTCCCCCACCGCCACGGCACTGGGCGGTCCCCCCCTAAAGTGAATGGTTAGTCAATTGAGCAGATCGAACCCCCCGTGGCTGCGCGGCTGGCTTGGCGGCGCGCGATGATGGCTTATCTCTATCCGTAGCCGGCGCTGATCACCTCGTCACTCCTACGTTCGGACGGACGATCGTATTTGGCAGAGAAGCATGATGTACCCATGGGTCATGAAAGACCAGCGGAGAAAGTGTTGGAATGCCCGTCAGACGCCGTCAGACGCATCAGTCTTGGTTGCCCAGCGCGGCCGGCGGCAGGTGGTCAATCTCTAGTTAATGTAAAGAACCGCTGACCGAATGTGGAAGGGAAATCGCTTGTTCCGAGAGATTACGCCCGTGCCCTCTCAAGACGTTGGTGTAACGCTCAACTGGCAGCGTTCCAAACGAACATCCCAATAATACTGTTGTAATATCCACTGCTGTCCAGCTTGTTTCCTCGTCTCAAATTGGATCGAACAAACCGTACAAGTCCTGTTAGTTCATGTTCGCTCGGATGGGCGTCGGAGAGCGCAATGCATGTTTCACGCTTCATTCGTGGCCGCAAAGTCTCACTCCCAAGTCCGAATATGTTCGCGGAGCAAACTCCTGTGTCCGCTAATTGCGTGAAACAGGGCCCTTGTTTTGGTTCATCCGGTCTGCTTCATGGCAGCAATGCTCAACATGATCACGCCTGGTGGCGTCGTCACTTCATTATCCTTCCCCGGCAGGATCATGTCCCGTGTCTTATTATTAAACCAGGGGTTCAATGTGGCCACATTGGCTCGGAGGAATGCAGGCCAAGGTATGGAGATATGTAGGTAGGTGGATTGGCTCGTTCAAGGACGGAGTCTGTCTTTGCTCTGTCGTCGAGGCCTCCGAGTTATTGATTGCCCTGCAATCAACAATCAATTGTATCTGTAAATAGTGGGCGCGGTAGATGCATGTGTCATGTGCCCAAGGCAAAGCAAGGCGGGTTTCAAATGTTATTGTCGACAACATGTAGCGTTAAACCCAATGTTTCAAGTGCTGTTGCGGATGGTTCCGAGTCTAATAGTTGTCGTGGGCTGTCATGGATAGACAGGCACTGCTTGCCTCCTCTCTCTTCACCTTGCGGATGAAGCTTTGAGACATTTGTTGATGTCGACGAGACATGACACTTCTACTTTGCCCCACTGATTGTCTGAATACGTATCCGTACAGTAGTGTTACCCAATGCGAAGACTTGCATGTAAATACCGCAAGAAAGGACTGGTCCGTTGACTCCATTCCTCACCATTTGACCCCAAATGTCAGACCCGGGAGGCGTGGCAGCAACACCATCAGCAACCCACCCACCCATCCATCCACCCACCCGCGTGAGATGGACCCCTCTCCAGCAATGCAAGACACACCCCACACACCCTGGTCCATCGTCTGCAGTCTGCACTCATTGATCAATCAAGAGTGAAGAGAGTGAGAGAGAGACTGAAGAGAGCTGAAGGGGCCCGAGCCAAGGCCCAGGTGAACAGGGGAGCTCTTCAGCCCTCCCGAGCTAGAGGCCAGGACCCATGCAGGCATGCCTGCTACGCAGCTAATGTACGCTACGCTAATACGCTACAGCTGCCCACGAGTTGAGTTAGCTCATGTTCTGTCTGTGATTGGGGTGGGCAGGGTGTTGTGTTTGTGAAGAGACAGGCACGCTACGCCTTGCGTGCCGTCCGTCCATGAAGATGGTGAGCGACTAGGCGCCTGAGGCCGCCACTGCCGGCTGCCGCTGTGATCATGGACGGGCGGGCACCTCGATTCTTCAAGGCAAGGAAGACAAGACCAAGACAAAACCACGACAAGACGTTAATATTCTTGACATGCACGCCACGCTCGCTCTATCTTGATTGTCTCTGCCAGTCTCCTGTGTCTCTTGCCCGTGTGCAGGCAGGCAGGCTACTTGTTGCCCACACTAAACTTAAAAAGACGCCAAGCCCGTTGCAGGCCCAGGCCCGAACTCTGCAAGTCCAGTCTGGCTGGGTCTCTCCAGTAAACCCAAGACCAAGACCAAGACCAAGACCAAGACCAAGCCAAACCAAACCAAACCAACCTAAGCTAAGCGGTACGTAGCTAAGGTGCCTTACCCTAGCAAGCGTATCTGCTCCGGGAAGGAACCACCTTCGACCATCATCATCATACAGCATCCATCCAGCCTTTTCTCTTCACCTTACCTCTACCTTACTTACTTACCTACATTGCAAGATCCCGTATCATCTTTTTTCTCCGCGCCCTCCATTTTGGACACCCACAACCACCCTGCAAGCATAATAGACACCCGAAAACACTGCGCTGCGCTGCACGCCTTCGCCCGCGCCCCTCTGGAACTACAAGGACAAGCCATCTGCAAGCCATTGCCGCAACCTTATCACCAACAGCCTCAGAAACCCTGGACCCTGGAGAATCTGGAAACAAGAAACGCGTCCACATGGCGACGAAAGCGCAATCAACTCACTGTTAAAGACCAACTCTGACCTGTTGCCCGGCTCTACTGGGATACTGGGAACTTCTTGATCGCAAGTTCGGGTCGCGTCGTTGCCGAAACACTGTCTGACCTGCAACACATACCCACGGTTGCTCGTGACAAAAGAGCAAGCCCTGCTCGTGTTCACCTCTGGAGTTAGCTCTACGCTACCATAATTCTCTGTTGCTGCCAAAGGCAGAAATCGCCGGATTTCGCTTGCGCATCGCGAACAAGCTTTGCGCTGCTCATCGCACCAGGCAAAGGCCGCGTCGAGTACCACCGAGCTATCCCAGGGGTTGGTTTGTATGCGCGATCACAACCCGCAAAGAGCAGGCTGTTCAAGGGTTGGCTATCACGTCAGCTTCAGCTAAAGCCTTCGACGCACATCGCCGACTTTCACGCCGGGACGACCAAAGAGGCAGCCGTGACGGAACACTGCACCGACTTGACATCTCTCTCAGGGCTCCGGTGCTGAAGAGCGGATCAGGACACAGGATATCCAAGAGAAGGATCGCACTAGTTTCGTTTGAACGTTGAGGGCCGTGTCCGTCTTGCCCGAGCGACCCAATTCTCCATGGACTCTTTGCCAGTCGGCATAACACCAACGGCGCACTCTCTGTTGTCGCGTCGGGCTGCTGCCGAGAACCTACCGTCCTTCACAATCCCCCAGATACACAGCTCAGGTATACCTCGTACGCGTCCCCCTCGTGTTGAAGCCACGACAAGCTTCCCCCCGAGAGCGCATAGCTAAAGGATCAAATAGGAACTGGCGCCAGCCCTACAAGCCTGGGTCTCAACTCGGCTGGACCACCAACCCCCCAAGCAAGCTCGATGCAATCACAAGGGCACTATACCTTTGGTCACAGCCACGGCTCGTGGCCAACACCTGCACCGTCGCAGCAGCACATGTCCAATACTTCACCTACACAGGCCCGGCCCATCACGAATGGCCATCAGCATCAACAGCAACAGCAGCAACATCACCAGCAGCCATTATCGACATACGACGGGCGGGCAAATCAGTTCTCGCAGACGACTGCCTATATGAGCCACGGCGCGCCAGAAAGGTCCTCGCCCTCTCCTGTTAACCATCATGGCCTGCAGCAATCGTCAAATCACGGGTATGAGCACCACGCGCCATTCTCCCCCCATGGGCAAACGACGACACAGCAGTCCGTGCCTTTCTCGGGCCATCAGCTCCCATCAGTCACCCAGCCCCAACACATGGGGTCGACGTCAACAGCGCCAACGCAGGCTGGTTACGGATTTGCACGGCCACCGAGCGCATCTCCCCAAGTGCCAACTCTACATTCACAATATCAAGGGCCAAGGTCACCCCTGGGTGCGACAGCGGGCGGAAACCCGGGCATGTTTCCTGGCGCGCGCGGACCAGGATCGATGCAGCTGCCCTACGTACAGCAGCCGATGAACCTACAGCATCACGCCCAAGCCCGGCCACCGCCCTCCCTGTCCGGACAGCCTGCGTATTCCATGACGGGGGGCTTTGCGCCGTCGCAACAAATGGGCCAGCTGCCGGGCCAGGTTGCCTATTCGCTACCGCACAACTACCTGTACAACCCACACGCACAGGGCAACGGCGCAGCCGAACGACCCTTCAAATGCAACTCATGCCCCCAGGCCTTCAGTCGCAATCACGATCTCAAGAGGCACAAGCGAATCCACTTGGCCGTGAAGCCCTATCCTTGCACATACTGCGACAAGCAGTTCTCGCGAAAGGACGCGCTCAAGGTAAGAAGATCGACCGTGGGTGGGTAGCATGATCTAACAAGATACAGCGTCACCGTCTTGTCAAGGGCTGCGAGCAAAAGGTACTGGCACAGCAAAAGAAGGACCAAGGGGGCGACAGACGAGACGACGATGTCGGTAGTATCAGCTCTGTCGATGAACGAAATTAAAGGCATTGGAAGGCGTCCGGGCCTGTGGCAGGGATGCATCAACGGGAAGCGAACCATGGTCGAGCGTGGGGGCATATATGGCTGGCGTACAGGAGACGGGAGAACATGTATCTATCACCACCAGCGTACATGAGGAGTATGTGGGATTTGGGGTCCGGGCTAAAGGGGTTCACCATACTTCACAAAGGCAACTCACGCGTCACTTTCGGACAAAGTCGCGTTTTCTGTGCATCTAACACCATTGCATTCGGGAGAAGTAGACTCTTTCCGTCGCAGAATTGGGATGTCCCTGACTTTTGCCTCCAAGCAAGCATACAGGGCTGACTCCCTCACGACAGTCAGCCCTGTGAAAAGATATGTATGCCGAGGCGTGCACGGTGGTGTCTCCTCACCTTGCTGATTCGAGGGTCCCCGTCCCACCCGCATGCTCAGCGTAGTTGGCCACGTAGGCTGTCGTCCTGATGTGATGAGAGTTGGTGTGTCGCCGGAGGATGGCGGGTTCCCTCTGCGGCTCTGCCCGCGGAGACGCGTGGACTGGAATGGGACACAGGAAGATAGTGAGTGAGAGGGTCGGACTGCATATGCCGTGTTGGGCGCTGGGAGGGATCTGCGTGGTTGCTTGCACTATTGTCGTGCTACTGTGAAAGTGAGAGTTGCTTCATCACTTCTCAGCTTTTGTTTTCAAGCGGCGTGGTCTAAGTTGAATACCCGTGCAAGCGCAGCGTGACGCTTCTGATCTTTGCAAGCTTATTCCTTGCCCGACGATTGGTCATATACCCTCTTTGCACACTGCTGATTTACCTGAGAACCCCAAGAGTATGTAGATCCGCTGGAGACGTGTCAGATCTGATCAGGGTGTTCATTGCTCGACGCATCCTTGTGCATGTGAACAGGATCCAGGTGATAGTTACATGCACTCGGGCCCGCAGTTGCCCTACCAACATGGCGACTTGAAAAGTCCAGTACACATACGTATCCGTGTCTGATGCTGATGGAGGACACAGACAGGGGTTGTCAGTGTCTTCTGCCTTACCTAAGGCCGAATATGGTATGGGGGGTCCTGGGATCGAATAAACTGTGACTAGTCCCAGCCTCTCTGCAGCATCTAGAGCACCCCTGAGGCACGTAACCATCAGCAATGTGTAATTGCCATCCAGGCTCTCTTTGCCGGGAAGACACCACCGCTTTGAGATTCCAACGGATGAACACCTCTGTCTGCATAGCTTCCATGACGGCCCTGTCCCTAGACTACATTTGTCATTCTCCGTCAGCAACACCTTGTAATTGCGGTGTACCCGGCGCCACCCCCCCCATCCTTCCATAGTAGCTTGTCTTTCCTATAGCAAGTTTTGCTATAATTAGCGCCATCATGATATGCGGTCTCGCTGCCTCTTTAGTCGTCGGATGTAGGGTCGTCGACGGAAGTCTGCAGAAGGAAGGCTCGGAGACGGGAGGCTGCATCTGGACCGGGTGAGGCGGGTTTATACAGGAAGAGAGGAGAAGGAAGACTGCAGTCTGCGGACTCGAGAAACTGGGGGTCTGTCAGTCAGCTGGCTGTGCACGCAGTCTTCTTTCCGGCTTGGTAGGGCAAAGCTCGGGTAGGCGGCGAGAAGTGCCGTGTGAACGTCGATGCTCACATCACAACCACCCTCTCTGATGTGCATGTGGTATAATGCAGTACTACTATAGTCATGCGGTGTTTCTAGGCAGATAACCACGCCATGGCATCCATCCGCCCGAGTTTCTGCAGTTGGCCTACTTACAAGGGGCACCGACCTGGGTAGACGTATCCGCCTTTCTTTTGACATCTCAAGACCCTTGCGTATGGCTTCGTCGTCTGACGTACACCTGTGCTACAACACCGTCCTCATCACCATCTGAATCTGTATGTCTCTTATAGTGACCCATCGCGGGATAGCGTGGTATGTAGTTCCTGAAGATAACTTCCCTATTCGGGTTGGACTGCCCGGCGCGGCCGTGGATTCATGACTCTGCCCCCACTTACCTGATCGGTGTTTTACCTTTTCTCCAAGGTTGCCGCAACAGTCAGAAATGCTCAAAAGGGAAAAATATTGTGTTCGTGTAAGTCAATTCAAGCGATTGCGCATTATCAAGACTCCATGGTCGGCCAAAGCAACGCAAGATATCCCGCGCGAATATCTGCATCCAGATTTCCCATCCCAGTTCCTCCAGCCGTCCGTCGTATCATGCCTTCATTTGCCGTCAACCACTCCATCGTCTTTCCCTCGTTGCTCACCCGGCTGTCGCAGGTGTCTTGACTTCAGCCATCGGGAACCCCTAAGGTGACGCGGGATGCGCAAAAAGGTCAGACGTTTCCCAGTTCACCAAGCTGCAGTTTCCTCGTGAGCACACCCGGTCATTGTGCTAACAAACGCTTATAAAGAAAGAGCTGGAAAAAAAAGTAGGACAGAAGCAAAAAAAGACGAAGCGTAGGGGGTAACGTGAATGTTAGTAGCTTCGGCGGCCTTGTTACGCCTAGAGACGTATGTCAGGCTGTGACTGGGCTGCCGAGGCTCGAATATAAAATGTGCTAACGCCTCCAAAACGCCTGAAGTGATGGCCACAAAACTCAATAGTCTCGAAGGGTTCATTGTCTTCCAGCAACTCTCGTTACTCAAGACTGGTGGTGACCGCTGGGCGGCATGCCCGGCTGCTGAGGCATACCGGATCCATACGGCTGATTCCTCTGGACATAGTTCTGGTACGCCAGTGCCTGCTGGGGGTCCATGGGCATGTTAGGCGGCATGTAGTTGCCCGCAGGCATGTGTGGGTTCTGGGGCATGCCAGCACGGCCGCCTTGAGGAGGCATGTGCTGGGGCGCAGGTTCTTCGGGAGAGTCAACCTGGTCGGCGCCGTCGACAACTCCCTCGTTGCCGTTGGCGGGCTCGGGAGCGTTCAAGCAAGCCTGCGTCGACCGTTAATATTTGCGAACAACTTGTAAACGACTGGCGCGGCGCATGGCGCGCCGGGGCTCGACGTACCTGAATGAGGTTCTTGCCCTCTGCCTTGGTGACAAGCGGCTGCAGCTTCGGGGTTGTAAAGGTGTAGACAAGGCCCGTCTCGGACACGACGAGTAGAAGGACTTGGGTACCGGTAAGGACGGAGAGTTCGTAGGCCTATTGAAGCAATCAGGTGTCAGTCATAGAACAGTACGCAATGCATGTTGTTGCGCCACGAGCAGCCTGTCCACATGTCCGTCTCGCGACGCGACACGAGGGGAGGCGGGAGGGGGGTGCGCAGGGCTGGCTGGGTTCACTAACCTTCTTCATGATGCCGGCCTTGCGCTTCGAGAAGGTGATGTGGCGACGCGACTTGTCGTTGATGAACTTTATCTCAATCTTGCGACGCTCGCGGTTGCCCTTCTCGTCATCGTCGTCGTCGTCGTCGGCACCCGCGCCGCGCTGACGCTTCACGCCGCGGCTCTCTTGAGGGGCTGCCGCGCCATTGCCTGCCTCGTCGAGCTCGGGCTGCGAGGTCTGGTCGTGCTGGTCGGTAATGTCGGCCATGTTGGTCCAAGGACGGGAATGTCTTGTCGTTCTGGGCGATTTCTTGATTCAGTCCAATCCAATCGTCTGTATCACACAGAGCAGGCTGGAAAAGGCAAAAAGTGGTGGAGATACTGCTTTGAGCGTGGTGCCGATGGATCTATACTGAATCTGGAGTCGAGGGCGGAGAGGAGGGACACGGAGGGAAGTGCTGCCCTTTCTGTCATTCTGCGGCAGAAATCAGCTGTGGCGGTAACTGCAGGAGCGAATGGGCAAAAGGGCCGTGCGCCCCGTCTGCGAACGAGGGACTCGGCTCACCTTTTGCCTTTGTTTGGCCGCTAGCTCACGGCTGTGCCAATCAAACGCGTCAGAAACCGGATGCCCCTGCTGGATATCAGCAGCATGCTGGGGAGCACCTGCACTGGTGCGACCTTGGAAGAGGGTCGAGGCAGGAGCGACGGCAGTCATTCGCTGGAGGCGCAACTACACAGTGGCGATTCACACTGTAAAAGCGGCGCAGATCGTCATCGCCCTTTGAGGATGAGAAGTGCTGCTATAAGACGGCAATCCTCTCATCATGGCTTCAATGTCGGATGGAACGTTGAAAAACCCGGTTCGGCATAGAATCTATTCAAAGCCACAAGAGCGCTAGTGTTCCCGCGTGGCATTTACGCATCGCGAGCACAGTCGCGTCTAACTCTGGTCACCGTGCGAGCGACAAGCTTTCGTCAAGAGCAGCAGACCCGCCGTCACGAACTTCCCCAGCTGAACCCTCGGCACGTCCTTCACGAAGATCGAGTTAATTGAGCGGGCGCATTGCCATGCGAGCTGACGGGAATTGGGGCTTTCAAGCAAAGCTTCCCAATGCCACTGCTTACAAGTCCCTTTCGTCAGCCACAGGTACCAGACCTCACTCAAACGTGTCCTTTGGTCGATACTGTGTGAGGGCTTCCAGGATGCATGGCGACGGAGTCGACAGGAGGGTCCAGAAGGACATCGGCACGGTGCCCCTCAGCTGGGGTGATCCGTGCGTCACCTCCTACATGTACAGCGGCAAGAGGACGGCTCGCCCCCGGTTCCGTCGCTCCGCGTATCATCTTCATCCGAGCTCCAGTCTCAGCTAACAAGAATGGCAGGGCCGTAGTGCTTTACGATGAAAAGCTGGTAAGATTTCTTCTCAACAAGGTTGCCAGGTCAAATGGCATATTGAAGCGGGTCGTCATGTTGACTCCATATCGGAGGCAGCCGTTGCTCTGGTGACATGTGAATGCCGCGACTGTGGCAGAAGATGCATTCCAGTCCTATCCCATGCCCGTTCCAACAACATAAGGTACCCAAAGCAGCACAAGAGGCCTACGTGCTATCACCAATAGTGCTTCGCGTCGCCAAGACACCTTCAGAAACTTTCTGCGACGATGTCTACGTCACAGTCCACACTATGGGCATCTCGCGCAGTGGCGAAGCATCAAATGCTGTAGCTGGTCTCACAGCCTGGCCATGAATAGATACGTTCGGCGAATTTCGGCATGGCACAAGACACGTAGGTTCTGATCATGAGGCAGAGTACTTTCCAACACTTCATACCAGGATCTGCTACATTGCACATTGGTACGGCCAGTTGTGTCAGAATGTGACCTTGGGTAAAAGTTGCATTTTGATCAGGCCGTTGAATTCGTGAGCCCTGAATAACTACCTACTCGCTCCTAAGGAAGGGCGCGATCGTTGCCAGCTTCTCACATGTTTCGGTAAACTCCCTTTCAGGATGAGATTGGGATATGACTCCAGCACCTGCCTGGATCCACTGACGATGCTGGTCTTGGAAGACAGAACGAAGCACCAAAGATGCCTCAAAATCATCAGATGCCGGATCCATCATAATGATACCACCAGAATAGAGCTCCCTTGGAGAGGATTCTAGAGATCCAATGACTCCTAAAGCAGCTTCCTTTGGAATACCCGAAGCCGTGATGGAGGGGAAAAGCACATTCAGAGCATCCCAGACATCTTTATTGCTCTGCAACATGCCGGCCACCGCCGAGCCAAGGTGTTGTACTTTGCCCCGTGTCCGTACCGACATTAGATCTTCTACGACCACGCTTCCCTGGCAGCATATCTGTTTCATTTCGGCAATAGCCTCTTTGACAGAGACAACGTGCTCGACAATCTCTTTGGGATCATTCTCGAGTTCCTTTTTGCGCCTTTCGCATTCGGCCTGGTCATCGCAGCGGGCGCGGGTACCGGCCAAAGGCTCGGTTGTGACCTTTCCTTTCACGACGGAAAGAACGAGCTCGGGACTAAATCCTGCTGATTGATAACCGGCGTAACTGAAAGAGAAACTCCGTTTCGGCGTGTTCGATTTTTTTCCAACTAGCAGAGTAGCGAGCATGTCAACCCGGTTTGCTAGGTCCACAGCGCGCGAAACAATAACCTTAGTGACCAGGCCATCTTCGATCTTGGAAAGTGCTTTGCTGACGACATCGGTATACTCTGTTGCTCCTTGTGAAACGCCCGAAGCAATTGCGTCCTTGGGCTGTATCTCGATGCGCGTTGATTTGAGTGATTTGATGATATCGTGGAAACCCTTGTCGTCCTTGCCTTCAACCGTGATTTCTTCGGGTCCAACCGTAATCTGATAGCGAGGTATCACTAAGTGAAGCAAAGGCCACCTTCCAGGAGAGTACGATCTGCCCCGAACATGAGAGGCATAGTTGTATCCAACATATCCGAATATTTTGATTTCTATGTGTGCATTGTCCGCCACAAAGTCTCGTGCATTTTGCTCCATTGTGGACGAGAGTGGAACTTGTCGGACAACATCGTCTTGCTGAATTGTCGCCAATTTGCCAGTGGAGTCAACGACTAAGGATGACTGGACACCAAGACCAATGTGCCAAGATTGATTGCGCTCATAAATATAGTAATCGAGACCAGGTTGGGTGAGCACAAGGCCGACGACGAGTTCGACGCTTGTATTGGCTTCTGCGGATCTGGGGATAATTCCAATCATCGTCGTCCCGGTCAACGCGCCTGCGGGGACGAAAGAAAATTAAGGGGAAAGGAGAAAATGCAGCTCGATCGTTGAGAAATGTACGTGTGGATGGTTCTAATCGCAAAACCATTGTAAAGGGGGCGGCTGAATAAGTACTTTATTCATTCTCAGGCCGACGGCATACTGAGTACCGGAAAACATGAAAGCCTTGACAATTCAAAGAAATCTTAAATACATCACGCCTGTTTTAATTTTTCTCAGGCTAGGGCATTCCATAACCCCCTTGGTTCAGGTTTACTCCACATTCGGCGTCATGGAATATGAGCACTTGAAGGAGGTTCTGCAGTACTTTGAGTCGTCATCAGACGATTTTCAAGACATTGAGATTAAATGAACATGAAGACAACCTGATCAAGTAGCATTATGCAGCATAAATCTGCCGTGCGGTGTGGTGCTGTGCGCCGAGACTCTCATGAGACACAAGCTACATATCTACTATAGGATAATCCTGAGATCACTCTCCTACATTCAACATCCTCTTAGTGCCCGAGACACCTTCTAAACATCAAACTCCTTCCCGTGTAGAAAACTCAGGCCCCCGGATTCTATGCTACGATATTGCGAGACACATCCCAGACATAAGTTCTCCCTTTGTTTCGCAAGTTGAAGCACTTCACATCTTGAGCCTCGTCACTGCCGAGAAATGCCTTAGACAGAAATTCCTCCTGGTTTCTGGAGGTTAAGCAACTACATACCAAGCTCCCGTATCTTTGAGATACTTCTGGGCTACCTCATTGCCTGCTAAGCGGGAGACTAAGTTGGTGAGACACTCATATTCGCACCAGATCGGGATGAAACGTTCAAAAAGACTTGTCTCATTGATTTCAGGTCTTGGCAGATCCTCTAAAGCAATCTTGTGGAAGGCTGCTTTCGATATGCATATGTCACGAACGTGGATGAGAACAAAGAGCTCAGCTATAGATAGGCTACGCTGCCCTACTTTGACAGCTGAGTTTGCTACTTCGTCTCGAAAAGCTTGAAGCCACACCTGATGGGCGCGACTCACAATATGGACGCTTCTGATGACTATGTGCTTGGAAGAGGAGCAGCCGAGTCTGTGCGGTTCGTCAGGTAATCGTCCATCCTCCCTTGGCTCATATATTAACCCCGTGCCTCAGTCTTGATGCGCAGCACTTGCTCTGGAGGCTTCGCCAAGGATATTTGCTGCACCCTTCCATCTCCGTCACCCAAGACATGAAGATTGCAGAAGTAGGTACGGGTACAGCGTAAGTATTGCCTTCGCTACAAGAGGAAGTCTCACCAATCTCCAGATCTTGGATACTGGACCTGGCACAGCAGCTCCCCAATACAGTCAAGCTTCATGGCTACGACATCTCGGACAGACAATTCCCACGCCACGATCTCTTGCCGGATAATGTGACCCTAGGGCTCCTCAATTCTCTCGAAGACACCCCGCCTTCGCTTCACTATCAACGCGACGTGGTGCACTTGCGAATGTGGGCAAGCAATCTCCGGGGCAGAAATGTGAATATGCTAATTCAAAATATTGAGAAAATGCTCAGTAGGTCTTGCTATATAGACACCCGATTATATGTGCTCGGCTGACTGAGTACAGAGCCAGGTGGATTCATACAATGGGAAGAGGCCGATCTCATGCATCAAGTCGTCAAGACAAATGCAGCAGCAACCTTCGAGGCTGGTATCAACGAGCTATTTAAGCGCGTTGGCATAGACTATAGGTAATCGCGGTAACCCGAGATCCATGAGGTTTGCTAACGTCTGGTTCGCACTTAGTTGGGTACACGACTTGCCCAAGTCCCTCGAGCTTCAGGGGTTCGAGATCAAACATGCTGAGCACAACGTTTTCCGGCCTAGCCAGGTACAGCTGTGTACGAACACCTATCTCCTGGCATTGAAAGAGATCATTTCGGGTATCAGAAGGACGTCATCTCAAGTGCCCGGGTTGAACATTGGGTCGCACGAGAAGGCCTTAGCGCAGCTACTGGAAGAC